CACAGCTGCACCCTCACACAGCTGCCCTCTCACACAGCTCCACCCTCACACAGCTGCCCCCTCACAGCTGCACCCTCACACAGCTGCCCCCCTCACACAGCTGCACCCTCACACAGCTGCCCTCTCACACAGCTGCCCTCTCACACAGCTGCACCCTCACACAGCTGCCCTCTCACACAGCTCCACCCTCACACAGCTGCCCCCTCACACAGCTGCATCCTCACACAGCTGCATCCTCAGACTCTCTACCCACAGACATCTGTCCGTAGCAGGGCTGGGGACCAGAAAACAAGCTCAGGACCCCCTGGGGGAGGCTCTGTCTCCATGAAGGCTTGGGGCAGCCAGGATGTCCTCAGAACCCCAAAACGTCGTCAGGGGCAATGGCACAGGTGCCCTAATGTTGAGGACTTCCACAAACCACACTTTGAGTTCTTTCTTGGCATAGATTTTTCTAAGTGGGAATTTGCTTCCTTTTCCATTTCTCTCCTACAAATTAACTTAAGACCTAAACCAGAAGGTCTCCTTTCACTTGTCCAAGTACCTGCCTGAGGAACAGAACCCTGAAGCCAGCTGATGAGCCAGCCCAAGCCCTGCAGCTGCCCGGCCGGGCCAGAGAAGCCGTACCTTTGGCGCTGTCATAGATGATATTCTTGCAGAGCAGGTCATTGTGACAGAACACCACAGGGGAGTCCAACTGCGACAGGTGCTCCTTCAGCCAGGCCAACTCCTGTTCCAACACCTCTACCTTGGGGACATCTGCAGAAAGGCTGGACAGTGACAAGAAAGGTGGCTGGTGGAGGGAGGGCTGACAGTAGACAGGCAGGCGCTTGGCCTCAAAAGCTCTGAGCTCCGGTTCCATCACCTCTTACTGCAGAGGAACCTGGAACAAATGGCTAGCCTTTCGGACCCTCACTTTTGTCATTTGTAAAACGGTGCTAAGGCCTCCTGTCCTTCTGACTTCCTGTGCTTACTCTAAGAAACCGAGGAAGACATAGGTGTAAGAGCATTTTGCTAAGCACAAAAGTCCCTGAGCGAACAGCATCCCTGCTACTTTGTGAAAGGGAAAGGAAGGGAAGGAGGAGGCACGGGGAGAGGACAGGGCAGGTGGGAAGGAGCATCCCAACTCAATCAGCGCAGACCAAGAGAGCAGGGGTGGAGGGGGGCAGGCAGACAGGCCAGCTCTTAGGACCAGGAGGAATTTCTGGGGGAGGGGGAGCTCTCTAAAACAAGGCAGGCGGAGGCGGTACCCTGGGGAGGCCGGAGCACGCTCTTGCTCTCAAGGAGGCAGAGGCGAGTCCTGGGGAGTCTCCCTCACACTTTGGTGCCTGGTGTCACAGTGTAAAGGACAAGAGAGATCACGTGGTCTTACTTCTCATCTAACAGAGAGACCCCCAGGCCCACATACGACAGCCAGCAAATTCCTTCTGGGCTCACTCCTCCACAGCCCAGGGGCATCAGAAAAGCACTTGCTCTGTAGTTCCCAATAACTCGCCCCTCCTACCCTGCCTTGTCCCAGACCCCTGCCAGGCTGTGCAGGGGCAGCTTGAGGGCAGGAGGCCACCCCTCCTTTGGCCCTACCCTGTCCCAGGGCGCATGCGGGAATTTCTGCTGCATGAAATATGCGTTGAGGAGTCAGTGCATGGGTCAATCAGCAACATTCCCAGAGGCACTGGGAAGTCGGTGAGGTACACTGTGCCCAGATGCTCTGAACTTTGGTCTCCAGGAAGCACACAGGTCTATTTACACTGAAAAGCCAAATAGTCAGCAAAGCCCTTAAAACCTCAGAACCACCAATGAGGGGAGGGGAGGTGGCTGCAGCTTAATCTCCATCCACGTGTCCCCGGTCTGCTTTCTCCTCCAGAGTGCACACAGCAGGACGAGAATGAGGTGCTCTTTGACCTGCCACAGACGGCTTGTCGCCCCCACCCAGCCCAGAGGTCAGAACACGGCCAAGAGGACTCAGCGACCAAGGCACCCCATGTCCCCTGGAAAAAGATGAGTGGCAGGCTCCCTCCCAGGCTCTGAGAAGCTCAGAACTAAAGAGGATCTTATGTCTCTGCTCCAACCTCACAGGGAAACTGAGGCTCAAGGAAGGGCAGAGGCCTCCTTCCAGCTTCCAGATGTCTCCTGCACAGCTGGACTCTACTTCCTCGCCTCAGGAAAGCAGTCCTCGGCCTGTCCAAGGATCCAGAAGTGAGCTGAGCCTCCTGCCTGGAAGGGCCTCGGTGCCCCTCAGAAGCTCCACACAGCCGCCCTGAGGCCAGGGGGTCTGTCAGCGGGCGACCTGGGGGCGGCAGTCCCTCATCCTCCCTGGAGTTTATCTGTGTGGACAGGTCTGCATAAGGTGCACTTCCAGCTTGGCTCTCCTTAAGAAGCTACCTTTTCTTTCAAGGTTCTTTTCTGTTCTTGGGCTGAGACCATCCAAAGAGAAGGACTAGGAGGTTTCCTTTGGTTTGCCCAGGTCCCAGCCCGCAAACACACCTTCAACACCCCAGACACCTGCTGCCCAGGCCATGACCTCTGTCTGACCCCCACCCTGCCCGCCCCAAGGCCATGCAGATGCTTACTGCAGGAACCGTGGCCTCTATCTCCCCGGCAGCCTCCCTCCACGGCCCGCTCCCCTTCCCCGAGCACTTGAACCGTCGCCAGCTTTGCTACCAGCCCTGACACCACTGGACTCTTTTAAGGCTGTGGGGTTGGCAGAACAGCAACCACCACCACACCACAGAAACGTTCACACTGCAGCCAGAACTGCTCCTCCCACTCCTCTGTCCCTCAGAGGCAGCAGGAGGGGTGGCCCCCCAGGAGGCCTGGGAGTTCCTCCTGAACAAGGGACCACTGCCCAGCGAGCGTCCACTCAGCTCTCAGCGTACCTTCCTCACCGTGGGCCTTCTAAGTGCTCCAGCTTCCTGGCTCCTCACCTTTCCTTCACACCACTCAGCCCGTCCGAGTCACCTCTTAACGCCCCTCACGCCGTCATCAACCCCACATTCTCCCAGCCGCTGCGGACACCTCCACGCCCACCCAAATAGCAAGACTACCAAATGGATGTCCACAAAGTCTCTGCCTCATCCCCCTACTGTCCGCCCCCTCGATGAGCTGCCCTAGGGCAATACTCCTGGAAACATGGTTCCTTGACCCCTGCCTCGGAATCACCTGGGGAGCCTGTCAAAATGCAGAAGCCTAGGCTCTGACGCGAGGCCTCTGATCAGTGGATCTCCACTCGGGCCGGGCGTGTGTGCCTAGCAAGGTGCAGGGACTCCCAGGCTCCCAGGCTGAAATCCCTAGTCCCAGGTTCTGCTCTCTCAGTTACAGCATCCTCAGCTGGCCCCTACCCCAAATCCCTGCCCTTTCCCCCACTCCCACCCAAATCTTCCTCTACAACATTGGAAAGCTTTCTTCCTAAACCACAGTCATGGTCAAGTTACTGATCTGAGCCCCCCGCTCAAACACCTTCACAATGACTTTCCACCGCCTCTTAGGTTAAATCTTGGCTCCTTAACCTGGTATTTAAGACCCCTAATAATCCAGCTCCAACTCACCCCTGCAGCCCATCTCGCATGACTGCTCCCACTCCCTCCTGAAGGTGTGCTCCAGCTGGCTCATCTAGGAGCAAACCAAGCTCATGCTGCATCCTCCAGCCAGAGTGGCTTTCCTTCTCACCTCTGCCATGCAGCCTCCGCCAAGAAGACTCTCCCTGCTCCCCCACCCTCAGCATACATTATACACCCTGCCTTCTTTCCTAGCTATGCATGGGCAGGTCCTATTTACCCAGATAGTTCCTAAGCTCCTTGAGGACAGAGTGAATGTCAAGTTCTTGTTTTTGTTTTAAATCCCAATCCATCAACGTTTGTGAAATGAAGGACTGACTAAGTCAGGGTTATTAGGCAATGACTGGAGCAAAGTGCTTCATCTTGTCCAAGTGACTGCTCACCACCACCCTGCTGTGGGCACATTAGGCAGTTAGGGCAGACAGCATCCCCTAACGAGCCTCAAAGAGGTTAAGAAACTTGATTTGCCCAAGGTCAATGGTGTGACAAGAGCAAAGGGGTTGGCTGGCTCTTCTCCAGGAACCACTCCCCTCCCAAGAAGGTCACCCCCAAGGTCACACAGTGACAGTACAGTCAAAGGAAGCTGCAGTAGCAAGGGTCATGCCTGAGCAACAGGCCTGGACTCTAGTCCTTGAGCTGCCACTGATCAATGTCACCTTGGGCAAGTGCCCTCCTCTCTCTGGGCCTCAGTTTTTCCATCTGTCCAATGAAGATGGTGGGTTGCATGATCAGAGGGTCCCGTTCGTGCAGACACCAAAGGATCCTGCTCGCCCCGCACAGTTCTAGTCCTAAAGGAGGAGGCGGTCCTTGTCCTAGAGATGACATTTGATACAGAGGGTCTGAACCAGGGCCATCCTGGACAAATAGTCCCAAAGCAGTGCTTGATGTTCATTAAGTGGAAGGATCCAGATAAAGTCATGCATGTGTGTGGGCATGTGACAGAGACACATGACCAAGACAGAGTTGTTTACTGTCTTGTCATCTCAGAGGGCAAAAGGAGACACCCCTCCCCCAAATCCCTCTGTGCCTGCTCCCGTGAACTTCTGGAAGAAGGATGGCGCTCAGCCCGGTGGGGAGCATGAGGGAGGAGAGGCTCAGGGCTGCGCCCCACTGGAGGCGCGAGGAGGGGCAGCACTCTGTTCTCCACCCCTCAGTGCGATGCAGGGAGTCGGCATCTGAAGGCCAGGAGGACCCTCAGGGTGCCGGCCAGAGAGCTTAACTGTGTAGGAAGTCCGTCTTCCCTGGGGAAAGGCAGTGTCAGGATGGGTGGAGTACCCCCTTCCGAGAGAGAAGCCACCCAGCCATCTGAACCAGGTGGGGGCAGTGTCCCTGGAGCGTGTGGGGACGAGAGGCAGCCAGGCAGGCAGCAGGAGCCTCGAGGCTCCAAGGGCTTGTCGGCTGATGAGTGCAGCTCCTCTGCCTGGTCTGAACCCGGTCTCAACCCATTCTGAGGGCCGGCCCTCCCTTCTCACTGCTCAGAAGGCAGCCCAGATAGAAAGGGCCCTGGGCTGGGAAAACAAGCTCTGCCTCTGACTAGGCCTTGACATTGGGCAAAGCTTAGTCTCTGAGCCCCGGTATCCTTTAAATAAACTGGGAGACACTGCCCCCGACCCTAGTCCCTGCCACAACCAGCAGACTCAAGGAGAGATAAGCACTCAGGTATGAAACTGTGGATCTAAGCTCCTGTGGTGGTCGGTCAGCCCAACTCTGCTGGAGACACAGGCTCGGCAATTAGGACCAAATCCCCCAAACCTCCTGCGGGGATGGATGGAGCTGAAAGAAGGGGGGATCACATGAAGGCAGTGGAGACAGAGGCAGCCTTGAACCCTCCCAGATCTTTGTACCTGGGGTTGATCTCGTTCTTCACGAGGGTGAAATAATTGTGCATCTTGTGCCAGAGGGTGGGCCTGGGCAGGCTGCCGTTGGCGTGGATGGTGTGAATCTTTGCCATTTCTAAGGCGATTAGCCTACAGCAGAAAACAGGAAGGGCAGTGTATCAGTGTGGGGCAGGCCCCCCTCGGCTCAGCCCCTCCTGCCCAGAAAGGGGCCTACAGGGCCCACTGGGGGCTAACCAGAGGGCAAGTGTGGGGCTGTTACAAATCTTTCAGGAGCTCTGGGTCCTGCAGGAGGAGGGTCTCAGCAGAGGGCATGAAAGGGAGAGAAAGCCTTTGGCCCAGCAGCTCCCATGCCCTCTCCAGAGCCGGGTGGCTTCAGGCAGCAGAAGGGCAAAGCAGTGGGCTGCTGGCCACAGGTCAGTGACCTGGCCCCACCCCAAGGCTGTGCCCATAGCAATCCCTGAGGACAGAGAGGTCACCTGGGGATGGAGGTGGTACCCTTCCTCCCTTGGACTCTGACCCATGCCCTCGGGGGAGGGGAGTGCAGGGCACCAAGGGATCAGGGATGGTGTGCCAGGCAGGGAGGGAACGCCCACCTCTTATCAGCCTGGCCAAGGTGGGGAGGGAAGCAGGCCGTGCAGGGCAGCCCCTTCCTCTGTGGCAGGGAGTTTATGCTGGTGGCTGGGTGCCAAGGCCGCAAAACAAACCAGCGGTCTATTTTCAAGCTCTCCTGTGGACATTATCCAAGGTCCCCGGGAGAGAAGGAGGGGGCGGCGGGGAGAGGAGAAAGCAGCACTGGGGAAGGCTGCCGGGAGAGGGCGGGGGTGGACGGAGGACTGACCGGTCAGAGAGGGAGGGCCTTGATAAGGACCTCAGCATCGAGGCCCTATGTGCCAGCTGGGCTCCCCCAGGCCTCTGACAGCCCTCCCTTCTGGAGTCCCAGCCCCCACCCGGCTGCCAAGCCTCCAATGTTCAAGCTTCCTTCGCCTCTGCCTGTTGCTCAAATAATAATCACTGGGAAAGACAACAAAGGCATTGGCTGTTTGAAACCTTGTTACCGAGTTGTTCCAGGTCCTGGGAAGGGGCAGGCCATCACCCAACAGGATAACAGAGCAGACTAGGGGCTCCTCCAGAAGCCCCTGAGGCCCCCACCTCCTAAACGGTGCAAGGGGCAGGGGTGTGGCAGCCACCCAGTAGGTGAGAGATGAAGGCTGTGCTTTCAGAGGCTGGAGGCCCTGGGGCAGGAGGGAGCCCACCAGGGTTTGGGCAAGGCAGAGAAAGAGACCCGAGACGCAGGCCTTCCCTTCCCAAAAGAAGATTCCAAATAGAGCACGAACAGAGCGTTTCCTTGGACATCAATAGGGCTGTTGTCTGGAATAGCAATGAAAGCGACCTCAACACTCAGCATCTTTACACTGCAGAGCCTTGGCAGGCAGAGGGTGGGAGCTGGGGTTCAGGGGACATGGCGAGGTAGTAGGAGAAAGAGGTACTTCTCCTCCCTGCCTTTCCCTCAGAGCTCCACCTTCACCCCAGAAGGACAATGGTCTATCCTGGGAAAACCACCAAGGAAGGGCCTACCTCCTATACCCATCCCAATTTCTGGCTCTCCCCAAATGTAAAGTTCTTATTAGTGAACCTACATCCAGCTTCAATCTTCCTGACAATGGTAATTGTCTCCCTGAGAGAACGAGGGGCAGCATCAGATTCACAGAGCTGGGGGCAGACGGAGTGGTGAGGAGTTGCCAGGATCGGAGCTTATTTGCACCAGACTGAGGGACAGCTAGGAGGAAGCTGGTGCAAGAAGCCAGGACAGGTCCCTCGCCCTGCTCTGACCTCACACCTCCAGGTGGGCACGCAGCAGCTGCTCAGCCGGAGCCTGAGAAGACCCTTGCACAGGTTTGTATGTCCCCCACCTGCAGACCCACACAGACAGCTGAACACACAACTCACCAGCCCCAGACGCAGTGCTCAGGAGCACGGGCGGGCGGCTCTCAGATTCCCTTCTTCTAGGTCCCCAGAGGGCCTGCCAGAAGGTCTCTGCAAACAGGCCCAGATGCACTAACTCGGGGTTCACTGGGTACCAGGTGAGGGGCAAGGAAGCTTCCTGGTTGACTCCCTGGGTGGGCTTGTTTCCCCTCGGAATGTGGCAGGCTCCTTCCCCTTGGGTGAGACAGGACAGACACCAAGCATCCCAGGCAGACCCCTGTGTGGCTGTCCCCAGTGTCAGGCGTAAACCCCATCTGCCTGGGGCCTCACTGGCATCTGAGTGCCCTGCATGTGGACGTGGCATTGGAAGGAGGAAGGCGAGAGCTGGCAGACACCCCTGCCTAGCATGGCCAGAGAGAGGGAATGCACTCTGGGCTCCTCTCTGGTTCTACCCCTTCCAGACCCCACAGCGGCATCCACAGGGCTTGAAGGTCAAGTCCAATTCCTGGGTCCTACACAGTCCTATCCAGGCATTTAATGGGAGGGGTTCCCCGCGGGCCATGGTTCTGGTGAGCTTCTGGAAGGAAGCCTTGGCAGCTCCTCAAACCTGGGCTCCCACCTGTCAGGGAACCCGAAAGGAGCTCAGATGGGGGGAGGGATGGCTTCTCTCTGGGCTGGTAAAACCATGCTCACCCTGGATGGGGCCCACTCTGCTAGCAGGCCTGAGCTCTTGGCAGGAGTGGGGGGAGGGCAGGAAACCCCATCCACTCTGGGGATTCGGCTCAGATTTCATCTCCAAGGCTCCAGAATGTTTCCAGGGCAGACTTGGGGTGGGCAGAAGGCTGAGGCATGGGCCAAGAAGCAGAGCCCTGTTGCATTTAGGAAACCAGGTCCTTTGGTCCAATGTTTACCAAAATTCTCACTCGCCTCCTCAAGAACTCATCCTTCTAACAGGCCCCACTGAAAACCTACACAAAGCTATTGCCCCTGTCTGCAGAGCAATGCACATAAACGCACAAACATTTTTCATGCAATTTCAGGGAGTTCACAGATCTTAAGACACTCATTCATGGACACCATAAGAAGCTGGCCAAGGAGTTCAAAGCCCAGGCCAGAGGAATAGTAGAGACGAAGGGTACCTGGGCACCCTACTCACCTGAAAAGCCGGGGCTCACGGATGTGCTCAGGCCCCAGGGCCATGCCCCGCATGTATTCATAGCACAGCCCATTCTGGAAGGTGCAGTAGAGCTTAGGGGCGCAGCCATGTGCTCGCAGCAGCTGGAAGTTCCTGACCTCATTCTCCCGATCCACCAGCAGCTCCGTCCGCTCCCCGTACACCCGGACCAGCACACAGTCCTGCATGTCCTCCTCCACGTAGCAGGCCACCAGCTTGTTGGTGATGCCATCAGTGAAGCGCTAGCATGGGGACAGTGCAAGGGCGTGTGGGCAGGGCCTCCGCTCCTGCCCTCGGGCTCCCCAGCTCCAGCACGGGGAGCTCATCTGAATGCTGAGCACACCACGCAGGACCCCCAGGCCTTTAGCCCCCTCACTTAACCAAGCTCAGCACTGTTGCCAGTGCTCCACTCCGTCTCCACGCCTGAGGCGGACCACAGAGTTCAGGAAGAAGACGGCAGCCTGGGCTCAGCCCCGGCACTCACTCCTCCCGGGCCTGCCTCTAGTGGATGGGATCTGGCAGTGGAGGAACTCCCACACCAATCGGTGGTTAGAAGTCCCCCCTCCTTACTCCTCCACCCTGGCCCTGAATGAAACCTCCACAGACCAGAATGCGCAGAGGAAGGCCAGGAGTCGCCCAGGAGGAGCGCATCCGACCCGCGGCCTCTCACTCCCTGCAAGGCACAGGGCTGTCTGCTGTCCGTTGGCCCTCAGGGGCAGAGGTGCGGGACCCCAGGGCTCCGTGGCCAAGGCTCCACCTGGCCTCTGGATTCCCACCAGAAGCGGCAGGGGACCCTGGGCTGGGAGAGCGGACTCTCTGGGTAGGGTGACAGGGAGGAATGAACCATGGAATTTACGGGGCACAGCCTGACGAAGCTGGAAGGGGCCTTAGAGGACATCTGCACTAGTTCTAGGTAGAGAAACTGAGGCCCAGAGAGAGGAGAGACTGGCAGACAGCATGTTAACTGGCGCTCGAATCAGCTTCAGGCCTGCTTGACACGGGACAGTCTTACACCAGAGTGGGCCTTTTATTCTGAAAACACTACCCACCTACTGCTCCCGCAAGAGAAGACTGTCAGCCTCCACACTTGGTCCTGACCCCGCCTTCCCCCACCCCAAGGCCCAGCGCAGAGCCCCTGCCACTCCGGCGCAAGCTGCAGGTGCCCGGCTTAGGGCACCTTCCTCCACAGGCAGCTCCCAGAGGGGTCAGGGGAGGCGGGCAGGTGAAGACTTTTCAGAGGACGCAGGTCAGCTGGGGAGTCAGCCTGAGGCTCCTCAGCCGAGGCTCTGCCTCCATCTGTGTCCCTGAGAGTGTGCCCAGCTGGGCTGGGGAGCGCCCTGTGGGGGCGCATGGCGGGGCTGCCACCAAGAGCAGGGGTTGGGGCTGGCCTCACATCCTCGGGGTGGCTCCCGGGGCTGCAGGGCCGCTCAGGGTCTGGCGGCTTTGCTCCCACCCAGGGTGGAGAAGGAGCAGCATGTGTGTGTGCGTGTGGGGGTTCCCTTAAAAGTTCCCGCCGCCTCAGGCTTCAGAGCCGGCTGGGGACGTGCCTCTGGGCAGCCAGGGGCACCGGCACCGCCGCGACAGGGGGTGGGGCCTGCTCGCGCAGCATGCTGACAGTGGGCAGGAGACCCCAAGAGGACGGGGGTGTGTGCAGGGCCGACGGAGGTGGTAGCCTAGCTTTGCTTAGGGACCAAAATAGAGGGAGAAAGATACATACACAAACCACCAATCCAACCCCTTGCTGCGCAGCAGCCGCGCGCGCCCGCACCGACACCCGGGAGGATGCACGGACAGACGTCCCCACGCCCCGGCTCCAGCCCTGGCAGGGCCACAGCCCACACCCCGCGCCCGCTCGGCTACCTTAGTCCGAACTTGCTCGGGCTTCCAGTGCGGCCGCAGCTCCCGGATGAGGCGCAGGGCGCCGGGGAGGATGTCGTCCTGGTCCACGGATATGCCGAAGCACGGGACGGCGCCGGCCCTCGGGGGGCCCGGCGGCGCCCGGCAGCCCGCGCTGGCCGCCGCCTTCTCCTCCATGCCCCATGAGCAGCGTGCGCGCGGCGCCCGCCTCCCCAGGTGCGCGGGCGAGCGCGGCGGAGGAGCCGGAGGGGGCACAGCCATCCGCGGCCCCCGCCCCCTCGGAGCCTCGCGCCAACGCCAGCCCCTGCGGAGGGCCGGCGCGAGTGGGAGCGCTGGAGGAGGGGCCGCGGGCAGCCCGTGACTCAGGAGCCCGCGGCCCGGCGCCCGAGGCCGACCCGGGGACGCCGGGCCCGCCGCGCTGGTGACATCACGGGCGAGGGCCGCGAGGCGGAGGCCGTGGGGACGTCCCCTCCCGGGCTCGCCGGCCGTTGGGGAGCGCCGCGGCCGTGCTACCTGGAGCGCCGGGCGGGGCGACACTGCCGGGAGGCCGTGACGCCAGGGGCGGGGCCGGGGCGGGGCCCGGCCCGGGGCCGCCCCCACCTGGGTCCCTGGCGTCTCCGCCCCGGCTCCCTTCCCGGCTCCAGAGGCGGTGAGGCGGCCTCCTCCCTCCCACCTCGGCTGCGGCCGCTCTCCCTGGGCCTCCTGGGCCGGGGACGGGGGAGGTCTCTTCCTGCGCCCCGACTCCGTCCTGAAGTATGGAGATCCGGCTGCTTCCAAAAGGTCAGCTTGGGCTCGCGCTCTTGTTCGCCGGCTCGCTGCCCCAAGTCCCTTGACTCCTGGAGAAAGCTCTGCCGAGCGACCCTGCTGCGTCTCAAAGGCCCTTCCCTGCAGGGAACCCTCAAGACAAATCCTGCCCCCGACCCCCCCCCCACACACACACACTCGATGGCGAGAGGACACTGGGTGATGCGTGTTGGGGGTGGGCATGCCAATGGGGACCTCACTAGTCACCAGCCCGGGTGGGAGAGCTCTCTCTGCCCACCCAGCAAAGCGCCTGCAGAGAAGGGGCCCTTTGCTTTTCCCCCGGGTTGTCCCTTTGGCCTGTTCAGGACCCTCTCAACCACAAGGCCCCTATCTTTATTGCTGTCCAGAATCCAGCTCTGCCCACCGCAACTTCTGCAATGGTGGAAATGTTCCGTATCTGTGCCGTCCGTTGCAGTCGCCGCTGGCCACGTGTGACTCTCCAGCAATTGAAATATGGCTGCTGCGACATTTTATTTAATTTTAATTTAAATGGCCATTATGTGACCACCCTATTGGAATAGGAGATTATGGGGGTCTGCCTACTTCAGGTCATGGAGCCCCAGGATGTCAGAGCTGGAAAGGATACCGATGGCAACCCTTCCTTTTTGTGGTGAGAAAATACAGCCAGGCAGGCAACAAGCCACCAGGAAAGCAAGGTGGGGGTCCAGGGTCCTGAACACAGCCTCCTGCTCTAGTCTCTGCACAGGAATGCTGTCCTAGAGGAATGCTGGGGTCCCCTACAATCCCAAGAGGTTGCAATTCTAGAACTATGAGGTTTGCCAGGGCTTGGTTAGGCCACCCATTTTGGTCAAAAGAGGGGTGAGCCGCTCCCATGAGGAGGGACAGTGTCAGTGGCTTCAGGTGGGTGCTGCCTCTCATTCCCAAGCTACACATCCCCTGCAGGTGACCCAAGGGGTAAGAGCAGGAGAAGACTTCAGCCTATCATTCCCAAGTCCCCAAGACGGAGGGGAACAGTGTGCGTCTGTGTGCTTGTGCACGCGGCCCCACACCAGGGTGTGGGAAGCTCAGCGCCTGAGAAGGCACCCCTGCGTGTAGTCCCCCAAGGCAGAGTCTGACAGGCTGGCTCTAGTCTTGATTTTCGCACTTCACTGAGTGATCTTGGCCAAATGACTTCCATTCTCTGAGCCTCGGTTTCCCCACATGTCGGTTCTCTAGTGCTCTGTTTCTAGGTGATGCCTTAGACTGCAGATGTAAATGGCTGCAGGGGCCAGGCTGGTTTGCAGTGCATGAGGCAGCACTGGCCAGCTCAGCAATGCAGAGCCTAAGCTTGGGGCTGGCTTCCACGAGCTGGGAGCGCCTTTCTGAGCTACTGTCTACTGTCACAGCCTTAGCTCTGGTCCTCGAGGAGCTGGAGGGGGCACGGGGCTGACTCTGCAAACTTCCCACCGAGGTTGTGTAAACAACCCCAGCTAAGCCCTGCCAACACTGGACAAATGGCGTCACCCCTGCACGCAGGAACCCTGCATGCAGGGGAATGTGTAGTTTATCATCTTGTGTCACACCCCTATCTGCCGTGATCACATGGCTGTGCCTCAGTTTCAAACCCAAGTGAACCCAGGTGCCACAGGGTTGTGAACATGAAGTTTTTATTCTGTTTGTCTTCAAAGCCAGGAAGAGCTGGTGATGTGAACAGGGGAAGTGGTGGGGAGGAGCCCCACGCCCTGGGCTCCTGCATGAGGGCGCAAGCTAGGCAGGGGGTTCCCAGAGAGTGCTCTGGCTCTGGGCTAGGGCTGAGGGCAAGGCCCGCCTGGGCAGCAGAGGGCCTCAGCGGGCCAAGGCAAAGCCAATGCGATTGTTATGCCGATCAAACTCCGTGTAGAACTTGCGAATGAAGCTGGCGCCCAGGACCCAGACAGGCCCGGTGGGTGGTGGGACATCTAGACCGTGGAGGGCCAGTGTGCACAGATCATCATTACTGTAGGGATCCTGGCAGGAAGGAAGAGGGTTTCCTCACTGCCCAGCACATAACCATTCTCCCTCCACCTCGCCTGAGCCCAGCAGCTGTCCTCAGCATTGTCCCCGCCCCCCATCTGCCGTGGGCCTCCATCGCATCCTGGCCCTTTCAACCCGCTGTGGGTCGCATGCCTCCTGGATGCAGGCGCTGAGCTAGACACCGGGCAGACAATGCATTGGGTACAGCGCTACCTTCAAGAGCTTACAGTCTGGCAGAGCTCTGACCCTAGGCCTTCACTTCATTGCGCTAAGTCTGCTGGGTATGAAAGGGGATAAGACAGAAGCACAGCATTCCTGGGGGCGTTTGATGAGAACCCGGAGACAAGGGGATGAGCACATGATTCCCACGCTTGACTGCACATTGCAGTCACCTGGGGAGTTTTGAAAACTCTGATGCCCAGGTGCCACGCCCAGAGGTTCTGAGTTAAGAAGTAGGGGAAGTGGCTTGTTAGTGGGACTTTTAAAAGCTCCCAGGTGACTCTAACATGCAGCCACGTTTGAGAACCAGTGAGGTAGCGTGCAATCTGTGCATGATGACTTGTCCCTTTTTGAGGGCCCCCGCCCACCCGTCCTCCCTGTCACTGAGGGCGGGCCCGGGCCTCACCTGTAATACGTAGTCTGCGCTGGTAAGCGTGTAGGCTCTTCCTCCGAGGTGGAAGGAGATGTCAGGGAGTGTGGGCACTTGGTTACAGTTCACGACATACTGGGGGGAGGGTAGAGGGAGCGTCTTTGAGTGTGGGAAGTCCCCCAGCAGACGTAGCCCTGTGCTTGTGGCCTGGGCCCTTCTCTGGAGAGGGCTGGGTGCATGCCCCCTCCCTGGGGAGAAGAGTGTGAGAGATGAAGAGGGGAAAGCCCAAAATGGCCTCATTTGGGACCTAATGCTGCCTGGGGTCATTTCAGGGCCTGGACCAGGTGGTGCTCCCCTAATCCCTGGCCTGCCCCCCCCCCCCCCCCCCCCCAAGCTTCTTACTTCATCTGAGCTCAGCTCCTTGGCCCCCAGGGTCTCCATGAGCAGCCTCAGGGAGCTGGTGGGACCCGAGATGTAGGATGCGCCAGTATCCACCACTACCATGCAGCCCTCCTCACAGAGTAAGGTGGCCGACCTCACAGATACCCTGGGGGAGACCACAGTCAGACAGACAGACAGACAGGGAGGGCTGATGGGGCACCACCAGGCTGCATAACTTTCCTGACGCCAGGCCAGTGAGGGGAAGCCATGCCGGTGGTCCAGTGATGCACTGGAGGACAGGTAAGGCATGTGCTGGAGGAGGAAAGGTGCTGCCCCCCTCCCTCAGCGCATGGCTTAGTGACCCCCCCACCTACTCTCAGGAGGCCCCCTCCCCTCTGTTCCTCATATCTCTGTTCCCATCCCCAGACAGAGCAGGCAGAGAGCAAATGTTGGCTGTGCCTTAAGAAGTGGCTGCGTCAGGAGAGAGGAGCTGCCCTCCCTGCTCCCCCGCCCCCAGGCAGCAGCGTTTTTGGAGAGGGGAGAGGGTTGAGGATTCCTGACCCTTTCATTTTGATCTGCCAGGAGTCAGTCTTGCTGACGCTCACGTAGTGGAAGTTCCCTTGGTAATACTGGGGGTCGCTGCCTCCCAGCACAATCTCTCCCCCTAGCAAGTGGGAATTCCTAAAGGGAAGATCAGAGGCTCTTGGAGACCCATAACCTCTGAGACCCAAAGACCCTAGCGACAGGGGAAGTTGGGCAGGGTGCAGGGTGTGGCAGAGGAAGGGGGGCAGGGAGGGCAAGGCTGGGAATCTGCAGAGCACACCACCTTATCTTTCCTGCTCCTCCCCAAGCCCAGCCAGGGGTGGTTCCAGGACAGTCCAACCATGCGGAATAGAGCATCCCCAGAGAGGTCACAGAAAAGGAACAGGCACAGAGACAGCCAGTAGAATGCAAACAAGAGGCAAATCGCCATGCCCCGCCCCCCCACTTGGGTTCCGGTTGCGGGTTGAGCAGGTGCGTGGGAGGGGAGTCTGGGGAGCTGCTGGGTGGGGGTGGGCAGGGGCAGGAAGTGGGGGTGGGGGGGAGAACTTCAGCATCCGCAGAGCCTGGGCCTGCTGAGGTGAGTTTTGGGCGAGTGCCGTGTATGATTCTGGGCCAGGTGCTCTGGAGGGTCAGGACCGTGAGGGGGGTTTCTCCTTACTTGGAATTTCTGCAAAGAAAGAGACACAGCAGAAAGGAAGCCTTTGTTTCCGGTGAGCCTCACCAGCTTCTGGTCTGGCAGGTGGGTGTTATGCACCCTTGTTACCCTTCAGGCAATGGCGTCATCACCAAGAAGTGAAGTCACCTGCCTGAAGTCACCCAGGTGGTGAGTGGGGTGATGGAGGATTGGAGCGAGGGCTCCTGGTGCCCAGTCTGAAGCTGATCCCCCTTGCTTTCCTCTCCTCCAGGCTGCACGATGCCTCCCACAGCTCAGGGCCTATCTTAGGGCTGGTTTCCAGAGCGTGTGTGTGCGTGTGCGTAAGAGAGAGAGGTGGGGTTTTCCAGCACTCGTAATAGGAGGCCTGATTCCATGCACCATTGTGCACGGGTGTGTAGGTGTGTACATGTTATTTGTGCAAGTGCAGTTAATTGCATTTTTGCAAATCCAGTACGTGTGTGCTTGGGCTAGCCCAACACTTCAAGATCTCTCGGGATGTTCCCTCCTTCCCGGCCTAGGGCAAAGGAAGAGGCAGGCCCTCTCCTCAACAAGGGCCCCCCCACTTCCTGTGTGCTGGATGCCCCTCCCTGCCATGGCCTCCAGGCTCCTGGGCCCTCAATGATCTCCTCTTTTTTCCATTTTCAGTCTCTTGCTTTCCATTGACTTCCTCCCTCACCTGCAAGCATCCTCTAGCATTTAAAAACACCCACCCTTCTTTTCTCTGCTTCTCTGCCTGCGCCTCCACCTGACATCCCCTTCCCTGTTGAATTTCTCAGAGCAGGCTGCATCTGCCTTTTCACTGCCTGCCGGCTGGCCTTGCTCCCCTCTGCAACAGCTCTTGCCAGACTGCCCCTGACGGCAGAGCCAAGCCGGGGCGTTTTCTCAGTGCCTCCCTTTCTCTCACCAAACCAGACGCTCCTCTCCCTTTGACCTCTGCGATCTCTCTGGACTTCGACCGTCCCCTGCATCCTCACTGCCACTGGCCTCATGTTCTTACCCTTATCATTCCTCCTCTCCAGCTCAGGCCGTCTTTCTAAACCCAGCAGCTCAGAGCAGATCATAGCCCTGCTCAGCTGCTGACGACGGTTTCCCCAGGGCTGGCGGAGCTGCCCATAAGCTCAGCCTAGAGTTGGAAAGTACCCATGGGCCTCAGCCCTGTGCCCACTGCTGTTGCTCACACGCTTCTTGTTTCCCCTGTAGACTGCAGGCTCTGTGTGCACAGACACTCTGTCTCACACGCTGCATTCATGGCGGCACCCAGAGCCTCGCAGAGTGCTTGGCACATAAGCACCCAATGTTTGTTGAATCAATGAGTGAGCAAATTCACCAATGAATGAATGAACGAAGTTGGCTGTCACTGTGTGGGAGGAGCCATGGGCCCTCACAGGCAGGGTCCCTAGGTGACAGCAGTGCCTCCTTCCCATCCCCCTACCCTGCACTGTCCTCTTGTTCTAGAGCAGTGCTGTCTACCTGAGGCTGCGGCAGTAATGCCAATGTTCTGTGTCCGTACTATCTGATATGGTAGCCAATAGCCACTGTGGTTGCTGACCACTGGAAATGTGCTCGTGAGGCTAAGGAATTGAATGCCTAATTTTGCTTAACTTTAATTAATTTACATGTAAGTAGTGGCTTCCACATTGTACGGTGCAGCTCTACATCAGGGCGGAAGAGCCCGGGAACACACCTGGCCCGAGCGCTCCTGCTCTCCCAGCTGGCCTGCCTCCCCGCTTTCCCTGCCTCAGCCCCTGGAGGCCCAGGCCCACCTGCTGTAGTAGACAGAGAAGACGTCTTCCTTTAGCACCCTCTGGGAGAGGATGTGGTCAAAGACGGGGGTGACCCCACCGACGGCCTGTGCAGGGAAGCCCATGCCCAGAACCCCATCAAACTTGGCCAGCATGAAGGGTATCAAGGGCAGCTCCGTAACCTCTGCAAACGTCTGCGTCACTGTGATTCCGCCCACCTGTGGGAGGAAGGACTGGGGAGACCAAGCTCACTGCCCACCCCCGACCAGGATCTTCCCCACTGGGGGCCCCAGGGGCACATATGCTCCAGGGTGTCGCATTTTAGGGTAAGACCAGTTCATCAACCCCACAGATATCTTCTCTCCTGATATGCATCTAGGCTGTGGGGTCCAGAGAGAACTGGGGTTGCTCAGTGACTGGAAGGGGCAGAAGCTGAGAAGGTGGTACTGCCAAGCAGGAGCAGAAAAGATGCCAGGAGCTCCCATTCCCCCTCCGCAATGGCCCAGCTTTCACAGTGGCAGGACTGGGCCTGAGTCCCCCACCCCGTTATGGGCTAAGGATTTCTTCAGCATAGCCAGGCCAGCCCCCGATGCTCCTTTCCCCCTGATTTCACAGACAAGGGGAGAAGTAAGTTCATACCTATTTCTTCCAGGTTCTATGGGCATCCCTCCCCTAACTCTCACAGAGCAGGGCTAGAGAAACCCCAGAATGGGGAGGAGTCAGAGACAGGTCCAACCTCAACTATGACCTTAAAACCTATGAAAATTAATAAAGGAAAGCTCAACTAAAACCAGAGTCTGGAAGGCCTCTTAGAGGGAGATCCCACACCCTGCCACTCCTCCTCAGTTACCCCAACAGAAAGTGTCAGTTGCTGACCCCAACAGGAAGACCTCTGTTACTGACCCCAACAGGATGAGAGTACCTTGCTCTCCCAAACAGGACGTGCAACTACTTTACTGCTCCCACAGAAGGAAGACTTCCTTGTTGCCCAGCAACAAGCCCAGCCAATGGAAAATGCTGCAGCTCAGCCAATGAGAAGCTGTGGTCACCTGAACTTTTACTTTCCTCCAATGAACTTTCATTTTTTCCTTGCTGCTGAGTTCCTGTCTTTGACTCATCCTCCTTACTATGAAAGCCTTTCACGCTGTGTACCTTCTCCAAGTATCTGTCTGCGTGCCAGATGAGGTGCTGCCTGATGCAGGAATCATTTAATAAAGCCAATTAGATCTTCTGATTTACTCAGTTGAATTTTATTTTTTTAACAAACCTATGCCTGACCCTAAAACTAACCCTGACGATGATGTCAACGATAGCCCTGACCCTGACTCTGACCCTGATTTCAGTCTAGGGTCTGGTTAGGAGCCAGTCAGAGCTGGGTGACCTCAGCTGGGTTACTTGACTGGAGGCTGTGGGGCTCGGGACAAGCCCTGCATGTGAGTTAGATGTGAAAGCCTCCATAAGTCACCCAGCATTGAGCCAGGAGCTCAGGTGTGCCCCGTGCCACGTGCTGCTGCTTTGTGGCTCTAGCGAGAGGTGGGACAGCAGGGTGTTCCTCAAATCCCCAGGCTCCAGGGTGGGCTGCACTGAGCCTTCCCCATGTATGGGCCCTGAGGTGCAGGAGAGGTCTGGGGACACGAAAGGCAGGGAGTCAAATGGCCCCGGGCAGTCCTACTTACAGTCACCATGTCCTGGCTCAGGAAACCTTTGACTTTCCCGGATCCGTAGCGGATGGTGAATTCCGTTCCATTCTCCATGTAGCTGGAGGATTCCGAGGAGTCGTAGAGGCTGTGAATCTCTGGCAGAAAGACACAGGCTCAGGTCTGTCCAAGAGCGGCCCAGCAGGGTGGCTCGGAGGCAGGCGCCTTGTGGGTATGGCTTGTGTGACTGAGGACTTAGGTTCAGGGGTGGGGTGGCCCTGAGGTTGGAGGCTCAGAAAATGCATTTCATCAATCACGGACTGTGTTTCTTGGGCCCCTGTTATGTGCCCATATGTCTGAGAATTTTGTCTCAAATGAAGCGTTTTAAAGTAATTCCCAACACTGGGATGGGGAGAAGATTCTGGCCACAGTAAGCACTCAATAAAAGCTTGTTGACTAAGGATAGGGATGGAAGAGCACGAGTGCCTTGGATGGGTCTGAGAATTCAGGCCCTTCTCAGTCTCGGGAAGGCTGCGAAATGGCCTTGTGGGCTGTGGGCTCCTGAAGCTTGCTTTCCTACCTTGGTGGCCATATCAGGAAAATGGGGACCATTTTCCTCTCTCCTTTCAGGGGCAGTGGAAGTAGAGGCAGAGAGAAAACAGCTCAAACGGGAGCAGGACAGACTTAGCTGCGTGTGGGGCAGGACTGCCTGAGTGTGGCACGGCGGGGGCTCGGGGGAAGGCAGGCAGGTCCTGGGGCTCACCACAGGCTGCGTAGAGAGGGCTGCACTTGGTGGAGGGCACCCAGAGGTTGGCCGAGCCTGTGTCAAAGATGACTTTGAAGGTCTGGGGTGGGGTGCCAATGCCGATCTCGCCGTAGTACTGGGTCTGTAGGGGTGAAAGGACAGAGGCGGCTGGAGGAGCTTGGGGAGCGTGGGGTCGTGCCTGATAGCCCTGTTGCCACTCAGGAGAGATTAGGTAGATCTTATATCCTCTCTGGGTTTCCATTTTCCAGCAGGGCCTGGGTGGGAGGCTTGGCACTGTCTTGTGACTTCCCAGGAAGTGAGACAAGGGGGCAAAATTAAAATGCTGGGAATGAAGCAGGAAGCTGCCCACCCCTTGAGGAACCACTGGAGTAGCACGCAGCCAGTCTGCACTGAGCCTGGTCCCAGAAACCTGCACCTGAGGCCGAACACCCCTCCTGCCGACCCGTGACACCAGAGCCGGATGCCCGAGCTCCAGACTGAACTCTGCCTCTGGGTTCCCTCCCGCCTCCAGTGCCTCAGGCTTCCAGCTGTAAAATGGGAGTGCTGTAGGCTGCTTAGTGCTCCTTGGTCAAAGACAGCATGGAAAGAGCAAAGAAAGCCTTCGGCCCAAGAGCGGTGCCGGGGCAGAGCGGGGTCCTCACGTCCAGGTAGTTGGTGAGGACCACGGGGGAGGTGCTGTTGTCTCGCGAGAGTCTTTTGGTGAACTGGCTCCACTCGGCGCCGATCCTGCTCACGTCCACGCCTCGCTCCCTCAGGCTTTCTCGGACCGAGGGCATTTTCCTGAGGAAGATCCTGGCCCAGGATGGAGGAAGAAAAAATAGAGGAGCTCTGTACTCACCCATAACAATAGCAGTGTCCCTGAAGCTTCTAATACAAGCCTCCCTAACTCAGCCCAGGCAGCTAAGAATCACTCCTGCGCCCTCAGGCCTCTGAAGGAAAATCCCCAAGCCTCCTTGAGTCACCTGTGCTGGCATTCAGTGACTCTCAACTAACTGCCTGCCGATGTCTCATTTTGATCCCTACCACTGTGAGCTGAGGCCAGGTGTTCATTCACTCATTCCTTCATCTATTCTGTAATCACAAGTTGAACACAAACTGTGCTCACACCGCACTGGATACTAGAGACGTAAAGATAAAGATCGTCATTGCCTCACGGAGTTCCAGCAGGTGAGGAGACACGCATTGGCTTCCCCTCTGAGGAGCTGAACGCTGGGAGCGCCCCCCTCGAGGCTGTGCGGGAGGAGGCAGTGCCATGCGGGGCCTGTAGGTGGCAGCAGGTGCCCGCAGCAGCCTGCTGGGGCTCTGGGATGCCCGAGGGCTGCGGAGTGGAGCGGACCAACCCAACTGGGTGGGCAGGGAGAGAGGCTGGCATCTCCAGAGCACCTGTGCACCCTGTCCTTGGAAAGATGTGCCTTCTTGAGCCTAAGTCCCAGTCCCTCGGCTTCTTGTCCTGAGGCCTTTGGGAGGCACCATTAAAGAAACTGGGAAACTCACAGCCTACGGGGCGCCAAACACTGTTCACACCCCATGTAACCCTCACAACAACCCTGCAGCCAGCTGTCGCCGTTGCTCTACGATGAGCAAACTGAGGCTCATGGGGACGAGGTGACTCACACATGATGGATCGGGGATTCAAAACAGTGTATCCGGCCCTGTTCCCCATATGGGGGGCCCTGGGCCCCCTGAAGGCCGTTTGCTGAAGCCTGGAGGAAGGTTTCCCTAGCTGTTGGCTGGGGGAGGGTCCCAGGATTGCAGCCCAGTTTGTGGACAACCTGCCTTCTTCTCAGTTCTCGTGCCCCTGTCCTTTCACTGTCCTTTCCTTGTCACTCCCCCTGCATCTATGTCCCGTGACAGCCGGGAACACGAATGCAACTTTCGTGCCTGTCAGTGTAATATTTTAATGGAAATAACTTGTCAGATTCATCTCACAGTTTGACATTCATATCACTGTTGACAAAGTATTCTCACAATTATATCTTACTTGGTTCTCGGCCATCCCATGAGGTGGGTAATGTTATTATTCTCATCTTACAGGTGGGAAGATGGAGGAGCAGAGAAGGCTTGGCCCCAAAGAGGGTGCCTTTTCCACTAGTTACTCAGAGCAGCCCCCGCTCTGGACCTTAACCTTTACCCATCTCCTTGCAGAAAGTCACTTCCCCCCTCCCTCCAGTTCTTTCATCCTTCAAAGAGCGGCACGCACCGCCTCCTCCTGGAAGCTCGCCATGCACTCCCGTTCACGCTGGCCTCACCTTTGCTTTGGCTCCTGGGTGCTCACAGCCAGCACTGCATGGCTAATGCTCAGGGATGTGGTGCTGTCTGCTGGTGAGGGCATAGTGGTTGTGGGGATCTGCTTGAATCCCGCACCACCTGTGTGATTCTGAGCAACTTACCTAACCTCTCTGAGGCTTTTCTGAGCCCCCATGAACTCCTCTGTAAAAATGGACTTAAAGGTAGCACCTACCTCGGAGAATCACTACAGATTCACGAGGGGCCCCGCGCCCGATCAACGTAAATCGTGTGTGTAAAAGGCATGAAAGCACCTTGAGAATGGGGTCCTGTGTTCAGATCTCCCAGACACATGAGAGCGGCCTTGTGGTGCTCCGCACACAGCAGGTGGCACCATTCCTGTGACTGTTTCAGAAGGCTCCCTCCCTCCCCACCCTGGCCCAGCTCCCTTTTCTGTTTGAAGAGAACAGGGGAGAGTGACTTCCCCTTGATCTGCCTTTCCCCTGGGGGGCTCCTCAGCCCCATGCTGCCAGGAAGCGCCTGCCCTCTCACCCCGCCCCCAGCCCAGCCGTGACTCTGGGGGGGGGGGGGGGGCCTTGGAGCAGGGGAGAGAGGCTTTGGGAACAAAGGGCCTGGTGTGTGTGGAGCCTCAGCCCCTCTCACGAGGCCTCCCTGGCCTCAGGGTCCTCATCCGTAACCTGGGACTGTTGGGTTGTTGGGAGGATGACTGGAGATGAGATCTGTGAAGTCCTAAGTGTTTCACAGGCTTAGCGGCTCTCACTGTTATTAAGACCTGCCCTCTCACCTTCAGCTCTTCTGGCGCCATCTGCCCTCCCCAGACTGACACCCCTTTTCCACGGGGCTCTCTCCCTGCTGCCTCTCCCCTTCTGCAGCCTCAAGGAGCCGCTGGTCCCCACAGGGCGTGGCACAATGTGGGTGGCAGTCAGGTCTCTCTCTCCTTTGGGCTGCCCCTTCTTTCAGGGTTGGCGACAGGCCTCCCTGCGCAGCCCACCGCCTCAGGCTGAGGCCTTCCCCTCAGTTATCTCATTGAGTCTTCAGAGCAGCTCTATGAAGTTGGCGCCTATTCTCCTTGTTTTAAAAATGGTAAACTGAGACCTGGAGAGGTGAAGTAACTTGCCTGTGTTTCCAGAGCTAATCTGCCTACTAGGGGAGCCGAGTTTAAACCCGGACAATTCACCTCTAGCAGCCTTGCATTTAACCCCATGTCGTGCTTCCTCCTGCCAGACTTAATGCTCTTCTTAATAATCAGGGCTTGAGGGCAAGGGGCATGTCTAAATGATGTCTGCGTTCCCCATGGTGCCTAGCATGGTGATCTGTGCAGGAAGCGAGAGCTCGGGGCAGGGATCAAAAACACGGCTTCCAGGCCTGACTAGTGCCACTATTGCCTGTGTGACGCTGGAGTCACCGGACCTCTCTCAATGGGACCATACCTCCCTGCCCAGCTAGTTGTGAGGACTGGATGACATCCCATGTCTGAAAGCTGGGGGTGTTAGGAAGGTGGGAACCCCTGTGCCCCTGCCACCCTCTCTGGGCCCCAGTTACCGTCTGAAGGCGCCAGTGTCCGCAGGAAGCCCGAAGGCGTAGGAGCCCCAGAGCACCAGCAGGAGTCCCCAGCGGGGCATTCTGCTCCGTTGGTTCATGCCACACCTGGGTCCCGGCTCTCTCTGAGATCCACCGAAGCCTCATGGCTCCCAGGCCCTCCTCCTTTTATACGCTCCACACTTAGGATGCTTGTGAGTCTGCTTTGCCCTGATTTATTACCCTGGGGCATACGGCAGGACAGCCAGTAATAAATCCCGCCGTGGGGCTGAGCTAGGTGGGTGAAGGGTGACCAGGTTTCCGCCACAGAGCAGGGGAGCCAGAGGAAGGAGGCTGTGGGAAAGCAATGCTGTGTCCAGTGACGCTAGCAGCCTCGTCCCAGCCTGGCCCTGTGACCCCCGGAGGGGGAAGGGGCTGATGAGAAACAGCTCTGCTCAGGAAGAAGGTCGGGGCTGAGATAGGCATAGAACCTAGGTTTCCAACCCCCAGCTGGACTCCACTCCCCATGCCCTCGAAGCTCCATCCTCTGTATTAACCTTGGCTGTGCCCCTGACGGGCTTCTCCCAGGCTGCATCTCAGTGTTCCCATCTGGAACATGGGTCACTCCTCCTGGCTTGTTCCCTGGCAGAGCCAGACCCAGAGGCCTCCCTGATGCCTGCCTCCAACCCTCTGCCAGCAGCAGTTGTTTATGGGAAAGTGCACCATAGCTTGTCAGGAGAAGAGACTGCTGATGCAGCCCTCAGGAAGCAGGGAGCTGCGGCAGGGGTGCGCGTCCATCCTCACCGACCTGGTATTGGTGTGAGGGAAGGGCAGCCCTCAGGGGCTTCGGGAGGCTTTTGCAGAAGGAGGAGGGCAGCTGGTTTTCCACCTCCTCCTCCTCTTTCCACTTGGCCCTAACTCCTTCGGGGCCCTGTCTCTGTCCCCTTCCCTTTTCCTTGTGGTTTATAAGCAGTCTGGGGCAGTTCCCCACACACCTGCCCCTAAATCCCGGGATGGGTGCTATTTATTCAGCCTGGGATGGCCTCCCCCGGCTTCTCCGTGCTCATTCTTCAGGGCCCACTTCAAATACCACCCGCCTCCATGAAGCAGGCCCTGACGCAGCCCGGAATCAACTGCTTTCTGCGGTGGGCTCTCACAGAGTGCAGAGGAGCCTTTCCGTGAGAGCAGGGACCAGCCGTGCTGCAGGAGCGTTATTTGCGTATGCGGGCACCTGCCTCTTGCCCAAAGTGGTGCTCAACACTCATCAAATGCGTGAACGCGTGACCTGTGAGGGGCAGTGTGCAGAGCTCTGAGCTAGCTGTCAGGGACCTGGGTTCTAGTTCTGACTCCGCCACAATCTTGCTGTATGACGGTAGAGCCCTCCCGGCCCCGTCTGGGCCTCAGTTCCTAAATCTGTGTAAGGAAGCAGATGGCTAGTGGCCCCTGGGGTGCCTTCCTGCTTGGACACCTCGTCTTCTCAGTTCTGTGCCTTCGGGTGCCGCTCTCTGTGTCAGCTCTGGGCAGTCAAGACTCAATCAGAGGAGCTCGGCTCTGTTGCCAATATGTTGGCTAATGCACCCGTGATATGATGGCATCTCTGCAAATGATGGAGAATTTAGTGGTTTGGTGTAAATTCTCGCTGGAGAATGCTCGGGCCCTGCTCTTGGCAGTGGTGGAGGTATCTGAGGGCAAGGGAAACTTCAGAACCTCTCACAGCGGGAGACCTGTCTTGCAAGACTGAATGAATATTTACGAAGTGTTCCTGTCACCCTGTGCTCTTCTTCTCCTCTTTCATTCATTAGCGAATATTCATTGAGCATTTGTTATTTGTCAGATACTTTGCTAGATGCTGGAGTTACAAAAGTGGCAAAAATAAAGTTTCTGCTCTTGTGGAGCCCTCGTCCTGAAGGAGAGATGGATTGTTACCATCACAACATAAATGTAACATGATAACGATGAGCAGCCCCAGGCCGGGAACTCCAGGATGGGTTCCCCAAGGGAGTTACACCTGAGCTGTGATCTGAAGCTACATGGGCAGGAAGTGAGTAGCTGAAGAGGAAAGAAAGAGAATCCCAATGGAGACAGCACGTGTAAAGGCCCTGTGGGGAGAGGGAGCATGGGGAAAATAAGGACCCAAAAGAAAGCCAATGTGGCCAGACAGAGATGAGAGGGGTGGAGTGGGAGATGAGACTGGGGAGGGCAGAGGAAGATAAGAGCTAACACTTATCGAACGCTTATTATGGGCCAGGCACCATTCTAAGTGCTTAATGCATTTAATTCTCACGACAACCGTGTAAGGTAGTACTGTTTTTACTCCATCTCACAAGACAGAAAACTGAAATATGGGAGGCTGCGGAAAGTAAGTTACTTCAGGTCACGCTGACAATAGTGGTGGAGTATGGCTGTGAATTTAGGCAGTATAACCCAGAACTCGTTCCACAGCGGACTTGGGTGGCAAGCCATAAAGGTTCTGGAAGCCATTGCTCTGAGCACTGGGTAAACAGGCTATGAAGGGAATAATGATGTGATTAGATGTGCTTTGCAAGGACGCTCTAGTTCCACTGTGGCTTAGCAAGGACTTGGGAATGGTCCGGAACCACGTGGCACGTACCAGTTAGGAAACCACGACACTGGAACCAACTTGTGCGAGGGGAGGAAGGCTGGTGGAGATGGAGAAGACCGGATGGATCTGAGAGAAATGCAGGAAATAAAATCCACAGGATTTGCTGATGGGTTGCATATGGGAGTGAGGGAGACGGAGGTTTCTAGATGCTGGTGAGTCATGGGGTGCTGTGGAAGAGAGCCAGGGTTCCAGAGGGTAAGAGAGTTGGGGAGATCATGAGTTTGAGGATCTTCGAGTGTGGGGTTCCCTTGAGAAATCCCAGGGGTGGCACTAAATGGCGGGTGTATATGTGGACCTAGGTGAAAGATTTATGTGTTATTTGCAATTGGTAGTTAATGCCACAGTATGAATGGAAGTAGTTAGGGAGAGGGTAGAGAGCAAGAAGGCCCAGGACTCCAAGCTTTCATGGGTCAGCGGTGGAGGAGGAGTCTGCGGAGGAGAACAAAATGGAGATGCCGGAGAGGCAGGAGGAAACCAGTAGTCATCGCTGAGGCTGGAGGAGGAGAGCAGCTAAGGGAGGATAGTGAGCAAGGGTGGATGTTGCTGCAGGGTCGGGTAAGATGTGAGTTAAAAGGTGGATGTGCAGCCATTGGTGCTGTTACTGGGAGCTGTTTTGGTGCTGCAGAGGGACAGGAATCCAGACAGGGATGGGTGAAGGAATGACGGGAAGTAGGGAGATGAAGGCAGTACGGTATAGGCAGTGATTTCCAGAAACTGGGCTGTAAGGAAGGGGGAAGAGGGTGACAGCTGGAGGGGAATGAGGACCAAAGAGGGGTTTTCTCTCTCTTCTCTCCTCCCTCCCTTTCCTTCTTCTTCCTTTTTTCTCTTCCCTTCTCTTCTCTTCTCCTCTCCTCTCTCCCTCCCCGCTCCCGTCTCTATCCCCTTCCTCCTCCCTTTCTCCCTCCCTCCTCCCTTTCTCCCTCCCTCCTCCCTTTCTCCCTCCCTCTCTCCTTCCTCTTTCTCCTTCCCTCCTCCCTTTGTTTCTAATGACAGGAAGGAGTTGAATATATTTAAAGGCATAGAAAGGATTCCATTGAAAGGAAGGGATACTCAAGACAGTAGGATTCCTGAGGGGCAGGAGCACACAGGTGGACCGGCGGGCAGGAGAGGAAGACAGGAAGGCAGGACATGTGCTCTGTCGTGGTAGCTGAGGGACTTTCTGTCTGGTGACTGTTATTTTCTCAGACAAATAGGGAGTAAGGACCTCTGGGCCTTGGACCACTGGGCGTTGGGGATAGGAGGGGGTTTGGAGCCACGAGGAAAATGGAGAATGTCTAAAATAACTATAGAAAGTAGGAAGAAGCTGGCCAAGGAAACTAAGAGGATTTCTGGGAGGAATTAAGACATTTAATGGCTGGAGATGATGCCGGTCTGCCCTGTTCTCTGACTCTCCTTCCACCCCCAGTGCTTGGCTGCTAGGGTGCAGGGAAAAAACATGAGGGGCTTCATCCAGGCCTGCGGTGATGCCAGATGTGGGGATCAAAGATGAGGGACAAAGGGATTCAGCGTTCTAGCAAAAACGTTGTTGAAGGATAGACTGTGGACCAGAAGGCGGATGAGGGAGAGAAGTCAAGACAGGATGGAGGATGAACTGAAGGAAGCAGAGAGCACGGACGCACGGGAAGAAAGAGCAGCAGGGGTGGGAAGAGCTGAAGCCCAAAGCTGGGGGGCAAAGAGCTGGTCGGGAGGGGGACTTTGAGACAGTCTTTTTGGAGGTGGAAGAGTTACAAGTGATGGCAAATCCAGAGCAGGATGTGAGGGTGGATGGCTGAAGTGGAGCAGGGGTAAGGCCATTGCAAAGAGGGCACTCAGGGAGCTGAGAGGCCAGGGTGCTGGCCAGGTCACCATCTGCGTGGATGGTGATGTCATCCAGGAGGACCCAGAGGGCACGGGGTGGACGGAAGTTGTAAGTCAGAAGCCAAAGTCTTTGATAGATGATAAGGCGGGACCTGCAAGTCCAGTAGTGACAGTGAGTGAGGGAGGGAAGGTCCGGGGCAGAAAGCAAGGGCCTGAGAGGAGGGCATTCTTCTCCCAGTGTCCACATTGGTCCTGGGAGCTGAGCAGGCTGGTATCCCTCTAACACGGGAGGAAACCGAAAGCTGGGGGAAGTAATGTGTCCTAATTCACAGCTGGTAAGTGCAGAGTGGGGCCTTGCATCCCCCCTGCATCATATCCTGTGTTACATGGGGGTCCAGCTGCCAAGGCGGTGGGCTGCCCTGCCCTAGCATCTCACTTCTCCGCACCCTGAGGCCCTCTGCTGCTGGAGAGTCGGTCAGGAACCTCAGGACAGTGGCTTGACAGAGATGATGTCTCCTTTCCTACCAACAGGCCCTGACAAGATTGTGACCTATCACAGCCAGGGCAGGTGACTGGCCACCCCTTCCTCCCCTGCCCTCTCCCCAGCCCTGCAGCAGAAGGAGCAAGGAACAGGGAGAGAGTCAGCCGGGAGACGGGGCCAGCCTGGAGGCTGCTGTCAGAACAGAGTGACCAGTGCCGTTTACTGGGCACCTGCGATGCTCAGACGTCCTCTGAATATGAATGCGTTTCCTTCTCAGCAGTCCCAGGAAGGGGGCACTCTCTCTCATTCCTGCTGTTCAGACAGGAAGCTGAGGCTTCAGAGAGCTTAGAGAAGGACAAACGGAGCACTCCTCCTGGCGACTCCCGGCCCCTCTTCGTGGCTGTGGGTGTCCGAGATGCCTGGCAGAGCCAATGGGATTCAAAACAGAGAGGTGTTGAGCTGTGGCTGAGCTGCAGGGAGTGCTGCCAGCCCCACATAGCTTTCTGTGGGGAGGAGCTTTTTAAAGCCTGTTGGGGCCAGGGCAGGCCACCCCAAAATATCCAGCCATAGCATATTGATTATTTTGAATTAAAGTTTCTTGAGATGCAAAAAGGCCATTCTGACCCTCCTGTCTCTGTGCCCCTGAAAGCAGGAAGTCGGTCTCCCATGTGGAGGGCGCTCTCCCTGCCTCCTGGTCTCCAGGGCCAGGGATTCAGGGCCGAGAAGCTGCGTAACAACCTGCTAATTTACCCCCTCGAGCCTCAACTCTCATTAAACTCCTCACTGTTTACGTACCCCAAACCTAAGTTTCTTTGTCCCATCATTCTTCACCAACTCGCTGCTTCTTTGTGTAAAAGAGGTAGCCATTGCCCACTTTGTCTACTCTCCGAGCACTGTTTACGATCTCCAGCACATATGTATTAAAATGGGTTTTTCTCCTATTAATCTGGGCTTGTGTCATTTTATTATTAGTCCCGCCATAAGAACACAAGAAGGGCAGAAAGGGGATTTTTCCCCACCCCACAAGCCCACACCCAGCTGAGATGGGGCATCCTGCATACGGCAGGAGGGCCCTGACAGACATTCCAGGTTAACATTCAGGACTCTTCTACGGCAAAGGCAGAGCCGGGCGTCCAGCCAACACATCTAGACCTCTCCTACCAAAAGTGCCTCCCTCCTCACATCCCCGCCTCCTGCCAGTGTGGGCAGCACATCCACCTGCTGCCCTGAGACCAGCATGGGATACGAGTGTGAACCAGAAGTGTGAATGAGCTTACCAGGAGAGAGCCTCACAACAGTGGGAGGCTGCTGTCAGACTGTAAACAGGAGTTTCAGGGGACCGCAGGAGAGGCAAGGAGGTAACTTCTAAGAGGTTAACAGGGTCCAGAAACCACAGTCTCTTGTTTCTCCTGATCACTCCAGCTCAGAGGCTGGGGGAGTGGCAGCCATTCCTTGCTCCCTTCATGGCTCCTCTCAGCCTCCCTTCTCAGCTCCTGTGGGCCCAAGCTCCTGAGACCACAGATCAGGCACCACATCCAAGCACGACTCCTCGTGGCCTGGAATCGGAATGAGCAGGGATCCTGAAACCAAGTCCCTAAGGTCTGTCGAGGGCTCTGCAGAAGCTTACTGGGGAGAGAGAAGCCCCAGGGGTCATAAGGCCCTTGAAGGATTTTGCAAGGGAGGCAGAGCCAGGCCTATCTGTACAGCCCTCCTGAGTAGAACCAAGGCCTGTGCAGAGCGGCAGGGAGAAAGAATCCTGTTTTAGTTCCATCCTAAGGAAAAACTGTCTAGCAGTCAGCATTGCCTGATGAGAGTGAGCGCCCCACCAGGCAGCAAACTCCCAGCCTGGACAGCCAGCTCTGGTCTCTGTGCGCTCTGTGTCCTGACTCCCTGCCAGGCAGCCTGACCTATTCCATTCCCACCGTCGGTGGGGATAATCCAGAAGGAGCGTGGGGCCACCAGGAGAGTCTCTTTTGTCTGAACTTGGGCCGTCCAGTGCCCTGGGCTGTGGGATGGAAAGCAGAGAGGGCAGGGACCCATATCAGGTTATCTCCCAAGCCCCGTCAGCCCAGGGGTCCAGGTTTTCTCACAGACTCCCCAGGATCCCACGTCTGGGCCCCAGGCTGCGTCAGCTGGAGGTCGCGGGAAGTGGAGCTGACAGAGGCAGAGCGAAGGGTTGCTCATACCTGCCCTTTCCCAGTGGGGCAGCCCCAGGACGTGAGAACCAGTCCAGGGAAATATAAATCCCTCGGCGCCTGGTCCTGTCCTCTCGGTGTGGTGCGGAGAGCTGGGGCGCGGCTTGGGGGGCGGGCTGGGATCTCTCAGGAGACAAGTGGTGCTCAGGGTTTCTCTCATAATGGCCCCAAACCCCACTTCGCTCCATGATAAAGATCTCAAAGAGATTCAGGTATTGTGACCACGGCTGGGGACGGCGAGCGGAGGTAAAGGGTGGAGGGAGATAAGGCTGGCAGCAGAAAAGCCTGGTTCACGCTGCTGGCACATGGGCCTGGGTGTATTCCTGCCCATCGCTGCTTTAGTGGGAAACTCTTGCCGTGACTACCACCCTGGGGAAGGCGGTAAAAAGGTGGAAATCGGACTTATTGAGGCTTAGCATTGAGGAGCTAAACATCTTTGGGCTGGTCCTGCTTCTGTTCATACAAAGTGAATGAGGAAGCAGCAGAAAGGATGAAAAATGGCCATGTCTTTCTTCCACCTGCCCTCCCCCTGCATCGTGCTTAGCTCCCATCCCTAGAGGGCCCCAGCTGGCTCCTCAGAGGAATTTTTCAATCAGATGGGGCACTGAGCTCAGCAGAGATGAGCACTCAGCAGAGATGAGCAGCTGGGGCCTTGGGAGGGAAGGAAAGAGTTTAATAATAGCCAGGGCTGCCTCGTGTGGGTGGACCCTCCCGGAGGAGTAATTACTTGGAGAACTCTGGGGAAGGCATTGGGGATCAGGAGAACCTTGGGCGGGGGTGGAGAGAACCAGGCGTCCTTGGCTGCTCGTTCCAGGGACCTTGGGGGAACAGGAATTCAGCCAGGGGGTTGAGGTGACCCCAACCTGAGGCCTGCTCTAGGGGTGACCCAAGAAAACTGAAGGCAGGTCACACGGGTCCTGGGAGCTGCAGGGGTCTGGGGGGAGGGGAGGATTGGCAAGGGGATACTGGTGGGAGAGCCTGGTCGAAGGGGTCTCCCTAAAATGAGATGCACCCAACGCGGTAGGAACAGACACCACATCCTGTGGCACACAAGCCAGACACTCACAAACTGCTTTTCCCCCTATGGCACCAGAGGTCTGTTTTATTAGCAGAAAAGCTTAAACTGGAAGGTCCCTCTTCAGAGAAGGGCGTGACAGAGAACAGCTCAGTGGAGTGTGCGTGTGGTTGGGGGGTTGATGCAGCCACAGTGTTCTGCTGGGAGGTTGTTTGTGCTAAGAGTGTCCCTAGCAGAAGTAGAGCTGGGGTGGGGGAGGGCTGTTAGAGAAAGAGGCTGCCTCCCAAGAATGCACTCCCCACAAAATTGGCCCCTCCCTCCCTCTCTTCTCTCCCTCTTTCCTATTATTTTTTTTTTTAAAGATTTTATTTTTTCCTTTTTCTCCCAAAAGCCCCCCGGTACGCAGCTGTATATTTTTAGTTGTGGGTCCTTCTAGTTGTGGCATGTGGGCCGCCACCTCAGCGTGGCTTGACGAGCGGTGCCATGTCCTCACCCAGGATGTGAACTGGCAAACCCTGGGCTGCCGAAGCAGGGCACATCAACCTAACCACTCGGCCACGGGCCAGCCCCTCTTTTATTTCTTTAAAATTTTTTTCTCCCAGGGCTGGCTCCGTGGCTGAGTGGTTAATTTCACGTGCTCTGCTTCGGCAGCCCAGGGTTTCGCTGGTTCGAATCCTGAGCACGGACATGGCACCGCTCGTCAGCCCACGCTGAGGCTGCGTCCCACATGCCACAACTAGAAGGACCCACAACTAAAACTACACAACTATGTACTGGGGGGCTTTGGGAGGAAAAGGAAAAAAATTTTTTTTCTCCTATCTTTTTAACTTCCAAGAGCCCTTTTGGATTCTTTGATTATTCTTGTGTTTATGGCATCCACTCCTTGTTTATGGAGGCAAACTTTTGTCTTATGCCCCTGAGATATCCATTACAGACTAGTTTTTTAAAAATGATGGTTTTCTTTTCTGTGTTTGTTCGCTTTGGTCTTCTCTTCCAAACTGGAGGTCTTCTTCAGACTCCTGGGGCTCCTCGGCTCTCCACTCATGGTGAAGAGAAAGAGGGGCAGAGGGGCCTAGAAATTCTGTGTGCAAGGGCAGGGCTGGTGCACCTTATTCTAGGTAGGGTCTCTGAGCCACAGGCTGAATGTCTGTGTCCCCCTAAACCATACGTGGAAACCTACCCCCCAGTGCAACGGTATTTGGAGGTGAGGGCTTCTGTAGGTGACCAGGTCCTGAGGGTGGAGCCTCATGAATGGGATCAGTGTCCTTATAAAAGAGACCCCAGAGAGCTCCCTCTTCCCTTGTGCCACATGAGGACAAGAAGGCTGTGAACCAGGAAGCAGGCTCTCACCAAGCACTGAACCTGGATCTTGGACTTCTAGCCTCCAGGACTGTGAGAAATAAATTTCTGTTGTTTATAAGCCACCCAGCGTGTGACTTTTTTTGTAGTAGCAGCCCGAAGGGACTAAGACAGGTACGCTCCAATGTCAGATCTGGTGGTCTTTTCTTTGGGGCCTCCATCTCTCACTTGGGGTCTGGGGAGGCGGTACCTTGCTGCCTGCATTCTGGGAAGGGATTGGGACAGGACTGGGGGCTCGCCCAGGCAGACTTTCAGACTGTCCCTCTCTTCTTAGCAACTCTCTTTATCCCCATCCTCATGTGCTTGTGTCTCCATGGCTGGAGGTTTCTACTGAGTCCTCAAGAGAGGAAGCCTCCAGCCTCTTCCCGGCGGGGTAGCGGGTAGCCTGGCTGTGCTGGCTGGGGAGAGTGGACGTAGGAAGTCTAACTTCTCCATGTTCAGATTTGCAGCCAGTCCTGCTGTTTTCAGTCCACATTTATCCCAGACACATCCAGGCACCGAGACCTGGTCCTGGGCTGAACCCATCATGTCCCCTTAGTAACCCCCGTTGCTGGCTCTGAGGCTGTAGCTTCCGTCATCCACCCAAGCCCTCCATCTAATTTCCGTTTGGAAGATCTGGTTGTCACTTCTCATCTGCTGGGGGTCCCTCTCCCTTCTCTTTGTCCTTGAGAGTTTCTACCTCTCTTGTTCCTTTGTCATCTTAAGGGGCTCAGGAAGCGCCTCACTCATAAGTGTGTCAAAGTGGTGCTTTGTGACATTTCGTGGCAGTCATATGTCGAAGCGACAGTTGTTGAGACTATATTGGACAGATAATAGAGAAACCGTAGGCTCTGAGAAGTCGACCCTGAGAAGGTAGTGGATGTGGGGTGGGGGCTGTTTCTTGTGTCCTGTGCCCAGGCTGCCTGCTCTGGGCCGAGCACTGAAACCTGTGGGGCTCCGATGTCTTTAAAACGGAAGAAGGCACTGAAGGTGAGGAAGGGCACACTAAGTCTCCTCGACTTGACGTCCTTCACCTCCCTGTGACCAAGTCTGGATCTGGGGAAGCTGCTTCCAGAGAGAGAAGGAGACCGACGGTGAAGATTCAGACGCTTGGGCCCTGGCAGGAGGTCCGAGGGGAGGAGGCCTGCCCTGGGGATTGGTGACTTCCCCGGTGTTGCCATTAAAGAAGTCTGGAAAGGGATTGGGGTGGAGTTACACGGCTGCCAGACCTGCTTCCCAAGACAAATCATTCAGGAAAAGGGTTGGCTCTGCCACACAGCAGGACCAGAGAAAAGGGGAAGGCTAGTATGTAGGACGACTACGGCATCTGTGGTTAGAGTGTGGGAGTCTGCTCTTGGCTCTGTAACTTTCCAGTGATGTGACGTGGGCACACCACTTAACCTCTCGGAGCCTCAGTTTTCCTTTCTATACAATGGGGATGATGTTGCCCCCTCAGGCAGTTGTTGTGAGGATGAAATGGGGACCCCTGTGCTTGCACGTTGCAGGGAGTGAAACTTGCTCGTCAATGTAGTAAGAGTGATGCTAGAGGCAGAAATCTCTCTGCACCCCTTCCGCCCCACACCCCAACTCTTTTCCATAGTGGTGTGAGACCATCTCCCGCCTAGTTTAACAGGCTCTCCAAAAGGGGTGGGACCTGGAAAGAGACTCCCATTTCCCCTTCCTCCAGCGAGAGATGCCCAGGCCCTCCCGGTTTCTTGCCCCTTGGGAATTGTCCGGAGTTCCCAGGAAGGCTCCCAGGATTTGAGCTCTCCTAGGCAGCCCCACTGTTTCCAAGTATTGGGGCTCTGGTCCCCCAGCTCTCCGAGCCCACCTGGAAAGTCTGGAGAGATGGGTGGGAGTCCCTGGGGCTAATAATGTTTACAGCCCCTCACAGCCTCCAACCTGCCCTGCACCCTCCCTCTAATCTGGGGAGCAGGTTCAGAGTCAGGCTGGGAGCCTCACAAAACCAAGGATCCCTTTGTCCCATGGAGACACCCGTCTCTCCCCAAGACAGGGGGCCAAGAACTGCAAAGCCTGGGGTCTCGCACGCAGCAGTCCTGGGACAAGAGGCATGGCACAGGCAGACCCAGCTCCCCACCTGCTTCCTGCTGAAGCAGGCCTCTGAGTCAGCTAGCACAGAGATCCTGCAGGGCTCGGGGAGCAGGCCCAGCTGATAGGGCCCGAAATGCCGAAAGAGCGCCCATGCCACACACAGAGCCACACAGACTCACGGATGTGAACATACACACAGTTTCTCATGTTTATCCCTCTCACACACAAACAGGCCTGCTTCTTATATGAGAGAACATGTGTCACTCTCCCGCCCCTGAAGCAACACACACACACACACATCCACAAGCACGCACGTGTACACATGTAGAGGTGTGCACAGGTAAAGCTGCTGTCTCCCTAAACTTAAGGCTGTAAAGAAGGGTTAGAGGGGAGCATAGGGAAATTTGTAAAATTAGGCTGGCTAAGCGCAGACTTCAGAGACCCGACAGCCTCTTCCCACGCAGTCTTCACCAGAGAAAGGACTGGTCCAGGGAGCGGAAGAGCTCACTCAACAGAGTCGGGGTCGAGTTTGTGAATCCTCTCCCAGAGGTACGAGGACACACCCTGGGAGGTTTAGGGGATGAAATGCCCTTCCAAATACCTATAGCAGTCCCTGTCATGCCATGCAGGACACGAGCTCACAGCAGCGTTCATAACTTGAGAGATCCTGGAGGACAGTTTCAGGCCAGAGATGGGGGTGGGTGGGTTGTCCTGTTCCCATGGCAGCCTATCTCGTTGCCATAGCAACACCCAGCAGAGTCCTGGTTTCCCTAATTGGTGGAACACTGTGGCGTTTCACAGGGTGGCAGTGGGCCCCACAAGCCTTCTGGGCAAGAACATCTCTATCCTAGACCAAGCAGGGCAGGTGCAGCCTGCGCCTGTCAGATAGGGCTGGGTTTTCCTGTGGGCAGAAAGGTGGGTTTCCTGGTGTTTTCCTACTAACAAGCTCTAGTCCTTCCTACAGCAATTCTAACTCCCCAGCTACTGGGGCCTCCAGGAATGCCCCACAAGGCACATTGCCCTTTCCTGATGTCTGCCATGGCTGACTCAGATGGAAACCGTGCCATCTCAGAGAGGAGTGACGGTGCGGTGGGGGAGCCAGGCTCTGGTGTGTCAGGAGCCTCATTAGGCTTGCCTCTCACTGACTGTGGGACTTGAGCTAGTTATTTATCTTTCTGAACCTCAGGGCTCTCACCAGTGAAATGGGGATAATGCATGCTCAGCTCCCTGGGTGGTTACAAGGATGCAGAGAAGTGATACGGGTAAAGTAGTGGACCCACCCAGGGCTTCCCACAGGGGCAGGGGACGGATGGCCCAGTCCACTGTTGACACCCCTCGAGCGCTGAGTGGGGCTCAGTGCCTGGGGCTGAGCCCTCACAGAGGTCAGACTGTGGAGTTGGGGTGAGAGTTAAGCCTCAGTGGACAGGGCAGTGGCTGGCATCATCTTCCAGATCAAGCTGTCCAACTGGCTGAGAACTTCCTTGGGAAAGGGGAAGGTACCCAAGCTGTCTGCCTTCCCCTGACCTAAATCAGTGCTACTCCAAATGTGGGCGTGGCCCACGCACCTCTGCAAAATGCCTGTTCCCCATTCTTGGTGAGATAAGTGTAGGAACTAAGAAGACATCTTCAGAAATTTTTATAGAAACTTGATATTGCTGAAACACCCAAGCAGCATGCGATTTGGCCTTCTCCTTAACATTTTTTTTTTTAATTTTTCAGTTTTTTAGTGATTCATTTTTAGTGTGTGTATGGGGTGTGTGTGTGTGTGTGTTTAAAAGTATTGATCTGCCCCGGATTGGAGAAAAAACCACCTGGTCCTTCACCACCTCTAGTCTGAAAAGCCCTGACCTCGGTGACACCAAAGCCATCGTAAAACCAGCTTAACGTCCAGTCGAGGAGACAAGGGAAACAGTCTCATCCGGCCTGCCGGCAAAAATTAGCCACAAAGCACACGCGGGTGAGTCGGCAGCATTTCCTTTATCGCTTCAGGACAGAAACTCCAGTCCCCCTCCCTCTGTCCTGCCCCCAGCCCCGGCCCCGCGCGCACGGACCCTCGTCGGTGCCGTTGGGGCCGCCCGCCGCCGGCCGTAGCGCAGCCCGAAGGAGTTCCAGCGGTAGGCGGGCAGCAACTTCGCCCGCCGCACGAGCGCGGCGCCCCGGGGCGCGGGGATCCGGAGGCTGCGGGGGGCGCACGGGCCCGGCCGCTGGGGTCCCGTCGAGCTCCCCGGAGACGGGCACAGCGAGGCCGCCCGAGGGCGCCGCCCGACGGGGTCGGGCATCCCCTCCGCGCAGCGCGGGCTCTGCGCCCAGGGGGCCAGGAGCGCCAGGGGTCCGAGCCACCGGCCTAGGACAGAGCCACAGAGAGAGGCTGCGATGAAGCCGGGCCCACAAGAGGCGGCTTCAGAACACCCACGGACATGCCCTCCTGGCTTCCTTTTTGTGCCCTGACCTCGAGCAAGCCCCGAGCTCAATGCCAGGCACCATCAGCACCAGCATCTTAGCTTGGATGGTGAGGCCCTTTGCTCCTCCCTTCTTCAACAGAGCTTTGACTTCAGATGTTTTCCAGAATTAATCTTAAATAGCGTTTATATGACATTACTTCCTTTTAGGAAGCAAGCAGGGCACAGCTTGGAAATAAAACGACAGTATTTGCTGGACACTTGGCCTTGCTCCTCCTCTTGGTTCATTGCTGGCCTCTGTCCCTCTCAGCATCAGGCTGGCCCACTGGACTGTGAGCCCCAGGGTGGCGGGTGTGTCCATTCCTGTCTGTCTCTGGGAGTGCCGGAAACAGTGCCTTGCTCATGGTGGGGCCTCAGCAAATGCTCGTTAAATATATGAAAGCTAATGAGAAGCTTGTGGTTACAGAAATCAAGAAATGGGAGCTGAGACCATCGTGCCCACGCAGCCCCCCAATAATTGTGACCCCATAATAAGAATCTGAGGACTGAATGTAAGAGTGGGAAATTATCTGGGTCGCCTCAGCCAGCTGCCCTCCTCCGCTCCGGGCATAATCAGTCTCTCCCCTTCGGACTGAAGGCAGACTGGGCTCATTGGGAAGGCACTTCACACGCAGGGCTCATTGAGTTCGCTATGATTTTTGCCAGTAAAATAGTGCAAGTAGCTCTTAGTAGAAAATAACCCCAGCCAATGTTGGTAGGAGATTAGTGGCAATGAGGCCTGGTGTGTGAGTGGGTGTGTGTTGGCAGGGCAGTTGGCTTTGAGCCCCACTCCTCCATGTCCTGGCTCACTTTGGAGGAGTGTGGGCGTCTCCAGATCTAATGAAGATCTTCCTAGGCGGCCTCCTGCCTTGCCTAGGGCCTGACTGAGATGCGGAGGGACCGTGGCTTCCTTCCTAGTTACAGCCACGTCCCAGCAGCAGGATCACTGCTCAGGCTCCTGAAAGCCTTTTGTCAAAAAGAGCCAAGAGCTCGTCGTCCTGGGGCAGTGGTGAGGTTATTCTCTGGGGGCCTCCCTCAGCCAGAAAAGACACCTGAGCCCAGGAGAGAAGACACTGCGGGCAAAGGGTACCAGACCCGTGTTCTTTTGATCCGGGATATCTTATGCAGACAGTGAAATCAAATGTGTAGAGTCTGCTGCACGTCTCACTGGAGACGCTGAGGTCCGGACAGGCTCAGCGCGCTTCTAGTCTGCCGAGAGAGCTGCCCCCAGGCAGTGGTAGCCCCACTGCACTCTAGCTCGGCCCTCCGAGGCACTCGTGGGGAGCTGTGTGCCACTGGGCGTCCCAGCGGTTGGCTGGCGACTCTGGGGAGGCTTGGTTCCCTCTTGGGGCCTCAGTTTCTCCTGTTCTTCAGTTCCACAGTGAACTCACACGGTTGACAGGTATTTGGATCTGTCCTTCTGTTTAGGTTCTTTTTTTTTTTCAAATTCCCCACAAAGTGTCTGAGGTCACTGATAAAAGAAACCTACCTTGTGAATTCCTTCTCAATAGGTCTGTACAGAGAGGTGGTCGGCGTGGAGCAGAGAAAGCGTGCAGGAGCCCGGTGGTTAACAAGCACCTAGACCCAGGGGAGCCTCCTGACCCCCATAACAGTGGCAAGACAGCCCTCACTTGCAAGGGATTCCCCTGAATGAGTTGCCTGGGCCCATCTCAGTTTCCCAGTAGATGCACTGTTAAACTCACTTTGATAGACTAGCTATAATCTGAAAAATATGGTAACTCTCACTTTGCAGCTCCTCCCACCCTTCTTCCCAAACAGTGCGTACCTGTGGATCTAGGCTGCTCCACGGGCGCCGCCTCTTCTAATGTCTCCCTGAAGGAGGTGGCACAGAGGAAGAGCAAGAGCTGCCACGAAACCAGCGAGTTCATCTTGGTGAGATGATGCAGGTCCTGGAAGTGCCCTGAGGCTGAGACAGAGAGAGGGAGGAAGGACCAGGTCAGGTGCAGGGTCTGGGCTGGGTGCCGGGGCAGAGCCTGGTATGAAGAGGAAAACCCTGGAAGGGAAGAGACAGCCCCTGTCCTTGGAGGCCTCCAGTGGAGGGATGAGTCTGAACAGATGCATCGTAGAAATGACGCTGAGACCACATGCAGAGTATCGTCGTCAAAGCTGAACTCATGCTAAAGGAGGATTGTTAGGGAGGGCTTCCTGGAGGAAGTGAGACCAGTAAAGTTAGGAAGGAAGAAGGATCCATACTGATGGAAGGGGCAAGCTTGCTCAGGCTGGAGAATGGCCCAGATTCTGAATCTCAGGTTTGCTTGAGAGGAATGCTGGAGAAAGGAGGGGTGAGATGCAATGTGTCGGAGTGAGCAGGGAGGGGTGAAGGGAAGTGGGGCAAGGCATTCTGCCGAGTGAAGGACCTTGGGATCCAAACGTTGGCTCTGGAGCCTGGGAGCTGGCTCTTCTCCCCTCCAGCAGGCTTTGCATCAGTCCTGGTCTGCTTTCCTCATTAGAATGTGCCTTCTCGACCTGGCCCAGTTCCCTCCTGCTGTAATAGTCACTTAATTCTCCTTTTCAAGAAAAAGGGAAGAGAGAGGCAATCATCCTGCGCTCTCTCTTTCTCATGGCCTTTCCCAGCCTTGAAGACCGTCATTAAATTGTCTTATTGCCTATAATTCAGGGAAGAGAAAAACCTTTCCCTGATTTCTCAGGTCGATTGTCTCTATATTCTATTCTCCGCGGGCCGGGAGGATGTGAATGGAATTGACCTCAGGATTTAGGCCGTTGAGGTGGGAGCTGTGTGCCCTCATCTCCCTTCACCCCGTCTCCCTTTCCCCTCTCGTGTCCTCTACCCCCAGCACACAGTGCTTCCAGCTCCCATGTCTAATTCCTCTTTGAAAAAGTCGTCAGACACTTTGAGAGTGTCCAACAGGCGTGATTAATGACAAACTGATAGGGAGGAGGTTGCGCTGTAGGCTCAGCGAAAGGGTGTCAGCGCCAGATCTAAGGGCTGGAGCCTTCTGCCAGAGGCAGCTCCTAATGGTTGCTCAGCCCCATCCATCCCTCTGTCCTCGCCCCACTCTCCCTTCCCCTCCACACTCCCTCCAGGACCCAGGCATGGGTAGATGGTAGGAATCCTGAAACAGGATCAGGAATATCCGAATCTGGCCCCAGTTCTGCCCTGCCTCCCAGTGGGACATGAGCAAGCCTTATTGCTCCGTCTACATAATATGAGCATCGGATCAGACTGGCCACTAACTGTCCCCTCAGATGGTCACTTATCCTCATGGACTTTGTGTGTTTGTTTTTTTTTGAAGATTGGGCCTGAGCTAACATCTGTTGCCAATCTTCCTGGTTTTTCTTCTCCCCAAAGCCCCCCAGTACATAGTTGTATGTTCTAGCTGTAGGTCCTTCAGCTCTGCTGTGCGGGACGCCGCCTCAGCATGCCTGATGAGTGGTGCGGGGTCCACACCCAGGATCTGAAGCGGAACTGGTGACACCCTTGGCTGTGGAAGTGGAGCGCACAAACTTAATCACTGGGTCACAGGGCCGGCCCCTCCTGGTAGATTTCGATTCTGTGACACCAGAAACCCAGACCTTGGCTCTCTGCGTCTGCCTTAAGGCCTGGGACGGGGCGTTGGGGTAGAGGCAGGATCAGTCCACTAGAGAGAACAGTGTAAACCAGTCCTTTTGTGGTTCCAGCCCCCGGGGGGAACGGGGTCCAGGTTGGTTGAGGAATCCTTCCTGATCAGAGTGCGGCCCAGGCACCAGGCGTGCACAGGGGTGCCAAGACCCACGGCTGCTTCTGCAGCCCCTCCCCCAGATCGCAAGTCTAGCACGAGAAGCTGAGCATTTCAGAATAACAGTGCACTGGGAGGATGGGCCTGTGGGTACACAGGAGCTGTGGGGGCTGCGGGAGCCCCGCTTGGAGGGTCCAGGCAGGCTTACTGCAGGACTGGCACCTGAGCTGAGTTTCTCAGCTCAAGTCAGCCGATGAATAAAGGTTTATAGAAGGCAGTCCGAGCAGGGGAAGTTGGAGCGCTGGCCAGGCTGGGTGTGGAGGGAACTGTGGGTCCTCCAGCCCGCCAGGAGGGTGGGCTCTGTTGGAGAGAGAGAGTGAGGTGGCTAGGGCGGGGGCCACGAAGGGGCATCATCCCAGAGGGCTGAGCCAGAGAGGAATGTGCATAGATTTGCACTTCAGATGGAGCATTCTGGCTGCCCTGCAGAAGCAGGATGGCACGTGAGGAAGCGGGGAGAAGGCAAGCTGTGTGGGTAGCAGGCAGTGCTCCTCTCACCTGTGATAGAGAGCGCTTACTATGGGTGCCACGAGAAAGCTCTGGTCATCCCCCACTGCCTGACCGGTGCACGTGCGCATACACACACACACACACACATGCACATACACACGCACCCACACAGATTCCCCCAACTCTGAACACATGTGGTAGAGTTGAATTGTTTGGAAAAGAACTGTCAGCTTCCAAGGGGCCGCAATGTGGTTTCCCTGCCTGTGGGGCTTTTCTACTTAGTAACAGAAATTCCAGGCATGATCAGAAAGCTTTTGAGCTGGGGTGGCCTCCCTCCTGGGGGGACCCCAGTTCTCAGTGCAGGGGGCTCGAAGGGTGGGAAGGGACTCTGTAGGAGGTTTGGATTTGCCATCCATAAGTTGGAGGAACTGCTCAGAGGAGCCGTGATAAGCCCATGAGCCCTGAGGGGTCCCCCAGCTCCCTCTAATCCCAGCCACAGAGAGTTCATTCATTGCATGTATTCCTGCCACAGAAAGGGGAGTCCTTGGGAGGGTCTTGCCTTCACAAATAAAATGCAAAAGTCAGTGTATTCATCTGGACATCCCAGAATAATCTGGCCAACCTGGTCCTCAGGAAGGATCACCCCCTGCCCACCCCAGCCTGCCCGGGACACATCTGTCAGTCCAGGAACTGAATTCCTGCTCCCACCTCCAGAGCTTCCCCAGGCTGGGCAGACCCCTCCCAGGTGTGGATGCCGCCTCCCAGGTGTGCATGCTGCTGTGCACCTACCTTGGCGCTGTCCTGGGGCGGTGGGAGTGCCGTAGGGTCTCTGAGGCTGTGACTATTGAGGTGAGTGGACGCCCGGAGGGAGGGGAGCTGTGCTCCTGGGCTTGCTCTGCCAGCCCCCGATTGTGTCCCTTTATAAAGCCCTGAGTGACGTCTCCAGGCACAGGCCCACCTCTGCCTCTCTCCCTCCTCCTTAGACCCCTCAGAGAGCACGGCCCGTGCTGCTGTCTCCTGCCTCCTGCCTCCTGGCTCTCAGGACTGAAATCAGCCTCTTCCTCCCCCAGAAGCTCTCCAAGGCTGGCTGTCTGATTGTCATGAGTTCCCTCCATCCTCCTCAGCCCCTTCTTCCAGACCGGCTCAGCTGGAGACCCATTCTGCCCCAAACAACGTGGAAATGGACTATTTGTGAGATGTCTTGTTCCCCCTCTGGACAAGAGCCACGAGCATACCCAGTGTGAGGTGAGCCTGGTAAAGGAGGAGGCAAGGAGAGGAGGGGGTGCAGTCTGACTGGGGGTCCTTGCTCCCACAGGCTCCCAGCTCTGGCCAGCTCTGCTTGGGTCTCAGACCAGAAGGTAGCTCCTGGACTATCTGCCACTCGGGCGAAATTCTCTCTTTTCTCCTTCCTTCCTTCCTTCCTTCTTCCTGTCATTCCCTAAACAATTGCTGAGCCGTTGCTCAGCACAGGGCTTTGAGATGAATATGATGTGGTTAGACGGTGAGGCAGGTATGTAAGCAGCCGGCTAAGAGAGCAGAATAAAATGGCAGGAGGTGGACATACGTGGGAAGTGCTAAGGGGACGCAGAGAAGTGACTTCCAGGTGTAGCACATCGGAAGAAGCTGCTCCTGGGACCCACGTCTGCATCTCTTGGTGGGTGATCACACTGCTTTGTCCTGGTCCCTCGCTTTGGAGGCAGGGGTGGGTCCCCTTCCCTTTGCACACTCAGCACACACTCCGTTGCCAGTACAGACGTACAGGCTTTCACAGAGTTACTAAACGTATGCCTTGCTCTTTCTTGGGCCTGCAAGAGCGCTCCTTACCTTTGATGAGGGCTCCCCAGGATGGAGACTGTTCCCTCTATCAGACTGGGGCTCTCGGAAGGTGGGGCTACATCTCTCTCCAACAGGAAGCTCTCCCAGCACAGGCTCTACCTGGTGGGTGCACTGTGCAGACATCCCCTTAATTAATGGTTGAGAAGCACTTCCTGCCAGTATGCAGGATTAATACCCATCACTGTCTAGTGCCTACTGCTAACAGGGACTTGCAAACATGTTGTCTCACCCAGTAGGACTATTACACCAGGACAGAAATAAAAGCCTATGGGAGCAGGCCTACCCCTCGCCATGTGCAATGATGTGTGCGTTGCCTGCCCTGAGTCAGGGAGTGGACCTAGGGGGCTAGAGACACCGACTTTGAGTCTCACACACACTCACAGCTCAGGGGTTTAATCCTTCCCTTTCCTCCCATAAATACAGCGCAGGGTGTGATACCAGCCCCAGGCCCCTCTCTACGGGGCCCTGGATCTTTGCTCCCAGTCGTCTTGACAGCCTCTTGAGTTGACTTGGGGATTTGAAGTCAGTCACTTGTCTCCATCCTTCCTTCTGGACTTGGAGAGGTCCGAGTATGATGGGAGATGAGTCAGTGCAGGGTCGGGGCCTGAGGGAGTGGCCCCCATTTCCTTTCCAGCCCCTTAATCAAAGATCCAAGTTCAAGGAGCTCATCTCCACTGTTCAGACCATTGAGCTTGCACCTTGAAGCCTCTGGAACAGCTGTGGGAGCCAAAAATCATTACTCCAGACAAAGAGTGGGGAGCAGACTCAATATCTAGGTTACTATGGAGCAGAGCTGGCCTTGAGAGCCGGAGCAGTGCCAAATGCAGACACGGAGAGGGGCCACGGGGCGTGTCAAGGCACTGGCCGTAGGGCCTCCCCCAGCTTCTCAGAGAGCTCATATCCTGTCAGGTGCTTCAAAGGGAGGGCCTGGGGACCACTGCCCCATGCCTGCCCCAAGGAGAGGACAAAATCTGCCACCTGCTTTTCCTGCTGTCATTGGCTGTCACACATCCTCTCTATGCCTGGGGCCCGACTCCGCCAGGTCCCCGGAGATCTCTGGCACCTTCTGGCTGAGTCACCTAAACTCCCTGAGTCTTCATTTCTTTGGCTCTAATAAGAAGCTATTAATAGCCACCTTCCTGTCTACCCAGACTCCTTACGCACAGGTGCTCACAAGTGCCCTCACCTCATCTGCTCCTGTCGAATGGAAAAGGCACAGGGAGGGAAGAGGAGCTGGGGCTGGCCATCCTGGGGAAGGAGGTCTGAGGGGAGATGGGGCAGGTCCTCTGCACTGGAGGCAGCAGTTTGACCAACTCCCTGTGCTCCCCCACCCCAAGGCACCCCCACCCTGCCACTTACCGCACTCAGGAAGGGGATGTTGGAGGCATTGCCCAGGAAGCCAAAGGCGACAGGGAAAAAGCTCCTAGGAGCAGAGGGGTGGAGGAGTGGTCAGTGATGGCCCCGGAGGGGAACATAGAAGGTAGTGAGGCAGAGGTCCACCCAAAGTCTCCAGCTTTGGCTCCCAGGAGAGTGGGCCCTGGGTACTGGCGGGGGGCTTGGTTCTGCACCTATTTCTTAGGCAGTCAGGTGGAAAGACTAAGAGTGAAGACCCTGCGGTCAGACTCCTTGTGTTCAGATCTTGGCTCTGCCGTTTACCGGCGCTGTAGAAACTTGGTCAAAGTCCTTCTCTTCTCTGAGTCTCAGTTTCCAGACACAAAACGGGGTTGATAATAATAGTGTCTACGTCACAGGACCTTACACCAGAAACGCTCAGGATAGTTTATTTTTATGATTGTCCCTGTCTTCTCCCTAGTTGGGTGTGCACCACCTGCTGCAGGTTTCCTGGGCTCCGGGCACGTGTTCATTCCCCCTCACACCCTGGCACCCCTACTCTTATCGAACCCACCCTGGCAAGCCCGGCTGGGGGCAGATGTGTGATGCTTCAAAGGGCGTAGAGGCCCTGGTTGGTATGGGAAGGGATCCCTGTGTGTAGTAGAGAGGTAAGGGGTTAGGAATTTGAATTCTGGCTGTACTATCTGCTTTTCTTGGGTCTCAACTCCCCGAGGTTCACCTGCTTCTCTGAGGTCCTGATAGCTCTGATTATTAGCATTTTTTTATTGAGTTCATAATAGTTTACATCATTGTGAAATTTCAGTTGTACATTATTTCTTGTCTGTCACCACATAAGTGCCCCCTTTCACCCCCTGTGCCCACCCCCCAACCCCCTTCCCCTGGTAACTACTGAGCTGTTTTCTTTGTCCATGTATTTGTTTACATTCAACATTATTGAAATCATCTGGTGTTTGTCTTTCTCAGTCTGGCTTATTTCGCTTAGCACAATTCCCTCTGGCTCCATCCATGTTGTTGCAAATGGGATGATTTTGTCTTTTTTACTGGCCGAGTAGTATTCCGTTGTATATATATACCACATCTTCTTTATCTAATCATCAGTGGATGGGCACTTGGATAGTTTCCATGTCTTGGCTGTTGTAAAATAGTGCTGCAGTGAACATAGGGGTGCATATGCTACTGTGGATTGTTGATTTCAAGTTGTCTGGGTAGATACCCAGGAGTGGGATGGCTGGGTCATATGGTAGTTCTATTTTTAGTTCTTTGAAGAGTCTCCATACTGTTTTCCGTAGTGGCTGCACCAGTTTGCATTCCCACCAACAGTGTATGAGGGTTCCCTTTTCTCCACACCCTCTCCAACATTTGTTATTTTTAGTTTTAGTGATTATAGCCATTTTAACAGGCGTAAGGTGGTATCTTAGTGTAGTTTTGATTTGCATTGCCCTGGTGATTAGTGATGTTGAACATCTTTTCATGTGTTTATTGGCCATCTGTATATCTTCTTTGGAAAAATGTCTGTTCGTATCCTCTGCCCACTTTTCGATCTAGTTGCTGTTTTTTTGACATTCAGTTGTGTGAGTTCCTTATATATTATAGATATTAACCCCTTGTCGGATATATGATTTGCAAGTATTTTCTCCCAATTGGTGGGCTGTCTTTTTGTTTTGATCCTAGTTTCTTTTGCCTTGCAGAAGCTCTTTAGCCTGATGAACTCCCACTTGTTTATTTTTTCTTTTGTTTCCCTTGTCTGAGAAGACAAGGTGTTCAAAAAGATCCTTTTAAGTTCGACGCCAAAGAGTGTACTACCTATATTATCTTCCAGGAGTTTTATGGTTTCAGGACTTATCTTCAAGTCTTTGATCCATTCTGAGTTTATTTTTGTGTATGGTGTGAGATAATGGTCTACTTTCATTCTTTGGCATGTGGCTGTCCAGTTTTCCCAATACCACTTAATGAAGAGACTATCTTTTCTCCATTGTATGTTCTTGGCTCCTTTGTCGAAAATTAGCTGTCCATAGATGAGAGGTTTTATTTCTGGGCTTTCAGTTCTGTTCCATCGATCTGTGTGCCTGTTTTTGTACCAGTACCATGTAGTTTTGATTGCTATGGATTTGTAGTACATTTTGAAGCCAGGGATTGTGATGCCTCCAGCTTTGTTCTTTTTTCTCAGGATTGCCTTAGCAATTCGGCATCTTTGGTTGCCCCATATGAATTTCAGGATTCTTTGCTCTATTTCCATGAAGAATGTCATTGGGATTCTGATAGGGATTGAATTGAATCTGTAGATTGCTTTGGGTAATGTGAACATTTTAACTATGTTTATTCTTCTAATCAATGTGCATGGAATCTCTTTCCATCTCTTTATGTCATCATCTATTTCTTTCCATAATGTCTTATAGTTTTCATCGTGTAAGTCCTTCACCTCCTTGGTTAAATTTATTCCTAGATATTTTATTCTTTTTGTTGTGATTGTAAATGGAATTGTATCCTTGAGTTCTCTTTCTGTAAGTTCATTATTAGAGTATAGAAAAGCAACTGATTTTTGTAAGTTGACTTTGTACCCTGCAACTTTACTGTAGTTGTTAATTATCTCTAAGAGTTTTCCGATGGATTCTTTAGGGTTTTCTGTATATAAGGTCATGTTGTCTGCAAACAGTGAGAGTTTCACTTCTTCACTCCCTATTTGGATTTCTTTTATTCCTTTCTCTTGCCTAATTGCTCTGGCCAAAATCTCCAGTACTATGTTGAATAAGAGTGGTGAGGGTGGGCACCCTTGTCTTGTTCCTGTTCTCAGGGGGATGGCACTCAGTTTTTGCCCATTGAGTATGATGTTGGCTGTGGGTCTGTCATATACAGCCTTTATTATGTTGAGGTAATTTCTGTCTATCCCTTTTTGTTAAGAGCTTTTATCATAAATGGCTGTTGGATCTTGTCAAACGCTTTCTCTGCATCTATTGAGATGATCATGTGGTTTTTATTCCTCATTTTGTTGATGTGGTGTATCACATTGATTGATTTGCAGATGTTGAACCATCCCTGCATCCCTGGTATAAATCCCACTTGATCATGGTGTATGATCTTTTTGATGTATTGCCGTATTCAGGTTGCCAATATTTTGTTGAGGATTTTTGCACCTATGTTTATCAGCAATATTGGCCTGTAGTTTTCCTTTGTTATGTTGTCCTTGTCTGGTTTTGGTATCAGAGTGATGTTGGCCTCATAGAATATGTTAGGAAGTGTTCCATCTTCCCTGATTTTTTGGCATAGCTTGAGAAGGATATGTATTAAATCCTCTCTGAAAGTTTGGTAGAATTCCCCAGGAAAGCTGTCTGGTGCTGGGCTTGTATTTTTGGGGATGATTTTGATTGCTGTTTCAATCTCTTTACTTGTGATTGGTCTGTTCAGATTATCTATTTCTTCTTGACTCAGCTTTGGGAGGTTGTAAGAGTCTAAGAATTTATCCTTTTCTTCTAGATTGTCCATTTTGTTGGCATATAGCTTTTCATAGTATTCTCTTATTATCCTTTGTATTTTTGTGGTGTCCATTGTTATTTCTCCTCTTTCATTTCTAATTTTGTTTGAGATTTCTCTTTTTTCTTTGTAAGTCTGGCTAGAGGTTTGTCAATTTTATTTATCTTCTCAAAGAACCAGCTCTTTGTTTTGTTCATCCTACTGCCTTTTTGGTTTCAGTTGCGTTTGTTTCTGCTCTGATTTTTATTATTTCTCTCCTTCTGCTGATTTTGGGCTTTGTTTGTTCTTCTTTTTATAATTCAGTTAGGTATAGCTTGAGATTGCTTATTTGGGATTTTTCTTCTTTGTTAAGGCGTGCCTGTATTGTGATGAATTTCCCTCTTAGTACCACTTTTTCTGCACCCCATATGAGTTGGTATTGTATGTTTTCATTTTCATTTGTCTCCAGATATTTTTTGATTTCTCCTTTAATTTCTTCAATGATCCTTTGGTTGTTCAATAGTATGTTGTTTAGTCTCCACATCTTTGTCCCTTTCTCAGCTTCTTTATTGTAATTAATTTCTAGCTTTATAGCATTGTGATCAGAAAAGATGCTTGTTATTATTTCAATCTTCTTAAATTTATTGAGACTTGCCTTGTTTCCCAACATATGGTCTATCCTTGAGAATGTTCCATGTGCACTTGAGAAGAATGTGTATTCTGCTGTTTTTGGATGGAGTGTTCTATACATGTCTATTAAGTCCAACTGGCCTAGATTTTCAGTTAATTCCACTGTTTCCTTGTTGACTTTCTGTCTGGATGATCCATCCATTGATGTGAGTGGAGTGTTGAGGTCCCCTACTATTATTGTGCTGTTATTAATATCTTCTTTTAGGTTTGTTATTGGTTTCTTTATGTACTTTGGTGCTCCTGTGTTGGGTGCATAGATATTTATAAGTGTTATGTCTTCTTGATGGAGTGTCTCTTTGATTATTTTACACTACTCCTCTTTGTCTCTCTTTACCTGCCTTATCTTGAAGTCTACTTTGTCTGATATAAATATGGCAACACTACTTTCTTTTGTTTGCCATTAGCTTGGAGTATCATCTTCCATCCCTTCACTCTGACTCTGTGTTTGTTATTGGAACTGAGATGTGTTTCCAGGAGGCAGCATATTGTTTGGTCTTGTTCTTTAATCCATCTCACCTCTCTGTGTCTTTTTATTGGAGAATTCAATCCATTTACATTTAGGGTGATTATTGATATATGAGGGCTTAATGCTGCCATTTTGTCACTTGTTTTCCATTTCTCCTGCATTTCCTTTGTTTCTTCTCCTGTGTGTTTCAGTCTACCAGCTGAGTTATGTAGTTTTTTTATGTTGTGTTTCTTTGTTTTCTTCTTATTTATTATTGGTGTCTCTGTTCTGATTTTTTGTTTAGTGGTTACCATGAGTTTTGTATTCAAAATCTTGTAGATAAGATAGTCCATTTTCTGATGGCCTCTGATTTTCTTAGACTAACCGATTCAGTCCCTCTCCTCTTTCCCTCCTAAGTTGTTTTTCTCATATCTTATTCCATCTTGTGTTGCGAGTTTGTGGTTAAAACGACAAGATTATCTTTGTTTTTGGTGTTTTCCTTCCCTTTATCTTTAATGTTATACTTGAGTATTTGCTAACCTGTTCTGATGTATAGCTACAATTTTCTGATTTTGTCTACCTATTTATCTCCTTACTCTGTGCTTTGTAACCCCTTTCTCCCTTTTTGTTTTTCAGGTATGAGGGCCTTCTTGAGGATTTCTTGTAGGGGGGCTCTTGTGGCTACAAACTCCCTTAGTTTTTGTTTATCTGGGAAAGTTTTTATTTCTCCACCATATCTGAAGGATATTTTCGCTGGATAGAGTATTCTTGGCTGAAAGTTTTTGTCCTTCAAAGATTTGAATATTCTAGTCATTCCAGTCTCTCCTAATCTGTAAGGTTTCTGAAAAGAAATCTGCTGAGAGCTTGATGGGGGTTCCTTTGTAGGTTATTGTCTTCTGCCTTGCTGCCCTTAGTATTTTTTTTTTCGTCATTCACTCTTGACAGTTTCCCTACTATAAGCCTTGCAGTAGATCTTTTTATATTGACATGTTTAGGAGATCTGGCAGCTTCTTCCACGTGGATTTCCATCTTCTTCCCCAGGTTTGGGAAGTTCTCTGCTGTTATTTCTTTGAACAAGATTTCTGCTCCATTCTCCTTCTCTTCTCCCTCTTGAATGCCTATAATTCTTATGTTGCATTTCCTCATTGAGCTGGAGGTTTCTTGGAGACTTTCTTCATTTCTTTTTAGTCTTAGTTCTCTCTCCTCCTCCGTCTAGAGCATTTCAACATGTCTATCCTCAATTATGCTGATTCACTTCTCTATGATATCTGCTTGAGCAGTCAGAGAATCCATATTTTGTTTTATCTCATCAATTGTGTTTTTCATCTCTAATATTTCTGATTGGTTCTCCTTTATAGTTTCAATCTCTTTTGTGAAGCAGCCCCTGAACTCATTGAATTGTTTCTCTACATTCTCTTTTACCTCGTTGAGTTTTTTGATGATAGCTGTTTTGAATTCACTGTCATTTAGATTACATATTTCTGTGTCCTCAGGACTGATTTCTGGGTTCTTGTCATTTTCTCTCTGGTCTGGAGATTTACTATAACGTTTAATACTGCTAGAGGGTGTGGCTCTGTTTTTGCATGTTGTGTGCTATTTGGTCACAGTTGCCACCTATCGCCACTGGGTGGGGGTCAAAAGTCACGTATTCTGAGCTCTCCGCCTTCAGCCAAGATCCTGGGCACTGGAGCCAGCTCTGGGGGAGGGGGGCGCTTTCACCTCGGTAGGGGCTTTCCCCTAGGCTGCGAGGGCCCTCAGGGATCTTTGATGTTCCTGTGGATGAACGTCCCCTGCTTCGTTCCTTCCCTCCTGGAGGCTGTGCATGGTCCTGGATTGCTGTCTTTTGAGGAGAATGTGAAGTTCTCTCTTACCCCATTCCACCTCCTCCAAGGGGTCTCCAGTGTCTCTGCCCCCCATTGTATGGCTGTGTGGGTGGTCTCTCAGACGTCTTTTGTGTTGTGTGGATGTCCCCTGTTGGAGTACAAATGTCCTTTTCATTGTATGGTGGAGGGGAGAGTGCCGGGAAAGCTCACGCCGCCATGACGCTGACGTCACTCTATTATTATTATTATATTTTGTCCCTTACAATGCTGCTGCAAGGCATCTTTGTCAAGGTCTACTTCTGGTTTGAACTACTAAACCTGCAGTAGCCCCACTTACACTTTGAAGCCCTCCATAAATGGTAGCCATTGTCAGAATTTGCTTGTCTCCTATTCAATTGCAATTTCCTCAGGAAGTTTCTCCTTGTTTCATGCCATATCCCCATATCAGCCCTGCATTTGGCACACAGTAGATGCTTTTTATATATTTGACTGAATAAATGACTGTTTGAGTAAAGCCATATTTGAATGTTGAATAAACGGATGGCAGAGCATGGTGAGAAAATTCAGTTTCTGGAAGCTGCACTCCCTGATGTCTGTAAGGTCTAGGTCATTCAGGCGAATCAAGGTGTTTTCAGGGCTGCACTGAGCAAGTGGAGGCTTTGTGAGAACCCAGTGGCTCCTGCTCCCAGCTCCTTCCCGTGAGGCCATAGCCATGATTCTCCATCCTCCATCATCCTCACCCCACCCCCCTTCTCTCCACAGGGCTCCAAGGCACTCAGGTCTCCCCTCCCTCCCCCATATTCCATGAAGGCCATTCTTCTCCTTGAGAACCCTCCAGTCTTCTCTGAGACCCTCCCCACCTCTCAAGGTCCTGCTTCCTCTAGGACACCTCCCTGGCCCTGAATGTGGCCACACATCCCTCCTAAGTTCCACTCTGCCTTTCACTAGGCCCAGGCTGACACAGGCCAGGCTGAAGGGTGTGGGACCAGGAGCTAGAGACACCTGGATCAAGTCTAGATCCTTTGCACATGACTTGTGAGGCCTCGGGCAGGGGGCACTCTCTGAGCGTTGGTTTCCTATCTGTGAAGCGGAGGACAATCATGCAGTGGGTTGTGGAGATGACAGATGAGATGATGATATGAGCGTACTTGGTGCATGTTAGGGGCCTGGCAAATGCTGGCTCACTGCCCCTGCTCCTTGTCTAGATCGCTGGACTGGAGGGCAGCTCTGGCCTCCTCCCTGGTGACAGGCACAGTGCTGGGCACACAGCAGGTGCTCAGTGTTTGCTGATTGGTGGGCTTATCCCTCCAATTTACCCTTCCACCTACTGGAGGAGGGCCTTCCCAAGTGTCTGCCTGACACCCCTCCCATTCTCAGTCCTTCATCAGCTCCCATCTCTTGTGGATGAAATTCAGCCTCTGCACACCCTGCTGGTGGTGTTGCCCAGACCGGGTGAAGTGATCTTAGCTACTCAGAGGCCCTGTGGACCTGTCCCGGGGAGGGAACTGGCACTCACTTGAAGAGGTTAAAGAATCCGTAGGTTTCCAGGCACATGCCCAGAAGGGGCCAGCGCAGGAGCACAATGACCACACCTCCCAGGAAGAAGCTGGTCCCCTTGAGCTTGTGCCTCTGGAAGAAGAAGGCGAGCATCTTCCTCAGGCCAATGATGAGGGACAGGCCCACCAGGAACAGGAGCTGCGGGGCAGGGAGAGGAGCATGAGCGCCAACACACCAGCCCCTCGGGGTCAGGGGCCAGGTGCTCCGCCGTCAGGCGTGGGGCAGGGCTTGCTAAGGAAGGACGACATCAGAGAGGGCAAGCCAGCAACGTGGCAAAATCCCAGAGCCTTGAGTAGTTCAGGCTTGTTAGGAATGGGACTGCCCAGAGGCAGGGGGATGGACAAGGAGAAATTTGAATGTCTCTAGCTTCTCACTCAGTCTGACCCAGTTTCTTGGACCCCAAGCACTTCTTCGTGTAGGACTCCATTTCTCACCACACCTCCAAGGAAGATGGGACAGACAATGAGCATCTCTCTGTCTGACAAATGGTGCCTAAACGTGTTAAGCGGCCTTACCCAACATCCCACGGAGCCGTCAGCACTCCGCTGCCTGTGAAGTCACATCCCAGGCCCCCCGCTCTGCGGCCCTGCCACTCCTAACGACCCCTTCACAGTGCCTGGACCCCATCAGATGTTTGGGTCTGGCTTTCTTCCCACGTGTTCCACCCCGCTGGAAGTGCTCTGTCTGCCTCCATGCCCGTCTCCTTTCCAAATGCATTTTCATCCTTCTCTCACTGGGTGTGCTCTTTTCTCCACGCACCTTGTTTCACACCAAATGTGTTCATCTTATTGTGACTTTACCCTGCCCCAGCTTCCTCCCCAGTCGTGTATGTCCGTGTGGCATCCCTGTCCCTAGGCGGCGGGATTCCCATGGCAGGAACAGAGTCGGATTCATCTCGGCGTCCCCAGGGCCTCACCCAGAGCTTGGCATGAGAATCCGGGTCCTCAGGTTCTCTGTGCCCAGCAGGCCTTGCTGTCCATCCCAGCCATGCTCGCCTGCCCACACTTGATGGTGCCTGACCCCTGGATGGGCACAGTCTGAATGAACTGGGGCTGACCCTCCCAGCAAGAGAGACCTCAGGTAGGTTGGCGGGGGAGGTACACAGGGCTGGCACTCACGTTTCCGAAGGCCAGGAGCACTGCATCAAAGTACAGGAGTATTCCAAAGAGGACGAAGAAGACGCCGAAGCCAGTGGTGCCCACACCAATCTCTGCAATGGGCAAGGAAGTCGTCGGGGGAGGGCTTTGGGGGCAGGTTGGGGTGCTGGAACTTTCCCCCATTGCTGCTGGACAGGAGCCCGCTGGGGGCTGGGGGCTGGGGTGGCTCTATTTCCATCCGGGAATCTCACTTCCGTGGTCTCAGGGATGAGGGGACGAGAAGGGAAAGGAAGGATGGGCAGGAACCTCTGTTTAGCACCTGGGAACTGGTGATCTGTTCTCTGCGTATGGCTCTGTCCTCACAGCAACCCCATGAGGCAGCTGGTGCCACCCTCACTGCTTCCCATTTTCGGCTTCCTCCTGTCTTCAAATGCTACACCATCCAGATCATTCTCAGGGTTGGTTCCTGGCATAACACAACCGCCTGCCTACTCTCTTCTGTCCTCTTGCCCTTGGGACCTGCTGATGCCCAACCCACACCCGGGCAGGAGAAGACCACTGAGAAGTCATGGCGGCCAGCCCCAAACAGTCTCCGAACCACCCGGCTGTCCTGCTCTACTTCCCAAGAGGCTTGTCCTCCTGAACAATGCTTCACACCATCTCATCGCTCCTCTACACTGCCCGTCCCCAGCTTCCGGGTGATGACCTCTCACACTTGATTGGAAAAATAGAAGTTGTCAACCAGGAATGTGCTCATCTTTCCACCTGGGAGTCCACACCCTAGCCTGCACCTGCTCCATTCTCCTCCCTGCTCCTGCAGCAGCCACCTTGGCTGCACTGCCGTATGCCCCCGAGCCTCCTGACTTCAGCCTCAGTGCTGGGCAGGCCTGCGCAAGGTGGACCCACACTGCCAGAGCCCCTCCCAGTCTGCCCCTGCCTTCTGGCTTTGTGCCTCAGGGCCTTCTGGGAAGCTGCAGGAGTTTGCTCAGAGCCAGTGAGCACAGAAGAGAAGTGCAAGATATTAAGCCTCTCTGGTTTGGTCAAGGGCTACATTTTTGACAATTTGACATGCTTTTCAGATCCAGTGAAGAAAAGTTGTAACAATAACAGGATATGAAGTTTCTTTCCTTTTCTTTTCTTTTTTGCTGAGGAAGATTTGCCTGAGCTAACATCCATTGCCAATCTTCCTCTTTCTATGTGAGGTGCTGCCACAGCACGGCCACTGACAGACAAGAGATGTGGGTCTGTGCCTGGGAACCAAACTCGGGCCACCGAATTGGAGTGCACCAAACTTAACCACTAGGCCATGGGGACTGGCCCTGAAGTCCCTTTTTTCTTAAACCCTCTCCATCAGGCAGAATTGTTAATTTTGCTTATTTTTGCCACTCTGATAGTCAACAAATGACAGTTCATTGTGTTGCTTCATTTTTAAATGGAATTGATTGAATTTTTAATTTTAAAGATTTTATTTTTCCTTTTTCTCTCCAAAGCCCCCTGGTACTCAGTTGTGTGTTTTTAGTTGTGGGTCCTTCTAGTTGTGGCATGTGGGACACCGCCTCAGCATGGCTTGATGAGTGGTGCCATGTCCAAAACCAGTGAAACCCTGGGCCACAGAAGCGGAGCATGCGGATTTAAACACTCAGTCAGGGGCTGGCCCCCATCTTAACCATTTTTAAGTGTGCAGTTCAGTGGCATTAAGTACAGGCACACTGTCATACAACTGTCATCATCATTCATCTCCAGAGCTCTTTTCCTCTTACAAAACTGAAACTCTGTCCCCATTAAACACTATCTCTCCTTCTCTCCTCGCCCAGTGCCTGGCACCCACCATTCTTCTTTCTGTTTCTGTGGTTCTGACTGCTCTAGGCACCTCATATAAGTGAGATCATACAGTTATCTGTCTTTTTGTGATTGGTTTATTTCACTTAGCACCATGTCCTCAAGGTTCATCCACGTTGTAGTGTGTGACAGGATCTCCTTCCTTTATCAGGGCTCAGTAATATTCCAGTGTGTGTAGAGACCACATTTTGTTTATCTATTCATCATCCATGGCCATGTGGGTTGCTTCTGCCTCGTGAATAGTGTGAATGATGCTGCTGTGAACACGGGCGTGCAAATAGCTCTTCAAGACCCTGCCTTCACTTCTTTTGGACAAATACCCAGAAGTGGAAGTGCTGGATCAGATGGTAGTTCTATTTTTGCCTTTTTGAGGAACCACCATACAGTTTTCCATTGTAGCTGCACCATTTTACATGTGCACAAGGGTTCCAGTTTCTCCACATCCTCACCCACCCTTGTTATTTTCTGTTTTTTGTTTTGTTTTGTTTTTGATAGCATCCATCCTAATAGGTATGAGGTGGTACCTCATTGTGGTTTTGATTTGCATTTCCCTAAGGATTAGGGATGTTGAGCATCTTTTCATGTGCTTGTTGGTTATTTATAAATCTTCTCTGAAGAAGGGTCTATTCAAGTCCCTTGCCTATTTTTTAAACAGGTTGTTTGGGTCTTTTGTTGTTGAATTGGAGGAGTTCTTTACATATTCTGGATATTAACTCCTTATCAGATGTATGACTTGCAAATATTTTCTCCCATTCCATAGGTTGCCTTTTTGCTCTGTTGATGTGTCCTTTGGTGCATAAAAGTTTTTAATTTTGATAGTTCAGTTTACCTATTTTTTCCTTCGTTGCCTATGCTTTTGGTCTTGTATCTGGAAAAGCATCGTCAAATTGAGTGTCAGGAAGCTTTTCTCCTACGTTTTCTTCTAAGAGTTATAGTTTTACCTCTTACTTTGATCTAAAATGAACTTTCAGATAATTAGGTGTATATATATAAACCTTGTGACATAAGGTAAGGGTCCAGTTTCATTCTTTTGCCTGTGGATGTCCAGTTTTTCCAATGTCATCTGTTGAAAAGACCGTCCTTTCACCATTGAATGGTCTTGGCTCCCTTGTTGAAAATCCTGTGGCCATCAAGGCCAGGTGTGTCTCTGGGCTCTCTGCTCTAGTCCATTGGTCTCTGTGTCTGTCTTTATACCAGTCCCACACTGTTTTGATTACTGGAGATTTGTAATAAATTTTGAAGTCAGGAAGTATGAAATCTCCAACTTTGTTGTTCTTTTTCAAGATTGCTTTAGCTATTTGAGATCTCTTGAGATTCTATATGAATTGTAGGATGGGTTTTTATATTTATGCAAAGAAATGCCATTGGGATTTTGATAGAGATTGCGTTGAATCTGTAGATTTCTTTGGATAGTAGTGACATCGTAACAATCTTAAGTCTTCCAATCCATAAACACAGGATCTTTCTATTTATTTGTGTCTTTTAAAATTTCTTTCAGCAATATTTTGTGGTTTTCAGTGTACAAATATTTTGCCTCCTTAGTTAAGTTTATTCCTAAGTATTTTATTTGTTTTGATGCTGTTATATATTTCAAAAATTATTTTTATTTATTTATTTTTTTTTGCTGAGGAAGATTCACCCTGAGCTAACATCTGTGCCAGTCTTCCTCTACTTTGTATGTGGGTCACTGCCACAGCATGGCCATTGATGAGTGGTGTAGGTCTGCGCCCGGGAATGGAACCAGGGCCACCGAAGCAGAGCACGCCACTAGGCCACAGGGTCGGCCCTCGATGCTGTTATAAATGGAATTTTGTTGCTTCCTTTTAGAAAATTACTATGGGGTTGTATGACTTCAACTTTATATTGTACATACAGTTTTGCAACTTGCTTTGTTTACTTAATATAGCTGGAATGCCTTATTTTCTTTTTATTGTAAATTTTATGGAAGATAGGAACATGGCGGGAGTATCTTTTTAAACTACAACATGTAAAATTTTATTAAAAATTGAAGTTGGCTTAATGTTCTTAAAGAAAACATATAGGCAATTTTTAAAGAGAAAAATCTTACTGGACTTGTTAACACTTTAGAGTTGATCCTCACAATCTCTATGAAATTGGTATTATTGCCATGCTTTTATAGATAGTTGTAAAAAGTTTGGTTGTTAAGAGGCAGAACTGTAAAAACAAAACAAAATAAAAACAAAATTATTGAGACGACTTCTTGGCTAAGTTATATTTACAACTGAAAGAAAATGAAACAATGGGTTAACTTTTTTCTTAGTTTAAATAAATTGAATTAAAAAAATAAAAATATCTGTTATTAGCTTACACCTGCCATAAAAATAGGTCATTGATCTCAGTTCTGATGATATGCCCTGTCTCCCTCAGCAGATGTTTTTATGTGGAAACACAACGTGAGCATTTTATTGGGTTGATCTTGTTAAATATCCATATGTCCACCCTGCAAACACTTAGGAACAGCCTCTACTCATTTTGTAGAAACAGCATAAGTTTCTCAAATGCACACTTAGGTCTTCTGTTCTATATTATACTTTCTTCTGCAACAATGATTTGCTGGTTGGTGTGTTTACTACTTTTCCACTTGTTCCACGCTCTTCTCGAAGGGCTGGTGCAGTTCTAGAATTTTCCTGGGACGGGTCACACACTGTGCTTCCAGCATTCAGCGGAGAAACTGCACCGTGGACACAAAACCTCACAGAAAAGGGTCAGAAACTGTGTTTCTCACTCACAAGCCTCAGACCCTCCTCGGCGATTCAGTCAAGTGACCAGCAGGGCTGCCCCTGAAGTTCCCTTTGGGCAGCGGGCATGGCCGAGAGGAAGGGCAGGACAGCAGTGCCAAGCCCGCCAGGGGTGGCCGGCGGCCCAAACCTCGCGACCTCAGTGCCCAGCAGCTCCGGAGTGGCTGCCCAGAGGCGCCGTGGCCCGCAGCCCACTGCAGGGACTGAAGGCAGGGGCCAGGCCTGGCGCCATCAGAGGGGGAAGCAGTGTCACCTGGAGCGGGCGGGGCCCTCGGCCAGGGCTGTGCAGGGAGCCTCCGAACACCACTCACTTCTCTCTCACTCTCTTTAATTTTGCACAGAAAAGTGGCAAGTCCAATACAAAGAATTTCTCCTGAACCGTTTGAGTTGCCACCGGGCACTCGTCACCCTGAATACTGCGGCGTGGTTTCCTGTGCTCTGCTGCACAGCCAGGACACAGCCCTTTAAGTCTGGAGATTAGTGTTGATCCATTCCTGCGTCTAACCCTCAGCCCCCGGGCGGGGTTCAGGGGGGTCCCAGGAATATCATTTACAGCAAAATGGTCCAGTTCCCAATCCCATGTGGCATTTGGTTGCCACATCTCTAGCCTCATGTCTGGAACAGCTCCTCCGTTTCTCCTTGACCTGGACACTTTTGAAGGTTCGGGCCGGTTACTTTGCAGTTGTCCCCTCTTTGGTTTGTCCCATGTCTCCTCGTGACTAGATGCAGGACATGCAGACATATCAACAATCGTGGTGCTGTTTTCTTCTCACTGCCTCTATTACGTGACCCACGGTTTCCATACTGTGAAGGCACTCTCCACCCCAGCCCTGACGCCCAGGATGCTTCACCTGCCCTGGCACCAGGCCAGCCCAGAGTGAATACCTTTCCACCAGCTGGGGCTCTGACACCAGCTCTGGGCTCCCCCCTCTCCACCTGATGGTTTTAGGACTAAAGTTCAGGAAGAAGAAGGAGGGAATGGAAAGAGAAAGAGCTTTCCTTCGGTTTTCAAAGCTAACAATAGTGATGACTAGTAATAACCGCCAGCACTGATGAACACACGGTGCCAGGCACAGTCCAGCACTTCAAGCACTAACTCATCTACTTTTCATAGCTGCCTATGAGATATGTATTCCGTTAGCTCCATTTCACAAGCAGAACTGAAACTCCGCCGGGGGTACACAGCCAACAGCTGGCAGAACCAGGGGTTGAAGTCTGGCTCTAGAAAAACTGCCTTTAACCAACCCTGCCCAGTCCACTTCCGCCTCCCACACCCCTCCACAAAACTGCTCCTGCTTTGGCCACCTGTGATGTCCACGTTCCCAAATCCAATGGACAGGCACCAGTCCTCGTCCGTCAGCAGCTGGCCACTCCCTTCCTGAAGTGTCCTCTCTGGGCTTGCACGATTCCGTGCGGTTGATTTCCCCCTGCTGCTCTCACCACCCTTCCCCGTCTCTTTTGCCAGCTCCTACTTCTCTTTTTTCCTCTTGCGATTTGAATTGCTCAGGGCTTCGGCTCCAGCTCGCTTCTCTTCTCGTTCTACCTCCACACGTAGCCCACGTCTTTGTGTATCACTGGTGTGCTGACAACATCCATGATTGTCTTTCTGCCATGCCTCTCTTTGAGCTTCCAAACTCACATCTAGCTGGCTGCTTAGCGTATCTGCTTGGTTTTCTCTCTCCGCGGTATTGTGAACTCAACAGGTCCAAACCGGGCTCCTGGTCTTCCTTCCTTAAACTCACACCTCCCTTGGTTTCCCCCAAACGAATAAAAATGCCTCTGCCACCCAGCCCGAGAGCCGGCGCTGAGCCTCCTCACTGGCCCTGCCCTCTCCCCGTTCAATCTGCAGCTAAGTCTTATTGCTGCTTCTCCCCACATGCATCTTGAAGGGAGTCCATTTTGCTTCCCTCTTACCGCTTAATGCCAAGCCTCCATCCCCTCTTTCCTGACTCCCTCAGCTAACCCCAGGTAGTCTCCCGCTTAATCCTGCCACCCTCTTATCCCTTCTCCACACAGCAGTCAGGGATCTTGGAAAACATTCAATCCAATAATGTTCGCGCACTGCATAGAATCCTTCATGGCTTCCCACTGGGCTTAGAATGAAACAGCGTCCTCCCATCCACACCTTGGCTTACAGGCCTTGCAGGTTGGGGCCCAGGCCTGCTGGTCCAACTTCATCTCCTGCCACTATCCCCCTTGCCTGCCGTACTCCAACCACATTATTGTTTCCCTGATGAACCTTTCTGCCTCAGGGCCTTTGAATATGTGGTTTCCTCCCACTTGTTATCTGCTTTACTGCATAATCATCCTTCAAATCTCAGTGTAAATGTCAGTTCCTCAGGGAACACTGATCCACTCTCCCTTCCCTGACCTAATCTGGTTCCCTCATTTCTCTCTCTCATAGGACTTATCACATTTTCATTTAATAAAATGTTGGCTTGCTATTGGGCTCAGGCTCAGCCCTCTTCTCTCTCTATTTTTATTTCTTAGATCAGTGGTTCTCAACTTGGGGTGGGGGAGGGAGAGGAGGGGGCGATTTTGTTCTCCATGGGACGTTTGGTAATGTCTGGAGACATTTCCGGTTGTCATAACTAGGAGTGGTAGTATGCTACTGGCATCCAGTGAGTAGAGGCCAGGGATGCTGCTAAAAGCCTATAAAGCACAGGACAGCCTCCACAACAAAGAAGTACCCTGCTCCAAAATGTCAGTAGTGGGGAGGCTGAGAACTGTGCCCCAGGCATGTCACCAGCTCTCATGGTTCTAAATACCATCAAGATGCTGGTAAGTCTCAGATTTCTCTGTGTGTCCCAGACTCATAGACCTGACTTCACTTAAGATCTCTCCTGGATGTCTACTGGCACATCAAACTCAACATGTCTAGCAGCCAACCCCTGCTTCCCCCCACTCAGACTTGTAATTGCTCAGGAGAAGTACTGCAGGCATTCCTGACTTCCGGCCACCACACCCCAATGCAGTGCACCAGCATTCCTTCCAGCAATTTCCTCAGGAAGAACCAGCATTGACCTCTTCCCACCAGGACAGCACTACCGCCCTGCTCTCCTGCCCCGTCTCACCTCAGACTGTCTCCTGCCCCGTCTCACCTCAGACTGTCTCCTGTCCCGTCTCACCTCAGACTGTCTCCTGCCCCGTCTCACCTCAGACAGCTCTCGTACGCCGTCTCACCTCAGACTGTCTCCTGGCCCGTCTCACCTCAGACTGTCTCCTGCCCCGTCTCACCTCAGACTGTCTCCTACACCGTCTCACCTCAGACTGTCTCCTGCCCCGTCTCACCTCAGACTGTCTCCTGCCCCGTCTCACCTCAGACTGTCTCCTGCACTGTCTCACCTCAGACAGCTCTCCCACCCCGTCTCACCTCAGACTGTCTCCTGCCCCGTCTCACCTCAGACTGTCTCCTGCCCCGTCTCACCTCAGACTGTCTCCTGCACTGTCTCACCTCAGACAGCTCTCCCACGCCGTCTCACCTCAGACTGTCTCCTGCCCCGTCTCACCTCAGACTGTCTCCTGCCCCGTCTCACCTCAGACTGTCTCCTACCCCGTCTCACCTCAGACTGTCTCCTGCCCCGTCTCACCTCAGACTGTCTCCTGCCCCGTCTCACCTCAGACTGTCTCCTGCCCCGTCTCACCTCAGACTGTCTCCTGCACTGTCTCACCTCAGACCCCTCCTGCGCCGTCTCACCTCAGACAGCTCTGCTGCCCCGTCCCACCTCAGACAGCCCTCCTGCACCACCTCACCACAGAACTTGTTTCCCCTTGCTTCCCTCATCCCTCCACAATCCATTCACAAGTCGGCATCCGGAGTAAACCTCTTGAAAACGTACACAGATCTTGTTCCGCCTCTCCCAAAAACCCTTCCTTGGTTTCCCAGCTTATGGAGATAGTACCAGCGTCCTCAAAGAGTCTACCTCCCCCTTGGCTCTCTGAGTAAACTCCTACTACTCCTTCCTACTCACTTGGCTCCAGCCACACCAGCCTCTTAGTTCTTCAGACACGCCTTGTGTTCTAATGTCTCTGGGCCTTTTCCCCGGCTGTCCTCGCCTCCTCGAGCATTTTCCCCTCCAGACAGCTGCACGGCTTTCTTGCTCCCTTCCTGGAGGTCTCTGTTTCAAGGCCCCTTCCCAGTGCAGGCTTCCTCCCCACTCTGTGAGCACTCCCTAGCCACCTTATCTTGTGTTTTTGTCCAGAGGACCCATCGCCATCTGACCTTCCACATTCTGGCTCTTTGCCTGTCGGTGACCTGGAACGTAAGCAGGGAATACTGCAGTCTACTCTGCCCAACACAGTGCTTGGCACAGAGAGGAGACGAATTTGCTCCGTCAATGGATGAATATTCTCTCCAGTTTACAGCCGAGACACTGGGGCTGGGGTCTTTAAGGAACTCACACAAGTGAAGCTCACAGAGCCACGGTCCCCACCCTCCCAGACCCGTGGACGAGCTCTCTGTCGTTCCCCCAAAGGCAGGGGCAGGAAGTTCAGGAGTGGGGATATGGTGGTTCAGGGAGGGGAGTGGAGCTTACTTTCTGATAAGAAGGGAGCCAGGGCCACCTGACACCTGAGACTGTGGGGAGGAAGGATGTCGGAGTGGGCAGAGGCCTTCTGAGTCTACCTTTGCAGCATCCCAGGTCCAAGACCCTGAATGGGAAAGGGACCAGCCTGAGTGGTGAACTTGCCAGCTCCCCCAGGCACTGGCCTCTGGCCCCCCGGGGGGCCCTGAGCAACTCCCCACCCACCGGAAGGCAGGTGAGCCACCCCCGGCCCTGGCCCCGCTGCCTCAAGGATGCCAACACAGCAGCTCCCACATATTGGCTCCAGAGGTCACCTCGTCGGTTCCCCAGAGAGAGATCTTGGCTGAGGCGGGCATCTCAGCCCCGCCCCACCCTGGATACCCCATTCCAGCCCCGCCCCCTCGACAGCACCAGCTGCGCACTCACTCTGCCATTCAGTGATGGAGATCATGCCGTAGGCTGCCTGGGGGGCCTTCTGGGTGGGAGCTGGCACAAGGTGAGGAGCAGAGAGGACCGAGCTCACACGTGTCAAGGGAAGCTGACCCTTGGTAAGTTGTGAAATGAGCCTCTGGTGAATCATTAACCCCCAACATGAACGGCTGCTTAAAGTCGCAGGCGCCCCTGGCCCGGTCCTTCCCAGAGGACACTGCCCCTCCCACTCCACCCACCCGACCCTCCCATGCCCACCCTCCCTGCCCTGAGGCTGAGTTCAGCTGTTTCCGTCCTCTCTGCAAACCGGGCTGTGCGTGGAGCAACAGGCAGGCAGGGAATGTGGGCTCCTGACGCGGTTTGGTAGGGGGTGCGGGAAGAGTTGGCCTCTGTTTCTCTGGAAAAGTACTAAATTCACCCTGTAAGTGAAGTTGGCTTGCTTTGTGCTCGTATCCCTGCTGGACGCTAGGGGGTGACAAGCAACTGAGAAAACCTGTTGCTAACAGGTCCCTGGGCGAGCCAGATGCCTGAAATCCAGCGGGAGCCCCAGGGGACTGGACACAAGCGACGTCAGCTTCGCTGCGAAAAGAAAGGTTGAGATAAAGGTGGACTCAGGCTTCGGGGAGGGCTGCACGACTCAGGAAGCCTGGCCCTGGTGCACGCAGTAGCCACGGAGGCATGGGGCATCCTTTCTCCCTCTGGGGGCCTGAACAACGAGGCGTGGAGAGCTCCTCACACCCGTTCCCCCGCTGTGGACCTGCGGTTCTCAGCCCCATTAGAGCCAGTGTCCCTTTTGTAATGTCCCCTCTTCCCAGAAATGCAGTTCACAGACGCTATGGCCAATCTACACACATCATTCAGAAAAAGGCAAATAAAGCTCATTACAATAAAGAAGGAAAAAAAGAGTAATTTATAATAAAACACGATGTCTCTCAATACATAAATGCTCAGACAAGAGCATCCGAGAAGACATAGATGAAATAGGCAGGTTGCTAGCACTTACTTATAACAAATACATTTGAATTTAAGAGAAATAGAAAATCAGAGCCATTATATACAAAACAAAGAAAGAAACAATCACAAGATACCCACCCCCACCCCCCACCAAAACTGAAAGAGCAGTAGGGAGTAAACACTAGGATAAAAACTAATGTTAGGTAAGTAATAACAGATTAGAAGTACTTGCATATAGAAAGAGAAGGAGAGAAACGACCTCAGTTGAATTAGGGATGACAGGCAAGGCAAGTTAGCGGTGGCAGGGGAGCCGGCAGCACGCACCTGTGGGTGCAGGGGCGCCATTGCGGAAGTAGCTCCCGGGGTTAATACTTGCTCGGTCGGGGGAGCATGTGTCGCAGACCCAGATGTCTCTGTCTTGACGCCACCGTGTGTTGAGGTAAAATTCAGACTGTGGGATGGGTCTTCAGAGGCCTTGGGGATCGTACAACGGGCTAACAGGCACTGGGGAATAGAGGGTGGGCTGCAGAGAGCGATGGTGATCCAGTGGTTTAGGGCCATTGTGTGTGGACCCCGAGACAGTGCTGGAGGACGATAGAAAGGCAACAGGCAACACCCAGACATTCCCAAACGGAACCGCTACAGCATCACGTTCATCCTTGGGCTGCAGCCCTGGAAAAGGGAGAGGCTGCGACAAGGTGGGGCCGTTTCTGGAGGCAGTTGAGGAGGCGCAGAGAGCCGGCTCTTCCAGTGCCTTCACTTCGCTGGCGCCTGGGGCTCCGGGGCCTCGTCAGGCAAACACCTGCAGTCGCTCTGCCCATCCCCGAGACCTACCGCAGTGGGGCCACTTCCAACCAAACACGCGGTAGTTGAAATGGTATAATCCACCGTGTAGACAACGCCTGGAGTAGATTATTCAACAACTCTGAGACATTGTCTTTATTCCATTTAAGTTTCTTCTCCGTAATAACCATCTCCTAACTTACTGAGTTACTCATGAAACATTAAAAAAAGCTTATAAAAACTTTTTAGTACTATTATGAATTGCAGTGTGACTGACATGCTGTTAGAGGGTTTAGTCCAGCTGTACATTTTAAAGTCGTGCAGGATAGAGGACAATTCTTTGTTTTGGAAACCTGCCCTGTGCCTTGTAGCCACTAAAGACCAGAAAGAGTGTTGCCCCTCATCACTGAGCTAACCCAGCCTCCCTCGCAAATTTCCAAAGCCCCCCCGGGGTGGTCTCGCCCCTGGAAGCTGCTCGGGGGTTAAAGAGCTTGTCAGGGCCCTGGGCTTCATCCTAGCCGCTGAGACCTCACGCATTTATTTACTCTTTCTGTGCCTCAGTGCCTTGGGTAATAACACCATCTATCACATAGAGAGACATCGAGCAGTGGTGAGTAAGCACACGTGACGTGCATAGAACCGAGTACTCGGCACGGAGTAAACGCTTAACTAACGAGCCCTCGTTATTACTATTCTAGGACAGTTCTGATAACTACTATTGTTGTTACTATTACTGTTATTAGTATACTATTAAATGCTGTGATATGAAAGACCTGCTCTCATCTTAAATGTGGTTCTAAACGGCTCCTGCAGGCCTTGTACACCTAGAGCAGCTAGGAATGCCTCCCCCAGCCGGGGAGCCCCCCGTGAACTCTGCTGGAACTGGGCCCTCCTGGCTCAGCTCTCTGATGGCAGCACCGGGCTCTGGAGTTGGGCCCAGGGAGACTTGTCCACAGCCCACCTCTCCGGAGAGGAGCCTCTTGGTGGGGGCCACCCCAGGGAGGAGGACGCAGGCCAGAGGACTGGGGCTGGGCCTCGGTCTGTGGCCGCCCATGACCTGCCACCGTGGGGCAGCGCTGGGGCGGCGCATTAGTCCCCGGGGCTGGAGGAATAGACGCGGGCAGGGGAAGGACACCTCAGAGGGCTGAAGGGCTGGGGCTCTGGTGACATCTCCCAGCGAAGGCTGTGGAGCCAGCGAAGGGGGTGGCCTTGGGACAGGGGTCCAGAACTCAGAATCACCATTAGAGCCGGACAGAGGCAGATCAGGGATTAGAAGCAGCATGCCATTCCATTGCCTCTTTCTCAGATTTCTTCTCTTCCTTGAACCGTTAATGCCTCCATCTGTCCCCAGACATCCTACAGAAGCCCAGCTGAGGCCTGCCACTATCCTGCCGCGCTTTCCCTCTCTACTCCCCACCCTGCAGAATTTACAGGGCTTCTTGACTATTCTTCTTCACAGAAAGACTTCAGATTGAGAAGCTCTGGTAAAGTCCTTCACACTGAGTGTCAATAACTGATAACCTCTGAGTACCTGCCAAGAGAAATAAACCCAAGGCATTGAGGCTGGGTGAGAAGAACTTGGGTGGCTTCACTGATGCAACCCCCTCTGCCCCCAGTCGTGCACGTTCTTGTACCCTAAAGCAGAAATGCAGGGCTTCGTGCGGCAACCGGGAAAGGCTGGGAATTACTGTTCTTCCCCTACCTTCCGACCCTCAGCCTCAGGGACAAATCAAGGGGAAGGTTGCAGGGCCTGAAACATCCGTTGCTTCCATCACATGGGGCCTTGATGAGCCTTGGTCAGGGGTGACCTGGGCCAAAAAGGCAGCTGTGGTGTCGGCAGCACGCCATCATCCCCGGCCCACGGGGAGGAGCTCTTCTGAGAACGCTGGGACTCCTACCTGGGAGGGAGCGAGCGGAGTGGCCCGAGGCATGCAGGGAGGGTGGCACACAGGCCAGGAACCCAGCTCTGCTCTGAGTCAGGAAGGCCCTGCCCCAGGAATTCCGTTTCTCTGCCAAGCCCGAGGCGAGCCACAGACAGTCAGACACAGAGCAAGGGACACACCACTTACAAACCATTCATTTTATTTCCTGTATTGGGTTTATACAAACTTGCAAGATACAAACGCAGAGCTCACTGGGATTCTTCAGTTCCTAGACCTGGAAAGGATGCTGCCGAGAGGGGCTGTGCACTCTCACCTGTCAGGTACGACGCCCCCTGGGAGGCTCGTGGGCAAGAAGGATGCCAAGGGGCTGCTGGAGCTGCGTGGTCCCCTGACACAGAGGCCCTCTGTTTACCTAACTTAACTCTTCTTCTAAGGTCACTTTTATACTAAATAAAGACACTGAAATCATACATTTCCTTGTATGGTTTATTGTCTAATACTAGCAAATCAAGTTGGCCCCAATATGTGCATAAATAGATATGTGTGTGTATATATATATATATATATATATGTATGTATATTTCATATTTTCCCTTAGTTTTAAGAGCTGCCTGGTGGGGACCTAACGGGGAGCCGACCCCACTGAGCCACAGGCAGCCCTGCCCGGGAACATGCCTCTCACCCAGGCAGGACAGCAAGCGTGCTCAGCTCCGACCTCAGAGAATCTTTAAAGTGACAGCAGCAATATTTGATTACAGCCTCTCGGTTATTGGTCAGGGGGGTAATGTGCTAATTGGGAAGGCCCTAGATTAGTACCCACGGCTGTCCCCAGGTGGATTACTTAGCCCTGGGCCTCCATCTGGGCCCCATTCATTCATAGTAAGATGCTCTAGGCTGGGAATAGGGCACCAATAAACGCCAAAGTTGGGAGATCAGCCTTCAAATGCTGGCTAGGAGCTCTGGGCAAGATTCTGAAACCTCTGACTCCAGATCTGGACAAAAGACTTCCAATCTGCCCAAATCCTCGCAAGGCAAAAGCCCCTTGCCCACGTCACAATTGACGAGCAGTCTGGAAGGCTGAGCTGGTTTACTTCAGCACCCCAACAGCAGGCAGCCTGCCAGAGGAAAGTCCTGGGGGTTTCTTGGGCAAGGCTGAGATGCTACACTGTCCATGGGACCCTCCTTAGCCCAGAAGCTGACTTTGCAGTCTGGATGCCAGACCAAGGTCATCCCTATAACAACAGCCCCCAGAGGAAAGGTCACAGAGCGAGACGGATGCCATAGGTGTGACCCAGACAAAAGAGAATCAAGTGGAAAGGAGTGTGAGAAGTCCTGGAATTCGAACACATTTGCACTTAAGGACCCACGATCCCAAACCATTTCTATTGGCCTTTGCACCGTATCCTGGGTCCATGAAGGAGTAGAACTCTTGGTGCTGTTTAGCATAGGCTGCCATTAAACTGTCTGCCCTGTCCATCAGGGTGATGAGGGGAGGGGGTGCAGGAGCACATCTTGGGGGGGTGACAGCATGGGTGTACTTTTGTGCACACAACTGTAAACATTTCCTTCAAAAGGATTAACATCTCATGACTCTAGAGGGTCATCAAGGGTTGACAGTGTTATCAAATCCGTAGACCGGGACTTCCAAGAGAATGTCCTGCCCTGGCAAGATGCTCTCCAGGCGAGCTCTGGGAACCAGCCCTTTGCAGACACGGAACGGGAGGAAGGAAGCTGCCAGTGCAGAGGGAAGGGCATAGAGCTGGACCTAGAGGCAGCCACTCCAGTCTCCTCATGTCGTTTGCCAATTCCATTCAGACATTGTACATTTTGAAAATAGACTTGCTTTTATAACAAAAGCGTAAAATACATCTGTCTTAAAATAAGTCTTTCCTCTCCCCTTCTTTGGATCAAAAGGCATGGAGTATGGCTGCAACATGCTAGGAATGGCTGGAAAGTAAAGGAGAGAAAGCAGGCCTGGGCAGGAGTTCTAGGAACAAATCAGACATCCAAACACATTTACGTATTACACACACATCTACAATCTGTGTAATCTCCATACAACATATATTAAGGCATGTGAAGCAACATAAAGAGCCAGCTTTATGAAAGAGGAGATGGGAGGTGGCAGGAGCAGACATTTTACATATATTTCTAAAAATATCATGTAAAAAAGGAGAGACAAAGAAAGGGGAAGGCTTGGAAGGCCCTGAAACATTCATTTCCTGTGGATGGAGACAGGTGTGGGGAAAGAGAGGAGAGGGTTACTTGGGAGCCAATCCTACCTGCAAGTCTATGGGGGAGAAAGGACAGGTTTGAGGGACTTGCTGTGCTAAAGATGGGAAATGTAGCCAAGGGTCCTGTTCAAAAGACCTGCTAGAAGTGACGATAAGTGGAAGCCCCAGACCGTAACCCCTTGGAAGCATGAGACTATCCTAAGCACCCAGAACAGTGCCTGGTACATAAAAGGTGCTTCAGAAATATTTGTTGAATGAACTGTCATCTTTACTTGCATATGAACCCGTAACCGTCCCAGCCATGACGGAGTGGAGAAGAACTGGTGGAAGATACAGCAGTTGTTCTAGGGGCTGCAGGAGGTAAGGCTGAAATCTCCAGGCAGTTGCTCTGGCAAAGAGAAGGCCTGGGAGCCAAGGTTTTTTTCAGCTTGTCTCTCTCTCCGCCATCCTCTCTGGCTACATTCGTCTCAAGGTGGGTGGAGCAGAGGAAGAATGAGTTTTGCTTCTGTGTCTCCTCCATCGGCCTCCCTGGGTAGGTGGATTGTGAGAGCGCCAAGCTAGAAGGGAGTCCTCCAGCAGCCTCAGTGGTCCTCAGCTGGGAGGCCTGGCATGCAGGGTCAGGTCCTGGAATCTGGCCTCGCAGATTAAGGCCACATTCCCTCTCCCTGGGGCACACTCTCAGCTGGCCCACAGCACACTTAGGAGGATGGGGGCCAAGGAAATATCACAAAAATGGTTAGGAAAGGCTCAAGGCTGACCACACACTACATAAAACAGGTCCTTCTCTCTGCCCTTGACCGCAGGAGGCAGGGGCAGACACCAGGCCCAGACCTACAAAGACCCACCTTTCTCCCAGGCTGTCCTACCCAACTTCTTCACCCCACACCCCATCCCCACACCAAGTGCCTCAGGTGAAGGCTACTGTGCGCTTACTGGCAGGGCCTCCTGGGGCCCCGCTGATGCAGGGGGTGAGGTAGGAGGCACAGAGCTGACAGCCTGGCGCTGGACTGGGCACTAAGCTAAGGCTCCACCCAGGAGAAACCCATCCCATAGTCCCTTCCCGTCTCCCTCTTCCTCTTGCTTGCAAATAAGTCCCGCTACTTCCTTTCCTTCCTGCTTTCCTCGGATCTCTCCCTTTCTCTCTGCTACCCTTCGCAACCTCCCCTCGGACACTGCACAGACCTGCTGCTCTCTATGCACAGCCAGCACTGCCCCCTGGGAGCCGAGGAGCCTCTCCCCTCTCTCGTCCTCTTGTCTTTGGCTCAATCAGGGTGGTCAGTCTCCACTGGACCCCAAAGGAGCACCCATAGCAGAGATGTGTCAAAGCCCTGGGTAGAGCTAGGGTAGTGGGGTGGGGTTGATAAGGGAAGGGGATGAAGGCAGGTGCTGTCCTCGGTGTCAAGAAGGGCCAGAAGAGGCCGAGTGTCCATCTTCTCTTCACCTCTAGTCCCAACCTAAGATAGCCCAGGGCGTGTTCCTCACCACGGCATCTTCTCCATCAGGGAATGTTCCAGTGGGGCCACCACAGGCCCAGCCAGAGCCAAACCCAGGCTCCTTGTGACTTGGGTACTAGAGAGGACGTTGCTCCCTACCCGCCATCTCAGGCCCTAGCCCAGGACCACCGTCTGAGTAGTGAGGGCTCCAGGCCGGGTGTGGTGGGTGTGTGGACACTGAGGGATCCGTGCTCCTCTACGCAGCAACCGCTGGCCCCCAGCCCGGCTCCCTGTGGCATTCCCAAGGGAGCACAGGGGGAGGGGGCCAGAGTGGGAACCAGAACCTCAGGTGGGCAGAAGAGGGCTTCAGAACGTGGCTCTGTGGAGCTTCACAGCGTTGGCCTCAGCCAGGGCTTGCACTAAAGAACAGAGAAATGGGGTGAGAACAGTGCTGCACACAGGAGCAACGGCTCCAGCCAACCTTCCCCGGACAGAGGGGTCTCTTCCTATACAAACCCTGTGGAAAGCCGCCCCTCCCTCACCCCTGAGAGAGGGCACAAAGGGATGGAAGGCCATGTTCTTTCCCATGAGCCTGACACTGAGCCACTGTGTGCTGGGGGAGGAAGGGACCCGGCCTTTGACTATAGTTCTCCAGCGTTATTTTAATTTACAACGAGATCTGGGAGAACCAGCTTCTGGGGGCTTCTGAGGCAGGACTGCTGTGAATCTCAACAGATGGAAGTCTTGTTGGCCAACGGGAGGTACAGGGTGGGGTTTTAGGAAGTCCCTCCCCTGACAGCGGGCAGGGGCGGCCTCAGCTCTGTTCCCTGTCTGCTTCTGGAGAAGCAAAGCCCGCTGGGACTGCAGCACCCCCGACGTGGCCCGCAAGCCGGCTCTAGCCCAGCACTGCATGGGGACGCCGGTGGGCTCAAGCAGATGGACGGCAGGCTAAGAGCAGCAAGGGCATGGGGGTGGGAGAGAAGCAATGCGGGAATGAGAAGGCGAGGATGGCTCCGTGGGGGAGGGAAAGGGCCCCACTCCCGGGGTGGATGCAATACAGTAGAAAAGTGCTTACGTCAGAGCTCAGACCCGCATGGTATGGCTGCTGTCGGCGCCCCGTGGGGATTCAGACGATGGGGGGTTGGCTGGTGGAGTCGGGGAAGCAGGGGAGGTGGGAGGGCTGGGGGTGGCACATTGCACTGGAAATAGAAATGAAGAGGGAAGTGAATAGGGGTGGTGGGGGTGGGAGGAGTGAGGAGGTCGGGCACCCAGAGCCAGCGAGGCCCTCCTCCGGGCAGGCAGGCAGCAGCAAGGCGGGAGGCAGGCAGAGAGGAGAGCTGAGCTTGGGAACCTGCTCAAGCTGAGGCAGAGCCGGCCTCGTCCGGGCGCCATGGAGTGCATGGGGCCCAGAGGAGCCCTGGCTGAATCCAGGCCCTGCTGGGGACCGGTGTGACTGTGGGCAAGGCCCAAGGCCCCCTCCCCTCTGTGCAATGGGAGAGCCGCACACCTCTCCACTATTGTGTGGAGAGAAGATAAGTGCAGATGGCACCTTTAGTGCAGTGACATTGCTAATGATTAATAGTGCAGGAAAATCACACTAATCCAAATCTTCAGGCCCCCATTTAATGACCAGATCCAGGTGAGGTAATCCCCATGTTAATAATTCCATGAAAATGGAGGTTTCTGACAGGCTTAAAAGCGAGCTGTTCGCTTAGACTGGCTCAGGCCTCCCCACCATCACAGGAGACCCCTTTTCGTCAATCCAGGAAAGGCAAACTTCAATCCACCCCTGAACAAATCATTATGAGCCTTAAAGTGGTGACATCTGAATTATTGAGATTTTACTCTATTATCATTCTTATTCCATGTTGAGCACAGCCAAGTGGAAGGACAATAGGAAAGGAGTTAGTGTCAGGGACAATCTCCACGCAGGCTCCGGACCCTCGTGCACGCTCAGTGTAGCTGCGAGGCAGGAGCGGGCAGAGAGCATGTTCTCACTAGGGCTCAGAGAAGAACCAGATCTCAGCCAAGATCACTCTGTGTGTTTCCTCCAAGAGAGGAATCCCGGCAGTGAACCTCAGGCCCTCGCTCCTCCCTGCCTTGGACCTCATCATGTTCCCTGCCCTCTGGGCAAGAGAAGGGCCAATGCAGCTCCCACCGTACACACACGTACACCCACATATGTTCCTGAGACCCAGGCTTCTCTCACAAACAGGAAGTTGGGTCTGCCCACACACAATATACAGTTTGTACATGTGCTCTGGCAACGTCGTCTCTTTACACATTTACACATTGCACACAAATCTGATATGTGTGTGCTTGCCCGCTTCCACACCTCGGCTGGCAACATAACCCAACACTTGTAACGTCACATACAAACACGTTCACAGACGCCTTTGAAACATACATTCATGTGCGTATCCATAACATAGACCCAGCGGCTTTTGAAACACACATTCGTGTGCATATCCATAACACAGACCCAATGGCTTGGAAACACACATTCGAGTGTATATCACAGACCCAATGGCTAGCGATCTGGCAACTTCAACTTCTAAAACAGTCAAAAAACCAAAAACTAAGCAAGAAATATCTCAAGGAAGCCAAATAGATGTTCCCATGTACACACAGCAAAGTTCTTACAATTTACTCAGAGCTGCTGCTTGGAGACCATCACTCTCATTCACACACATTCCAACAGGGATTGACTTGCTGGGTTTCTAACCCATGGGAGACAAGAAACAGGAAAATGAGAAGAGAGAGAGGAATTGAGAGGCCCACTGACATCTATCAGAGGCACAAGTGAAGAGAGAAAATCTTTTGTAAAAAGTAGACATAATAAGGTGGAAAGTGTCACAGTTTGGGAGCATTTAGCACAGCTGCAAACAGATCTGTGCGCCCACAGCCCCTAAGGCACCCGTTCAACAGAGGTCAGCAAAGAAAGGAGATGGATAATGACAGCAAATGAGCAAGAGCAGGAAAGATGAATTACGCTAATCATAACCTCTTTAAGAAGGCAGAGAGGCAATAAATATATATTAGGAATATATCCATCACGATAAATTCACACGTGTAGCAGATACATACTGGACAGGTGTGACGTGACAATTGAGTGTTCACAAGTCCTACCTCATCTGCACACATAAATAATCAGTCACATGTACCACGTTCATGAGGCCCCTCTCTCCCCCATCCTGCACACACAGGTATATGTTCACAAACACTGCAGTATATACACTGTGTACCACATACACACAAATATGTTGTATCACTCCCTATACTGCAAGAAAAGTCAATCACACATAAATATGTGCATTCATAGACACACGCTCTATCCACATCCTGTACACTCACACACAGACCCACACTCCAACAGCTTACCAAACGGCGCCTCCCTCATCAATAATGGGCCTCCACACAACTCCCACAGACACTTTAACACATACAAACTCCTCTGTGTGCACTCAAACAGTCCTTCTAACTGCATACCACACACTTGAACACACACTAATCCACGTGTATCTACAAACATTCCTCAATACAGACACAGCACATGACATCATGCCACACATACAAACTTAAAATGGCCACGTCTTCCCATATACTACACACTCGAGTCTGCACATATCGGTATACTGACGATGCTCCTCCCTGACAGGCCATCCACGCCACACCCCCACTCAGCACCAACTCTGCCTCCTGTGCCCGCTGTGCTGCCTCACACCCCCTGCCCACGCTTGCACACACAGGACCACCCCACCCTGCCTGTGTCTGGGAGCAGCCCTTGCAGCCCCAGGAATCTGGGCGCCAGGCCAGGGGCGGTGTGGACAGTGGGCTGAGTCTGAGGCCTGGCCCTGCGATAGCCATTTTTTAAATAGTTGGGGTTTTGGCAAAGGCAAGGTGACTGTTTGCTTTCAGGGCACAGACCCTGAAATGTAAGCTGGTGTGTATCAAGGGGGAAATCTGAGAGGCCCGGGTGGGTATGTTTTCACAGAACCTGGGGAGTGGCAGAGGGAAGTACTTAAAAAGTGTTGTGCCTTCTAACCCTCGAAACAGGAAGTTGCCTTTTGCCCAGAGCATGTGGAATTTGATCTTTGGAAGGATCGAGTTCGTTTTGCAGTTAAACTACAGGGAGGTCCGACAGAGGCCTCCTCGCAGCCAAACTGGTCCTGCGCCTTGTGGCTGCAGGATGGGGCTCTCGGAAGCCCATCCCCTCTCTGGTCCTCAGCTCCAGCCCAACTGACACCCTCTCTCTGAAACACCTTCAGGGTCTCTCCCTACCACCAGCTAACAGCCTTTAAACCCTAACTGCCAGTAGCTTCTTCCTCATGGTTACTTAAACCCCCTTTGTTATAGCCTAAGACCCTCTGGCTTCTGAACATATCCATCTTTACAATAACTAGAAAAACCACAAACGGTTCCTACCTCTCCTTCAGCTATGGCTACTTCAGCTAGTACTGCCACCACTCCCACCACTCCCACCATCGGCAGCGGACCACAGCTGGCCAGCATTTATTGGCACTGACTCAGTGCCAGGGACCATGCTGGGTGCTCAGAACACATTGCTTCTGATCCTCACGTCAGCAGACAAGAATTCTGATTGGAATTCTACGGGTGAGGAAATGGAACCTCAGAGAGCAGACTTCGAGCCCTGACTCACCAATGCGAGCTGCCATCCCTTCCACTGTGCTCCCAGCCACAATCCTTCCTGCTCGCCGCCTGACCCTCACCCCAACTCTGCAACCTCTCTACCCCCTCTACCGAAGCCATCGCAAACCCGGCTTCCTTCCGCGCATCCCTCTCGACCGGCCTTCAGAGGCCTCACCCTCCGCTCCCTCTCCATCCTCACCTCCTTCTGTGTTGAGGAGGAGGAAACAGTCTCTCTGGCTTCATGACTTACCCACTGCCCTTCCCCTACCTTCCCCTTCCCATTCATATGGAAGATCCTGCATTCTTCCCAGTTACATCCTCATCTATTCGGGATGACGTCTCATGGCATATGCTTGGGACCTGCTAGCCTTTGTGTCAGGGTGAGGTCAGTTCCTCATACTCATCTCTTCTTAGCCGAAAAGTGCGCTTGGGTCAGCGGCCAAGGCAGTGACTGTATCACTCAGCCCCTCGGCTGCCTGCACCATCTTCTTTTTTTGTCTTCCTATTTGCATGCAGCGAGAATGGGAAGAATGCTCTGGAATACCTGGCCCTCACTCCACAACTGCTCAATATGTTTATTTTTCCCAATCAAGCTCAGTTATCACCTTGTCTCTGGGCCTTTCCCGACCTGCCGGGAAGAATGGCTCCTTTTCCTCCCCGTGCGGCCTCTGGACACTCGTCCACACAGCGTCTAGGAGGGTCATCATGGCTCTGACCTCCTCGAGGTCAGTACCCCTGCCCTCTGCACCCCCTGAGCCTAGCACAGTACCTGGTGCTCAGGAAATGCTCACCCTGACCTTGAGCAACATCTCCCAGCCCTGGACCTCTCTGTCCCGGGCCCCTTGCAGCCCTGTGCCTTCTCCCTGACACCTGGTCAGCCGGTCTCCCTGGCGGAGCGAGGCCCAGCCCCTCTCACCAGACAGCATGCGGCCCCTGCGGGAGGCCTCGGTCGCCAGGGCACAGGAGATTTCAATCCGCTTTTCCTGCTCCTGGAGCTGGCTCTCTGAGTCCTGGGGCACGTCCACAAGGTCCCCCTCGCCGATGGGCACCACGTTCTGCATACTGAAGAGGCACAGACACACAGACATGGTGGGGGGCAGGATGGCCAACTGGCTGGGGGGGGGCAGCCTGTAGCCTGAGGTTGGCAGGGAGGCCAGAGGCCTGTGAATGTGCAGGCACTGGTTCCCAGCAAGGCTGTCCCCAGGGGTGAGTGGGACTCTGGCAAAACATGTGTTGGGACCCCTACCCACAGCATTCCAAAATGAATTAGAAGGTTCAAGTGAACATTTAGGGCAGCCTTGAAAGGGAAAAGAAGTCACCAGAGGGCCACCCATCAGTTTGTCTTGACTACAGCACGTGCCCGAGCCCAGCAGGTCTCTTTGGCCCCCAGCGCAGCATCCTTGCCCCTGCTGTGTGCCTTGGCCCAGTCCGCTGCCTTGAGCCACTGTCTCCATATGGTCTCCGCTGGGGAGGCTCAGGACCCCCAACAACACGGGTTGGGGCACTGGGTCCATTGGCACTGGTACCCCAGGTGTCCGAGGTGCCAGGGTGGGCAGAGAAAGTGGAGGTTCACCCAGGCCTGTTACCTGGACTTGGCAATGAGTGTCTTGATCCTTTCCACCTTCTTCTGCTTCTCCTTCAGCTCTTCAGGGCTCAGGGGGGTGTCAGGCTCCAGGTCAATGTACCGTTCGGGGATGAGGACTTTGTCTGGGGTGGAGAGCTATGGAGGGACTGAGGTCACCGCCTCCATCCCCTGCCAGGTTGCCCCCTTCCACCCTTCCTGGGCTCCGCTCACCTCCTTATTGATGTCCACTTCATAGTGCTGCGGCTCCAGCTCCATTTTGCGAAGCCGGGCGATTTCCTCCCGCGGTGTCTCGTAGGCCTGCCCACCAGGCTCCTCTGCCCGCAGGGCTGCCTCCAGGTTGGAGATGTCCACCTCATGGATGCTGCGGTGACGGCGCACCTGGGGGACAGCACAGTCCTGAACACGCAGGGCCTTTGCCCCAATGCCAGCAGCACCTCCAGTGCTACCCCTGCCTCTAGGCAGCCCTAACCATGCCCATGTCCCCATTGTCCCTGACTAAGCCATACCACCTGGCCACCACCCCACGCCCCACTGTAGAGGTATTCCCCTTCCACACCGCTCGTCCAAAGCCCGCCCCCGTGCCGGCCCGGAGGTAAAATCTCATCAATCTCTCTCGTCAGTGCTCATCGCTCCCCAGCCTGCCGCACGCTGTGTTCACACTGAGAGCATGTTACCACTTTGTAGGCGGGCCGAGCAGTGGGGTCGGGGGCCGGGCTGGCCGGGAGCTGCAGGCTCCTCCGCTTCTCCTTCACCGAGCCGCTCTGGTGCCGCCGCATGCGGTCAATCTGCTCCTCCACGCTCATCTTGACCTTGCCCTCGCCAGGGAACACAGCACTCTTGGGGCGCTCCTGCTGCAGTGGGAGAACAGGGCTCTGACCGGTGCCTCACCCCAACACAGCTTTTTCATCTGCCCATATCCCTTAAAATCTCCTTTCTCTGTGAAGCCTGCCTCTAGTGGGTTGAAGAATGGTCCCCAAAAGCTAAGTCTGAGTCCTAACCCCCAGTTGTGAAGGTGACTTTATTTGGAAATTGGGTGTTTGCAGATGTAATTAAGTTAAGGATCTCAAGATGAGATCACCCTGAATTAGGGTAAGCCCTAAATCTGATAATGGGTATCCTTATAAGAAACAGTAAAAAAGAAGACACATAGAGTAGAAGGTGAGGTGAAGGTGGAGGCAGAGATTGCAGTGACGTGTCTACAAGCCAAAGACTGCCAGCAGTGGCCAGGAGCTGGGAGAGAGGCATGGAATGGATGCTCCCTAGAGCCTCCAGGGGGAACCAACCCTGTGACACCTTGATTTCAGACTTCTGACCTCCACAACTGTGAGAGAATAAACTGCTGTTGTTTTCACCCACCAAAGTTGGTGATACTTTGTCAATTTCCTTGTGGCCCGAGGAAACTAACACACTGCCTTTGGTCGGCACCTTCAACTCTGACCACCGACTCTGCTGCATGTTCATTCCATCACAGGCACATTATAATAATCTTGTTAAATGTTCTTACATCTTTATTATGCATATCTTCTGTGTGCCTTGACGTGTCTCCCTGAAGGAGACTCCTCCTCCAGTGGGCTGTGCCTTCCCCAAGCATGTTCTGCCTTCTTCTCCAGCCCTGGGTTGCCTGAGCAGTGGTGACAGATGGGTGGACACACACGGCCCCTGGGCTCCCAGCCCAGCCCGGGCCTGCACGAGCTGTCAGAGCCTGCGGGTGTGTACTTACTCGGGGGGTGAGTCCATTAGTGAGCCCACTGGCACTCCTCTTCACCACCCTTGAAGGGGTCACCTCTTCATCAGTGGGTGACTTTGTCCGCGGAGGCACAATGCCAACTGCAGGGAGACAGAGCAGTCAGTGGGCCTCATGGAGGGCAGGAAGCCAGTGAGACAAGGGAGCCTGCTTCTCAGAGAGCTCAGTCCCGCGCCGTGGGGGCAGGGAAGCACTCTCTTTGGGTGTGAGTGAGCCCCTCACTGACTCTTAGCCTCACTTCTAGGGGAGCCTGGGACAGGAAGTACCTTTGTTGAGAGCTGCCTGCTTCTCTGCCTCCACCTCTTGCCTGGTGGGCACAAGGCTGATGTCTCCAGAAGGGTCCAGGGTTGATGTCTGGTGGGGGTCTTTCTTGTTTTGCTCATAGCTTGCTTTGGGCTGGGAGAAAGGATGAGAAGATGACTGACGCTGGAGCGAGAGCCGGGAATTGGGCCCCCAGTGGTGTTTCTTTATTTTGCAATGGCTGGAGTGCAAACCCTTGAAAATACAGGGCAGGGAAACTTTATATGTGCCAGCTGGGAAGTGGGCAGGGATGCATCGGGGCCTCCCACCCATGCCCCCTTAAGGTGGCCAGTGCAGGGCCATCTTGGGGAGAGAGGGCTCAGGGCCTCCAGAAGGCCCCCAGTTGAGGCGCATCAGAGGCCTTTCAACCAGACCAGTCCTCTTGGCAAGGACCAAGAAGCACAGACTTGCTGTGAGCCAGAGAGGAGGGTGCTGCAAGGCCAGAGATCGCTGCAGATTCCGTGGGGCCCCCACCCAAGGCTCACGCAGAAGGGCCAGGTGCGTTTTGGTAGCAGGATTCCGGGGGAAGGAGAAGGGCACTAAGTTTGTGGCTCGCAGAATCGTGAGACTAGAAGGGACCTCAGACGCCATCTGTCCCACCCCTCCCCACCGTGTGCAGCTGAAGAACCTAAGTCTCAGTGAGGGGAAGACAGAAAGAAGACTAGGCCGGAGGCCAGAGCCAGCGCCAGTCCGCCTAGAGAGCGGGAGTGAGCCCGGCCACCTTGCTTCATCTGTAGAACAGAGAATGCTCCCGCTCTGCCCGCCTCGGGGTGGACCCTCCAGGGTTATGCAAATACCAGTAGCTGAGCCTCGGTGAGAATACCGTTTCCCAGTTTCAGAGACAGGACTCTTTCTACTCACCACGCAACCTCTTCCAAGCCTAACCGCACGTCTCTCCTGGCTCTTGGCCAGGGGTCCAGGTGAGAGAAGGAACCAGAACAGGGGAGAAAAGGGCCTGTGTCCCTACACTGCATGGGCTGATGAGACCCAGAGAGGACACAGGCAAGGCAGAGACAGACTGAGGGCATGGGGGATTGGAGTCTGCGGTGGACAAGAGCAAGAAGGGGTTGGAATGGCACCAGTGTGTATGGGGGGGGTGTCACTTGATTTCCATCATCTCGTGGTGCTGGTAGAGAGTGGGGCATAACCCACTACCCACAGCCATGGGCTGCCCAGGAGCCTGGGCATGTGGTAGGGCAACAACTCATTTTCTCATCATCCACAGAAAGCAAAAAGGGGAAAGAGAGCCTCTATGAGCATCTCAACATCCTTTCCTTATCCCAGAGTTCCACTGTGCAGAGGGCCCAGTAGAAATTGAGCTGTGGGAAAATTAAGATTGGGATGGGGAAAATGACTCAGTGCCTGGCCTTGCCCCTCTCCTGGCCCTGTGCCCCGTTCCCTCCGCCCCTGCCCTCCAGGACCCAAGGGTGCTGGGTACCTGACCCCTGGCTGTCTCGCCACTGTGGTGCCAGGAAGGGGAGTTGGGGTATGGCCAGAAGCGGCTCTCACTAGGGAGTGGAGGCACGGTAGGAGGAGACTCCAGGGGGACGTAGGCTTTGGGGAGGGGAGGCCGTGGCGGGCCAGGTTCCTGAGGCAGAGAGAAGCCAGAGTGTTAGGAGGAAGAAGAGCAGCTGCTGTGAGAGCAGGAGAAAAGAGCATTAGCAGGAGGCAGATGACAATATCGCTGGAGCCCTGGGGTGGCCCCTGGACCACCAAACTCCCACCCGTGGCCTGGATGGAGCTCCAGCTCCAGAGTGAACTCTGCCTGGCCTGTAAGGCCCTCCTTGACTGAAACCGCCCGTGCTCCACTCCCCAGTGCTCTCCTCACTGCCTCACATCACACTGGGCACGTTCCCACCTGCGCCCTCTGCTCCTTCCATCTCTCCTGCCTGTAATGCCTTTCCCCGTTCCCCTACCTATCCCAATGCTTAATGGCCCAGTTTAAGTTCCACCCTCTCTTTGCAACCTCAGAGCATTTATGGTCTGGACCACATGAGTCAATATTGAGACACACATGGCTATGTTCCAGAGGCTGGTCATTCACTATGCATCGGTCTTGTCCCACTGGACACTGGGCTCCCTGAGTGCAATGCCTTGGGCATGCATGTGGATCTTTCTGAGAGGGCCTCACACCACCCCTGCCCACGGCAGAGCCTCAGGAAATACTTGCTCACTGACTGATGAGGAACCTGCTCCCCATACCAGCCCTCAACCCTCGCCCCCCATGGAACAATCCTGCATTTAAATTCCTATTAAGTGTTTGACATCTTTGCTAACCATCCTGGTGCTCAGGAAGAGACCTCTCTAAAAGCAGCTAAGATGACAGGTGGCGACAAGAACAGCTGAAGGAGAAATCTGGAGGAAGGTTGCCAAGCCGGCTGTGGGAGCCAGAGCACCAGGGCTGAGGCCTCTGGGGAAGAGATGGGCCCAGAAGTTGTGTAGTTTCAGGCAAATGAGGACCTGGCCCTCCCTCCCCCACCTACCTGCTGCTCCATTTTCTCCGCTTACCTCACTGGACCCAGGCTTGGTGGGGGACCCCTGAGAGCCAGACACCAGTGAGAAGGGGCTCAGGGGGCTGGTGAGGCTGGCGGAGCTGAGGGGGCTGGCGGGGCTGTTGGAGCTGCAGGTTGCAGAGGGGCCGAGGCCTCCTTGGGGGAAACAGAAGGGGACAGAGATGAGGGAGGGGAAGGGTGAGCCTGGGGTGCGGATGGGGTCCGCAGGTGGAGGAGGCCGGGGAGGACCAGGGATGTGGGAGGAGGACTCAGTGTCTCAGGGCCACCTGGGCCTGCAGAAGCGACTTATCACAAGGCTGGGTCACAGGCCAGCTGTTGAGACACATGCTGGGCAGGGGGAGGTCATGGATAGAAATGACACTGTTACTTCTGAGGTATCAAGGAAAGCCAGCCCAAGGTCCCAGGGCTTGAGGAAGACGTTAAGGTATTGGTCTCAGATTACCCATGGCCCATGGGGTAAGGGGCCGGGGAGGCCCAGGTGCTCTTTGACCTCTTCTGGGGAGGAATACAGAGTGTCAGGGTCAACAGTGTCTCTGGGTGGTATGTCTGTTCTATTCTAGGGGGGCAGTGGGGGATAAGGGAGCCCCACCTGCCATCCCAGGGGAGGGAGAGGACTCTGGAGCCCGAGAAGGCCCTGACTGGCTCTGAGCGCAGAGTGAGGGCAGAGAGCTATGAGCCAGCAGGTGTGGGACAGGGCATTTTGGAGAGGCCAGAAGCCTGGAAGCTGGCGGAGGAGGCACCGACCTCTGTGCTTGGCCGTGTCTGTGCCCCGGGACGGGTTATTCTTCCGCAGCCCCTCCAGCACATCCTGTACCCTCCAGATCTCCTTCTGGATTTGCCGGTTGAGCACCTCATTCTGAAACAGCCCCGGAGCAGGTCAAAGGAAGTGGCTGCTGAGGGCGTCCCCGCCCTCTCCCCCATGCCCTTTGGAAGACCAGCAGGCAGGAGCCTCCTGTGTGCACACACATGCGCACACACATTGCTCCAGCACGCTCGTCTTTCTCACGGGCGGCCTCTGCCTCTTCAGCTTCTGTGAAACAGTTCTGGAACTGCCAGGCAAGAGGCCCTGTCACAGTAAAGAGCCCCTTTAGGTAAACATGTGGCCTCAGAACCAGAAGAGGACCCTGCTCGAGCTCCCAGGGACCTGGTAGTCTGGGAGCCCATGCCCCTCAGGTGGACACTCTCTGTAGCTTGTTTCCCAGGGGCAACAACTTCCAGTTCACTGTTTTTCTTTATATCCAGACAGCCCCTTGGTAATATCCACACCCAACATATGCCTGAATACTCACAAATTATAATCAGTCAGAGTTTACACTCTTTGAAAAGTAATGACTACCCTTTGTCTGGCGTCCCCTGTTGCAGGCCTGGGCTGTGTGCTTTGCGTACACCAGCTCATTGTGGCTGCACAGGAGTGCTGGGGGCCAGGGTAACAGCTGTCCCGACTTCAGGGATAAAGGGATTCACGCCCAAGACTGTCTGTTAGCAAGGAGAGTGAGCACCATCTGAGTCTGGTCTGTTTGTCACAGAGGCTGGTGCTCTTGACCACAGCGCTATCCCACCTGTTGAGAGTGGGGCTTGCCCACAGGACACGGTGGCGTTTGGGTCCTCAGACCAGGAGGGCCTTTACCTCACCCTGCCTCACCAGCTGCAAGGTTGGGGTGGAGTTTGTTACCAGGAGGGAAACAGGAGGAAAAATGGGGTGTTAACCGGGTGCAGCAGAGGGACAGGGCTTGCAAAGCCAGCTAGAGAAGAGCAGGACCCAGTGGAGAGACGACAGGAGACGGAGAGAGCAGGAGCTGCTGTCCTGCCTCCAAGAAGGTGCTCTGAGCCCGAGGACCGAGAGCCCCTCTCCCACCTCAGCGTGCCCGAGGGGACCGCTCTGCACTCTCGACACTGATGCCACGAGAGAGCGCCACGTTGATATTTATACTATACTTACAGGTACACATCTGTGTAATCTTTTCAGTCATAAAACACCTTATGTCTGCCTGAAGGCTCCCATGCTTCAGTTTTCCTCCTTCCACAAAACTTGATGGAGCAAAGAAGAGCCCACACTACCTTCATCCTGACACTTAGAGCGGTTTCAAGTGGCCCCAAACCTTGTCTTCTGTCTCAGGACCAACTCCTTGCCTCCAGTGTCTGAGATCTCTCAAGCAAGAAAGGAAGCCATTTCGGTCTCTTTCAGTCAAAAGGACAAGGGAAGCCCAAAGCACGCACTGAGCCCCGCCTGCCCGGGGCCCTCTTCACCTGGATGTCCAGATTGAGCTGCTCCCAGAGGTCGTCGTGCAGGGCAGAGACCTCCGACTCGAGGTTCTCATACTCCACAGTGCTGTTCGTCAGGGCCTGCAAGCAGGGAGGGCTTACTAAGACAGCGCTCCTCCTTGTCCTGCCGCGGGGCCCGGGGCCAGAGAACCTGAGGCCTGCAGGGCAGGGGAGGAGGGCACAGAGGGATGGGAGGCCAGGGCACAGGCTGAGACACTCTTACGACCGTCAAACACTGGCCTAACAAGAGGTGCAACAGCCCATCACACTGCAAACTGAAATCAGGGGAAACAGGATCTTCTCTGGACTGTGGCTAGGCCAAAGCGGGTGCCATCACCCCACACCCCGCCCTCCTCCCCGGACCAGGTGAGAGAGTGGAAGGCAGAGGAAAGAGCCGGGGGAGGTGTTCGCTCTCTGGAGTGGGAGACCCTTCTTCCCGGGCCACCTCTTCCTGGGCTCTGGTTGCTGCTCCTAGACCTACTGCCCAGGCTGTCAGGCTTGGAGGGTCTGCCCTGCTTTACTGGGAAACAACCAGGGCAGCACCATTTCTGCCGGCGCCCCGGTTCTCCAGGGAAAGGGCAGAGGTGGGCAGCACAGGTGTGAGAGCAGCCAAGGAGATCAGCGGCCCTGCACTGCATGCTGTCCTGAGAACCCCAGCGCAGGCACAGCTTGTGGGAAATAAGCCAGCTCCCTGGGTGAAGACTCAATGGAACGAAGGGCTGGCACACTTGCTCTCTGTCTGCCAGGCAGCGTGGGGTCTTTGTTCATGCCCCTCCCAGACAAGAGCCCCCTGCTCTCACCCTCAGAGGAGAGCCTGGGTCTAGGGAGCACCAGGTGGGAGGGGTGGCTCTCCTGGCAGTGGGGGCTGGGCACAGACCCCGCTCCCGGGTTACCGTGGTCGCCTGAGACAGTTCCACCCGGATGTTGATGAGCTGATTCTGCAGCGCTTCCTTCTTGTGCAGCAGCTTCTCCGGGTATGCAGGCTGGCTCCCAAACATCTCCAGTTCCTGGTGGGTCCCCATCAAGGCACTTTCCAGGCTTTCCTGAAGAAAGGCAGGAATGGCTGTGAGCAGCCCTGATAGTTTGTCTCTGGGACTTTGAGCAGAAGGCTGAGCCCCAGAGGCTCAACTTGGCAGCTTAGTGGAGGTCATCCTCACACTGGCTAAGGTCCCCGGCAAAGCTTCAGCAGTTCCGATCAAAGGCAGGACAGAAGTTTAAGGATGGACAAAGCTCTGTCAGTTTAGTCAGGATGGAGATAGCAACCCACATCTTCTCCTAACCAGCCACCCAAGTGCCCCTTCTCAAGACCACCCTTGGCTCTCACCTTCTCAGCTCGGAGTTGCTGCACCAGCCGGTCCTGCTCCCTCACCACCTTGTTCTGCTCACATAATTTGCCCAGCAGCTTCTGGAGTCCCGAGGGAGTGGGAAGAAGGGAAGGAGAGAGAAGGGGATGAAGGACATGGCTTGAGGGGGACCTGGGAATCGGGTTGGCAGGGCCTGGCCTCTGGATATCACCTCCTCTCGCCTGCTGAGGAACCTAGGGCCTTCAACTTAACCTTGAAGGGGCCCGGGAACACAAAGATGGTCTTCACCTTGGGATACTCCCCAAGGACCAACTGGGAAGGGAGATGTGTTCATTCTCAAGGAAGTGAGTCAGGCTGAGAAGGAAGACAGCTGAGAGCCAGATGCTAAGCTCCTGCACTCCCATCCTCCTGGCGACTCTACCTCTCAAGGGGTTGAGGAGATGATAGTGTGGCCCCACCTCCCAGGAGGGAATGGATGGGAGGGGTAGGCACGGTATCCGAATGAGTCTCAGAAGAACCAGCAAACGTTATAAACTGGTTCCCCAGACGCAGAGAGCCTTGTTCTCCCCTCCTCCCTCCAGGGGTCCCTCCAAGGTCTGGCCCTTGCCTGGATGGAACCTCTCCCAGGCCTGCTGGGCAGACCCGCTGGCCAGGCAAGGCCAGCAGTGACAGGGAGGAGGCAGGGTCAGGCCAACTGCTCTTCAGGAAAGACTCGCACTTCCCGGCAGCCACACCTCTACCCACGCCATCCCTCAGATACTCCCTTGGCTGTTTTCTACCGAGCCAAATCTTGCCCTCTGGGCCTTTTACTTCAAGGCCCAGCTCACATGCTACCTGTTTTGTCCCTGACCCACCAGGCCACATGGTCTCACCACCCCACCTTCTGGTGGAATATATCATGGGTCCCATTCAGCATATGAATCTCAAGTTGCCACCTGCTGCCACCTGGCCCTCCCACTACCCTGAAGCTCTTTGAGGGCAGGGTGGAGTGGGGCCATGATCTTTCCAGACACCCAGGAACTCCTGTCATGCTGGGCACAGAACAGATTGATTTACCTCCTAACAAATTCTGTTCCTGTAATAAGCAGATCCCACTGCTGCAGACAAGAGGCCTAGAGCTCAGTGGAGAAACACGCACAGCCAGCATGGGAGGTGGGGTAAGTGGTGGGAACAAGGAATGAGGGAGATGAGGAGGGACAGGCAGAATGTTGTCTTTGTGGAGAGAGAGGACGTGAATCAGATGTATGAAGAGCCACCAGAAGGAGAAAGATGGATGGAGGAAACGCCCCAAGGAGGAGCTCAGGACTGAGGATGGCAGCGGGAGGGCTAGAGCGGACAGAGGGAGCAGGAGAGCCGCTCTTACGTCTGTGTCTTGCTCATTTAACTTGTAGGTGTGGAGGCTGTCCCGGAACACTTCTGGGCACGGAGGGACCTGCAGGAACACGAGGCCGGTTACTGCAGTAGGGACAGACAGGGTGAGTGGGTGGGCCGGTTACTGCAGTAGGGACAGACAGGGTGAGTGGGTGGGCCGGTTACTGCAGTAGGGACAGACAGGGTGAGTGGGTGGGAAGCTGACAACCCTTGCTCCATCCTTGCCAGAGATGGCGGTTCATCGCCTCTGGTAGCTTCCATTGGGGGAACCTGAGCTCAGCTAACTCTCTGTCCCCCGGTTGGCCTCTGGTAGCTTCCATTGGGGGAACCTGAGCTCAGCTAACTCTCTGTCCCCCTGTTGGCCTGGGATGGCCCCGTCTCGGTTCCATCCCAATTGTCTTAGGCTGACTGGAGACAGAGACGCTGCTCAGCTCCTGCTCTATATCTCCTCTCCCCCACACTCTAGCATCTACTGCCAAGAGGGACTCCAGCGATGTGTAAGCTCCCAGACGGCTTATTGGTAGCAACCACGAGAACAACAGTTAACCATTGGCTGTTGAGGCTAAGACATGGGAGAATGGAATGAGCATCAGAAACATCTGAGAACTATTGCCCTAGTTGACTGAACAAGCCACAGGGCTTGTGCCTAAACCAGAAGTGTCTCTGGGTCCAGCAAGTGCTGCCCACCATTGGTGACACATCTGGTAACCACAACACATTCTACACAACGTTGGCATTTTGGATAGCTCCACATTACACCCCTCAGGCCCTTAAACCCCATGACATCTGTTAAGAAGATACCAGATATGCAATAGAAGTCCTGGACATTAAAAAGCAGATGTGTGATCCCTGGCATGGCATGAAATGTTGGTGCTGGCTCTTTTGATGGTTTGGGAAATGGGCCTTGGATTCACCCATGAACATGAAGAATGGAGGAGACACAGTGGAATTAAAGGAGGGGGTCCAGGCTGAGCCTGGGAGATGAGGCCTGGCAGATGAGCGGGTTGGGCGGAGCAAGCCCTATCCCAGATGGGTTGACTCAACCATGCACAAGCAGCTGAAACTGTTGATAGGGACCATGCTGCCAGGCAGAGGTCTTACTTGCATGAAGAGCTGGGCCCTGGGGGAGGAGTTTTCCACCATGCGGTTCACCATACTGATGAGAGTCTCGCTCTCACTCATCTGCAGCAGAGGAAGGAAGGGATGGTTCACACTCAGACCCCACAGAGGCGTCTCCCCCATACCTGCCTGCACTTATTTTCCAGGAACAGGAAAGGGCAGCTCCTATTGGAGCCTCCAGCACCCTCTATTTGGTCTCACTCATTGCTCACCCCTTGTGAACCCTGTCCCCAGGCCAGCACTGAAGCTGATCTTGAGGAGAGGTCACAGAAGGGAGCTGGGAGGCACTGTGCCCTGCTCATAGCTCTGAAGAGGCCCCAGCCCAATGACACGCCCAGGTGCCTGAGTGTTGTGGCCTCATCCACTTTGGCCGAAGTCGCCATCTCCTTGCCCCAGCTCTCATTTCTCAAACTACTTTGGTCAAAGACCACACACGCAGTTGGAAAGGCCAGTCTCCCAAAGTTTGAACTAAATGAAACAACTGGAAAAGAAACCCTGGGACCTGCTGTTTGGATGGGCTTCCCAAGTGGACAGGCCCAGTCTTCCTCCGAGCCCTGCCCGCCCTGGCTCTAGAGTAGAAAGGATTGTAAACGCGGTTTCCAGAGCTGGGCTGGTAGCATCCATGCCAATCTTGGATGACACTAGGGAGCAAGTCAGGAGGCCAAACAAGCGAGCCATGTTAAAGGGACACCAGGTAATGGAGCACAGCTCCCCAGCATGCTATTTTGTGTTTCAAGAATCATTAGGAACATGGAAGGGGAAAGACTATTTGCCAAATGAAAGAGAGAAGGAAGGGTGAGAGAGAGAGGGAGAAGACAAGCCAAGCAAATCAACCAGAAGTGCCGTCATTTCCCCCACTGGTTCCAGTGTGACAGCATCAAAAAGTGAACATATTAGGGAGTGTCCTTAGCTATGTCCCTTTAACTCAACTGATCCACAGGAGAAGGCAGCAGAAGGCAGGAGGGAGCTGTGCAGGAAAAGGGTTTGGGGGAGGGGAAGTGAGTGAGGGAAGGGACAGAGCCACCTTAGGGCAGGTCTTCTGGGGTCACAGTTCAGGGCCCCACATTTTTGCCCCTGTCTGCCCGATCTCTGTGGGACCCACACGTAATTCCTCCCGCCCTGTTGAGCCTGCTGCCCAATACAGCCCCGCTCCGTGTGCTGTGGATGGGGCAAGGGCACCCAGCTACTCCCGTTCGCAGGTCTAAGCATTTTAAAAGGCTTTCCTAGGATCTGATTTTTCTGCCTCTTTAGCCTGGGTGGAAATTTTTTTTTCTACAGCATAAAGTGTCGTTTAAAAGGCTTTCAAAGAGCAGTTATAATATGAGGTTGACTCTTTGTAAGTAGTTGAAAGTCAACAGACGTCAACCACGGTTTCTGTAAGGATCTGAATTCAAGTCGAACCCTGTCTTCTTGGAGCCTGCGTGTATATATGAGACTGTGTTGATTGTGTATGGGGTGTGCATGTGTGGTGTGTGTGCAATCGTCTATGGTGCGCATGTGTGTGTATGTGTACGTCTGCTGCCTGTGTGCCCCGCCTGTGTCCTGTGTGGTGTGTGTGTGGGTGTACGTACATGAAGGACAAGGCAGACCTGCTGACACATCAGGCTAGGAGAGGGTCCAGGAGGCCAGGCTCCTCCTGGACCCCAAGGATCTCATTCCTTCCCAAACCCGTGGGTCTAAAGCAAAAGAGGAAGGAAGTAGGAACGCTCTCGTGCTCGCCTACTCCCACCCCTGCCATGGCTTTGGGATCTCTCAGCCCACATGGGCCTCACCTCCAGGAGGGTTCCCGTGTGCCACCTTCTGTCGCTCCAAACCGTCAGAGGAACGTGGTGAGAAAGCACTTAGCCCAGGGTCCGCCCGCAGTAAGTGCTGCTCAATTAGCATTTTTAATTGAGTTTTAGAACAATAAAACGATCACAGCAGCCACCACCCCTCACCATCCTGACAAAGTGCTCCTGTATTCACTCTCTAACTCTGTGAGGTAGAAAGGGCCGGTTCCACAATGTCCACTTTATGACTGAGAAAACAAAGACCCAGAGAGACTGAGTGCTGTATCCAAGGTTAAAACAAAAATCCTTGTAAACGGCAGAGCCGGAACCGGAGTGCAGGGTCTGACTGTGTTCTGAACTCTTCTCATCATACAAAAGTGGCTTTGAGGAATATTGTCCTTCACCTAGGAGGAGGTCCTCTGAAAGATTATCTCTGAAGCCCCCAGCCTGGCCCCTCTGTGAGGCCAGAAGCCCCCAGGAAGGGGCCCGACTGTATGTGCGCAATGCCTGGCGTTGTGGATGGGCGACAGGGAGGCCAGCCTGCCCGGCAGCCCAGAGGACACGGAGCCCGACCCCTCACTGCTCCCAGCCCTGGAGACCCTGCTCCCAGCCTGGTCTGGGTAGCATCCCAGGACTCATGCCATCTGGACTGGAATGCTCATGGGGTGGACATCACACGCTGCTTCTGGAACTGAAACGTAATGTCCTTGAGGGCTGGGAGCCGCCCTACTGATTAAAATGTGGACACCAGCACTCCCCAGTGCTCAGGGTCTTCCAGAGGATGCTCCCACCGAGACATCGAGGCCCCGTGAGACCATGGGTGACATGGCACACGGCTATGACTAGAACCACCAGTCAATCACAGGTATATGCTCTGATTGCAAGTTTATGGTTCTTTCTGCAACTTTAACAGCATGAAATCATCCTGACGAGGTTTGACTGCAGCTTCTTCACATGTTAGATGTTTCCTCAGCTATAAATGGGGTCGAAAGCTCAGAGTCACATTCCGAGCTCTGCCGTTCACTGGCTGTGTGCACTTGGCACGTTATTTAACCTCTCTGGGCTTTCATTGCATCAGTTGTAAAATGGGGATTATAACAGTAGTCAGCTTGCAGGTCTGAACACAAGAGTCTGTATTCACATCAATGCCCAGCATACTGACCCCCAGCCTGTCTACACCCACTGACCATCAGAGCCTCCTTAGCCTCAAAAGGCAAGGCAGCCAATGGTCAGAGCCTGGAGTCAGGAGCCCAGGCATCGACTGCTTTCCTCTCACAGGAACACTCCCCGTCTCGAGAGGATGCTCATCTGTAAAACTGAGGTGATAACACTCCCTGTTTACCGCACTGAATTCTCATGAAAACATGAGCCACATATGCAAAGGAACGTTGTGGAGGAACGAACAAATACACTGAATTAACATAATCTTTTAAAGCATCCTAGAGCAGGTCTGTAGTCCTCAGCTTAAAAACTATGGAGTCTAACAATGGCCTGTGGAATATGACAGGATAATTTCCCAGATGCAGGCTGAACTGAGTCCCTAGCATCTCAGGCCAAGCAGAGAGCTCCTCCCACAGTCTCTGCTATTTTCTCCAGCGAAAGCGCAAATTCCCTGCCTGCACCCTGCCTGGGGCAGTTCTTGCTGAGCTGAACAAACAGGAGGTGCATTAATTATTCATGCAGTCATTTATTATTCCCCTTTCCCTAGGAAACCCCCAGCTGTCCTAAAGGGCTTTGAAGAGAAAGGGTGTGAAGGCTCGAACCAAACCCCTTTGTTGTGTCCTGGTTGTGCCAACAAAGGTTGTCAAATGGATGAAGATGAGGAGGTGGGAGGAGCGGGGAGGCGCAGGGAGGGAGGGGTGGTGAGGGGCACCAGCTCTGCCTACCTGCTGATCCAAATACTCTAGGTTTCTTTGCAACTGAAGGTCTAAAAGTTCGTCCTACCCGGAGCCCGAGCCCGAGGTCACACAAACAAACAGGGACAGGACAAAAGAAGACAACACAGAGGAAGCAAAGCGGTTAAGAGTTAGCTGGGCAGGACCGAGAGAGGCCTCTCTCTGCCCTGGAGGATTTCTGGGGAGGAAGGGGCAAGGACGGGGAGGCACAGAGGTCGCCCAGTGAGAGGAGGGACGCAGTGGGCCCAGCTCACGGCTGCCTGGCCCTCCCCTGGGAGAAGGAAGCACCATGGAAGTGATCTAGTCAGTGCTTCCTGGCAGCTCTTGCTTAGTTTTCTGGAAAAATCGGTGGTTTCTGGATGGGCGTATCTGCTGTGTGTCGAGGGTACCAAGTTTGGATACTGGCAGAGGAGAATGAAGAGGGAAGAGGGGAGGAGGAGCAGTCCCCCTCATCTGTCAAGGCCTGCCTCACCCTAGCCTCCTGGGGCTACGGAGACAGAGGGGTCAGCAACAGGCCTGGGGGACAAGGACTCTGCCTATTGGTTCCAGTGGGCCCCACCCTACTCCCGCCCCTGTAGAGGGTCTGCATCTAGCTCTCCAGGTGAAGGGAAATTCTCAGGAGAACAAATTCCAGGAGACACAAGTAGAAAAGGGAGAGAAAAGAAGGAGAGACACAATATGGAAAATCTTTTCTTCTCAATCCCACCATTTGTCTCTTTCCCCAAAGGTAGCATTCCAGGCGAGGACAAACTTGGAGCAAAATGCCCTTGAGGGGAGAAGGCCAGAAGATCATGCCTATTTGGGAGCCCCAGCCTGACTTTTCTCCCCAGTCCATGATCTAAGCCCCATCCAGGCCCCTCTGCAGGCTGGAGGGGACGGCTGTTCTGGGGTCAAGAGGACCAGGAGGCTACGTGCTTCCAGATCTCGTCCCGCTCCTCTGCTCTGTGTCACAGAGGAGAAGGGGTGGCTGGCGCCAAGTTATGTATTAGGGTTAGAGTCCTGATCAGGAGGGAGGAGGTATCCAGAGGCTGCTAGAAACCAGACAGGTTAGGCATTGGGCACAGAGCGTCCCTGGTCTGCCCTAGTTGGCCGCGCCCTGGGAGGAGAGGTCGGGGGAGTGGAATGGAGAGGACATACCATCTTATCGTGGACCGTGGGGGATGGCGGGTAGTTGTAGGGGAACAGTCCTGCAGGGACTGGCCGCCTGTCTCCCAGGTAATCATACTGGAAGAGAAAGAGGATTGGAGGTGAGGGGGTCCGGCTGGGACACAGACTTCCCCACCAACTGAAGCTCAAGGTCAGGGATGTTTGTATCCCGTCCCAGAGCAGAGTCCAAACTACAATGGACAGCATTTGTTCACTGCAATATCCTGGCAATGATCTGTCCAGGTCCTCAAGATCTGAAAAGACAGAACCCTGTCTGCCCCCATTATATGGTATTAGGGTTCCTGGCATAACCTGGGGACGGGCACAGAGAGCCATGTTCCTACTCAGAGGGCAAAGCAAAGGCCCCAAGGCAGCTCTCCTGTGGATGGAATCACAGGGCCATTGGCTCTCTGGGCAGCATCGCTGGCCCTGCCCACACACAGCGCAGTGACCCTGTATCCACGATGCCGCACATAGCCACCTCTTCTCAGCAGGTGTCTCAGGCTTCTGAGGGACCTCAGGGGATGACGGAGGAGGGGCAGGCTGGTGGCTCACCTTGGGGGAGCTGATGGATCGCCTCATCACATAGGCAGCGGGGTCAGCATAGATGTCCTCACTGCGAGGTGGCAGTCGCTCAAAACGGGCACTGGGTGAGCGGACGGGGGAGTAAATGCGGGCACGGTTGCAGGAGCCCTGGCCAGGAGAGCGGGGCACAGAGTGGGAACGGGGCTGCAAGGACAGGTGGCGCAGGGAGCCAGAGGTGGCATCCAGCTCATCATAATAGACTGGCTGCCGGGAAGGGCTGGGGATCCAAACAGTGCTGTCCTGCCGCCCATAGCCGGCGGGCTCCTTCCACTCGCGCAGCTGGAAGGCGGGGCCACCTCCATTGCGGAAGGAGTGGCGCTTGTCCTCCAGGGCCCAGGGCGGGCTGATCCGATCGTAGGCTGGCATTGAGCAGATGCTGTCCGGCCGCACCCCCGGTGGGTAGTACTGGTAATCGTCAGGGTATTGGGAGGAGTAGGGGCCATAATACTCGGGGACCCTGCGGGTCACAGGGTAGAACCTAGAGGGGCTGAGAGAGACAGGATATTGTAAGGAAACCAGACGAAGTGGGTGCGTCCCCCCATCGCCCAGGTCCCAGCCCCACCTCCACATCCTCCAGCCTATAGCATGTTTGACCAGGTGAAGGCGCCCCAGGCTGGCCTTGGGAGCACAGAGAGCAGCCACTGCCCAGACGCTGGAGGCTCGTTTCCAGAGGTGCAGGGGAAGGCCCATCCTCAAAGTTCCCTCCCTCACCCAGCTCCGAGGCCAGAAATTTCACCATTCAGAGCTTCCATCTTTGTCTCTTTAAAATGAAATGCCTCTGGGGAAAAATTTTAAGCCTTATTAGCCATCTCTATCTCAGCATGAACCAATTTATCAGGTCTTTTCTAGAGAGAAGAACAGCAGAATGAGCAGAGTGTACCAGGCACCTGGACAAGGGACAAAGGGCAGCTTCCCTGAACTTAGGATCTTGTCAAGGGCGGAAGCGGTAGGTTCCCGGGACTTCTCCTGAGTGAGGCGCAGGCCGGGCCCCCCAGGCACAGCCCAGCCAGAGCAGCCCTCCAGACGCTGCTGCTGTAACCTGGAGCTGCCCAGACCTGGGTGAACGCGTCAGGCCCAACGCCTTCAGATACTGAGAGCCAGTCACTAGGGAAAGGGGTCAATCGGTCCAGAGGGCAGAACTAGGATCAGTAAGTGGCAACATTTTGTCTGTTTCTTTTCTTTTTTTAAAACTTCATATAAATCATGGCTTTCAAACAATTAGAGTCATTCAAAAAGGGAGTGAGTGGGCTTAGTGAGTCTCGTGTTGGCAGAAGCACTGGAACAGACGAGGCTGTAAGAGGGAAGCTCGTGGATGTCTGCCTGGAACAACATTAAGGCCACTCCCTGTGACCACCTGCCCCTTTCCTCCTCGTCCCAGTGGAGAGGCGCTAGGTACTCTGTCCCTTCCTCGGAAGGAAGTCAACAGAGAGAGCAAGAATCAGGGCCAGGGGTCAAACTCCACAGACGGAGCCCTGGGGCAGGAAAGGATTTGGGCAAGCTGGAATCCTGGGCTTTTCTTGGCTTCCCAAGTCAGCCTGGCTTCCAGAATGTTTCCAATAGAGGGTGCCTCACATGTCACTACCCCAGCCTGAGCCCCTAGCTGGACCAGCATCCCAGCTCCACCTCTGCCCCCTACCACCTCACCTCCGAAGGTCCTCAGGTGGGGGCACCCCTCGGCGCAGGTTCACCCACTGCTGAAGCTGGTTCATGGAGCTCTTGCGCTGGGCGATTTTGTCGGGGTTGGCACGTGAGGGGAAGCTCTGCCGCTGTCCCCCACTCTCTGAGTCCTGAGGCGGGAAAGCTGTGCTCCCTGGCCGGCTTGGGGAGCTGAGCTGCCAGCCATTGGGCTGGGTGTGCCGCTCCCCACCCCCTTGGACCCTTGGGCCCTCAGGGTAGGGGCTGCCTGGCTCTGAGGCTGGCTCCGGTCCAGGCTGGAGGCCGTTGGCTTTCACCAGAGGCTCACTCTTGACATCGGGCCTCTCCGACCTCCTCTCTGCCTTTTCACAGCCTCGGCCGTCACCCTCCCCTCGAGTCTTGGGCTCCGGTTCAGGCTTGGGGAGGCAGTTGAGGGGTGGCTGGTGGTGGTGTTTGCTGGGTGGGATGTTCTCTGAGTCTGGCTTCTCATGGCTGCAGGATGCCAAGGGAGATGTTGTAAGGGACTCCAGCCCAGCATGGAGTTGGGTGGGGGTGGCAGACTGAGAAGGAGGAATGGAGCGGAGAAGGGTGGGCAGGAAGGCAGCGATGGAAACAGGATTCAATGCATTACAGTTCCATTCCCCAAATCCCACTGCTTTATCTCCCAGCCTGGGCAATGATTAGAAAACATAATCCCATCCCGCCTACACTCCTGTGCTCACTCCGCCTCCAGGTCTTCTCCAAGGGCCACTTTCCGCTCCCTTCTGTTGACCCGCCTTGAGCCCAGCCTTCATGCTGTGGCCAAGATTAACCTCACCCAGCCCTGGTCTGTAGTCTGTCCCTGATGCCGCCCCTAAACTTGGGGTGCACTCTACCCAACTTTCCCAATAGCAACTGTCCTGATGCCCCAGCTACAGGTCAGTCCTCTCTACTACGGAAAGTTAGTCAATTCCATGAGTCTTGGCTCCTTGAACCAGGAGGGTATGACAATAGTGCCCCTCACAGGACAGGATTGCTATGAGACCAAACATGGCAGAGGCTGTGGTCTCAGATTTCAGAGGCAGAGAAACATGCTATTCGCTTCTCCAAAGCAAGGTCCCTCCAGGACCGACTTCTGCTAGAGTAGAAGCCCCCTGAGCAGGAGGCTGTGGGACTTTGCTCCCCCGCAGCATCCCAGCTCCTGGCCCAGGGCCGGACACGTCTATATCTACAGTAAATATTCACGGAATGGGGGCCTGAACTGCTGGAAGGGCCCGCCTTGGTTGAAGCAGAGATGGAACCTCGGGACAGTGTTCTCCCTTTAGTTTCCCAAATTCAACACAGTCAAGCATCTTTGTGGAAACATTGTTGGTAAACATATCTAAGACCCGTGACTAGATTTTGAGTCTGTATACAGATCCTTGTGAACAGCTAACTCAGACTCAACACCCAGCTCAAAGAGAGCCAGGTGCTAAGACTGGATGCCCAGCCACATGCTGAGGGTTACCACACGCCGGCATCCTACGTACACTATTTAGTCCTCACAACAACCCTGGGAATGGAGCATAATTGCTGTCTTTGAGGAAAGGAAAGTTGGGTTCAGAGAGGTTAAGAAACTCACATTGAGGTCACACTCATGGGCAAGTCGCCAAGTTGAGATTTGAACCTAAGCCCATCTGCCTCCAAAGGCTGCATGCTTAACATGCACAGCCGAGAAAAATGAGCCAATGACCCCGGGTTTGGGCTCCTGGCCAGGCCCCGATGGGACTTGGCTTCTCTCTTGGCCTCCACCAACTCAGACTGAAGAGGAGGAGCCGTCAGGGGAGGAGAAAAGAGAGGCTGTGAAATCACTAGCCAGCCCCCTGCTGGGGGGCGGGGCCTTCACACTCCTCAGAGGCTCAGAGGCCCAGGGAGCGGGCGCTTCCTCTGGTCTCCTCTTCCTTTAGTGCTTCCCAGTCCATGCCCAGTACCCGTCACTCACTTGTGACGTGCAGCTTGGGGCACCGACTTCTGGGCCGGGGGGATCTGTACTCGGGCAGCCTCCCCCATGGCCTGGATCCAGGCCTCCTGCTCCTCAGGGCTCTCGGCACTGAAGAAATAGGTGCGGACCCCGGCGTGCTCGGCCTGTGGGGAGACGCATTGCGTGGAACTGGCCCCAGCCTCCTGCACCCAGCACACAGTCACCTGTTGGGATAAGACACCCACACCCACAGAACAGGTGGTCAGGCAGGCTACTCCTTGACCTACAGCTCTTGGCCCCGCATGGAGCTCAGGAGCAAGGTGAAGAGGGTCGCCCACAGCTACCCCAAGTGCTCCAGCCGGCACCCAGGTGTCTGCCTTAGCTAGCTCTCCAGACACCTCGAGGCACCCCAGTAGCCAGGAAGCTTACCTGCCCCACTGGAGGTGATTAGAAGCAGGAGGGACAATCACCACACCCGCTCTCCCATCAAATCCCGTCTTTGAATTGAAGGGCAATTACCCAATGTCTGGGAGGGACGCCCCCACAGCACATGCCAATCTCAGCCCCAGCTTGGCCTCTGAGAAGCTGACACTGTCTCTTCCATGCAGAGACACAGCTGGGCCTCCATCTCCGTGGGCATGCAAGGGGCATGCAGACAGTCAGAGCACACTACCTAGTTGGTGGCCGCAAACAGGCACGGCAGGCGGGAACCCAGAAGAGAGCTCCTGTCCAGAGGAGGGGTCCTCACGCGGTCAGAAGGAAGAGAAGCAGAGAACAGGTCAACCGAACACCAAAGAGACAGAAGATGACACAGCAGGAATGTTGAGGAACAGGGGGAAGTGGGGAGCCATTGAGACTGTCCCCCTCTACTCAGTGTCACCAATAGGATAGCACTCAGCAACGCCCAGTTCGCCCACCAAGAAGGGGAGCGGAGAGCTTGCGCCACGAGAATTTGGGCTGGTGGTGGAGAGGAGTCAGGGCCTCTAGCGCCCCCCAGCTCTGTCCTGACCAGCTCTGCAACTGCCAACAGCTGTGCTTTTCCTCTGGTCTTCATTGACACGTCTGTATCATAGGGATGGGTCTCCTGGGAGAAACAAGGCTCCTAGGCCACAAGGAAAGATGCTCCAGAGCTAGACTCTTTCTGGGACCTCAGTATATGCTCCAGGTGAGACCTTCAACCTCCCAGAAAGAGCAAGCAGCCTCATTCATCCCAGCCAACGTGAGAGATCCACAGTGATTAAGAGGCTCCCATGTGCACTTCACCTTGGACTCTCCCCCCTTGGGTGCTAAATCCTGGGTCTCTAGGGGCTGGAAGGAGAGAAGACAGGGCTCCTCTGGTCACACCCCAGGGCTCTCCTAAGCAGCAATGTCAAATCCTCACCCTCCAAAACCTTTCCCAGGGGACCTTCACACACCACAGCACCTCTCCCCAGCATGGGACTTCTCTCAGACAGAAGCCATTACCCAGTGAGCATGCGTCCTACTTCTCTAGGGGTGGGGATGGGCCTCCTTCCTCTGGATCCTGCCAGTCCCTGCTCCAGCAGGGGCCCAGCATGTGGACAGAGGCAGGGAGGTACTGACGAAAAGCCAGAGAAGCTGTAAGAAGGCATCCGGGGGTTGACACTGTGCAGCGACATGGAGACCAGGGGCCCAGGCAAGCCCTTGGATGGAGAACACAGGGTTAGTGTAGAGCAGGGGCACAGGCGGGACTTGTGGGGGTGTCGCAGGGCCAGTAGGTGCCCTGTGTGTGCAGAGCTCCTCTGTGGGCACCAGTCACAAGGAAAGCAAAGCCATGTTATCTGCACTTGAGGAGCTCACAGGACACAGGAGAGAGCAAAGGCACAGGGACGACTGCCTGTGATAGGGAAGGCAGAGGGCCTGGGGAGACAGGGCGTGGGCGGGGAGGGAGGGGCCACAGCCTGCACATGGAAATGGGCCAGAGACCGAAGGGAGGAGCTCAGAGGGCTAGGGAGGAAGAGCGGAGGGCCCAGCAAGAGGCGGGGCAGGGACAGTGCCTGCTCATTATTAGCCATCCAAGAGTTTCGCTTGGTGGCCACAGCAGGACAAGCATCCCACTTGTCTCAGCTCCCCTCCCTCCCCTGGGGAAGGGCCAGTGAATGGCACAGTCAGAACTTTTGTGGGCCACTGAGTGCAGCCCTCAGAGTTGGGTCTTCAAGAGGCGGTGCGCTCCCTGGCGGAGCGGACGGAGGAGCACAGGGTGAGAGCTGGGGCGTCCAGTGGTGGTGTCACCCCGCCGTCGGCACCACTCCAAGCTGGGGCGTGCGTGCATCTCTGCACGAGGCTGGAGGGAGGGCGAGCTAGGCTGTTGGACCGTGTGAGTGTGCCAGGGCAACTGTGTACAGCAGGGCTGTTTGTTGCTGGTTGAACAGCCTGTTCCTATTGCCCCAGCTAGAAACGGGCTCCCTGGAGCGAGTTTTATTATTGCTCACTCTGTTCACACTTCTCACACATAAGACCCTGTGGGGCTAGAAACTAATTATATGCCAGAGAAGTCCCTTCTCGTTCCCTGGAGCAGCGCCTGCTCTGCTGCCCACCTCTTTTGTGTGGCCAGGTGACCGGAGGCTGAAGGACAGTCTCTGTGGCCCCGTGAGCTCAGGCCCTGGCCTGGCGGGAGCTGCAGTTCCCATGGGTTAACACCATAGCTTTAGGTTTTCGGGGTCTTGGACAGCAATTCTTAACGGGGGAGGAGGGGCTTAGTTCTAAGAAGAGGCACGCTCAACATTATAGTTTATATTTGGAAAACAGAAAGGAACCTATGGTCTTTGCATCACAAAATACAAAAAGGACAGAGATTATCATTTTTAATGGGTCATGAATTTCTTTTTCTTTAAGGATTGGCACCTGAGCTAACATCTGTTGCCAATCTTCTTTCTTCTTCTCCCTAAGCCCCCCAGCACATAGTTGTATATTCTAGTTGTGAGTGCCTCTGGTTGTGGCATGTGGGACGCCACCTCAGCATGGCCTGATGAGCTGTGCCATGTCTGCGCCCAGGATCCAAACTGGCGAAACCCTGGGCCCCCGAAGCGGAGCATGTGAACTCAACCACTCTGCCATGGGGCTGGTGCCAGGTCATGAGTTGTTTTATTCTTTTTGAGGAAGATTAGCCCTGAGCTAACTGCTGCCAATCCTCCTCTTTTTGCTGAGGAAGACTGGCCCTGAGCTAACATCCGTGCCCATCTTCCTCTACTATTTATACGTGGGACGCCTACCACAGCATGGTGTGCCAAGCGGTGCCATGTCCGCACCCAGATCCGAACTGGCGAACCCCGGGCCGTCGAAGCAGAACGTGCGAACTTAACCGCTGCGCCACTGGGCCGGCCCCAGGATCAGGAGTTTTTAAATGTGGAAAAATACTGGCCTAGGATGAGCCAGCTGCAGGCCCGTCTTTTTTGTGGGCCACTGAGTGCAGCCCTCAGAGTTGGGTCTTCAAGAGGCAGTGCGCTCCCTGGCGGAGGGGACGGAGGAGCACAGGGTGAGAGCTGGGGCGTCCAGTGGTGGTGTCACCCTGCCGTTGGCACAGCTCCAAGCTGGGGCTTGCGTGCGTCTCTGCACAAGGCTGGAAGGAGTTCCACAGGAGCCCGCCGAACAGGCAGGAGAGGCCCGTCTTCCTGTGACCTGTTCTCTCAAATTGTCATCTGCCTGAGGTTTGCCTCTCTTGATTGTAATCAAACTCAACTCCTAATTTTCTCTTGAGATTGAAATTTGCGTCAGTTTCAATTTCAAACTGAGGGTCCAGTTTCCCAGCCTGAGCGGGGAGGAGGCCTTTCCAGAAGGGCTGTCAGAACCCCACCCCCCATAGCTCTGCCTCTGCAGCAAGTGATTTCCCAAGGGCCAGGTGGCAGGCCACAGGGCAGTGTCCACTGGCTCAGGACATAATTATTTTTCCCCCAGGAAAAACTGCAACCCCTGAAGCACATCCCTACTGGCCCACCCTGGAGAGAGAATTACCCACCCGACCCCCAAGAAAAGAGGAGGGGTCCCGGCACAGCCTCGCCTTAGCCTCACGACAGCCTGCATGGAGGCCAGGGGCCACTGCCTGCTCCCTCCACCACCACACCTGGGATTCCTAAGGGAAGTGGCCCTGGACCCTTCTCTATTCCCTATGCTCTAGACGAGGAGGCCTCCCACCCCACCTGACCTGGGACAGGAAGGCCCACTGACCTTAAAGGTGTGTTTCCGGCTGATGTTGTCTGAGGGCTGCACAGCGGCCACTCGGAAGCTCAGGAGGGGGATGCTGCCCAGGATGCTCTCTTCCTTCTCATCTGTCAGGGAAATAGAGGCACCGGTGAGATGTGTGTGCATGTGTGTGCGTGTGCGGTGCGGGTGGGGGGAGAGAAGAGTGTCAGCTTTATTATGGTAAAGATTTGTTGCTCATCTACTATTTGTCAGGCACTCAGGTCCACTGCACACAGCCACACAGGTGTGCTCTGCACGACTCGGAGAGGCACACTCCGTGGTGTGGGACATTTGGAGTGTGGCCCTACAGATGCTGTTCTACGAGGTCTGCAAAGGTGACCGAGAGAGAGGCAATACCACCTCAAGGGGCCGGTGTTCAGCACACAGCCAACAAACACGTGTGGTCTGGACCCGAGAAGATTGCACTCGCATCCACTCTCCTGTCTGCAGAGCCTCTCCAAGCAAGACAGCTCTGGCAGGGGCACAGGCACAGGGATAACAGTGGGACAGTGGGGCAGAGCGGGTGGCCCCACCTTTGGCTCTGGCTCCTCTGGCTGACTGTTTCTAAGGTTCTCCCAGGCACCTGGCAGCTTGCCTTGTCCTCTCCTGATGTGGAGCCCTCCCCTTCATGGTCCACATCTCCACAGGAAGACACGCCCCTGCACGCCCCCACCCTCTGGTCAGTCGGGCTAACAATCAGGCTGTTACATAATTCATGCTGCATCTCCCAAGGAGCCTGATGGATTAGCGAATAGAGACCCCAGCTGTCAGCAAGAGGCCAGAAGGGGTGGGGGTGGCTCTGTGGGACAGGTGGGGCCACAGGCTATGGCAAGACCCGCCCCACTTCCCTGGGATAGCTCTCTTCCCCGGGCTGGGGACTGTGAAAACCCTCACCTGGCGTTCAGGAGAAATCCCTCAGGGGTCACCAACTCCCCCAGCTCCCCTTCTACTCCCACTCATCGCCTGCAGAACATACTTGGCCCAAGGTCTCGCTTCCTGCACAGACCTCAGCACGGTGCCCAGAGGAAGGGCTAAGCCGGAGGAGCAGGAGGGAGCCATGGTTGGGACCAGGGCTTCCTCAGGAAAGCAGAGGCTGTCATCCCCTGGAGGAGATGGGCCCCTGCCTGGGAAAGTCGAGGCCAGTGTTTAGGGGTCTCCTGAGACCATCTCTTGGTGGATAGTGACCCCCATTGCAGTGCCCCTTGATTTTGCGGCTTTTTAAGGTTCTATCCTCATGCCAGGCCCAGAGTCTCTCCCCTGCAGAGAGCCTGGCTTCCCTCCAGCTTCTCACCCTCTGCAGCCCTGGATCCCAGGCTGGCCTGGGCAGACTCTACTCCCCCAATCTTGGGGTCTCTGCTGTGACCGGACCCTGTATACGCAGCCCCTTCTGGACTTCTCTCCTCAGGGCACAGGGACAGCATGGTTCTGGAGGGCCACTGGGTACAACCCTTGTTTGCCAAAGTCAGTGATCCACCAAGCTGCTCCCAGGAGGCCACAGAAACCAGGAGTCTGCCCCTCCCGGGAATGGAACAAAAGGAAACGGCCTCTGCTGCAAAGTCATTTCACCTCTCTCTTCACAGCCCCATGCCTGCTTCCTCGAGCTGCCTCAGTGTGACAGCTGTGTCACCGTCACCAGCCCTCACTGGTTTTCTCCGTGCCCCCCCTGACACATGTTGCTGTATCTGCAGTCAGCCTGGGGTCCAAGGGCTCTGCACTCCAGGATTCAACCAACGGCGCATCAAAAGGCCTACACGGCGACGTCTGGACTGAGCACGTACAGACCATTTGCTCTTATCATTATTCCCTAAACAATACAGCATCACAGCTATTTACATAGTGTTTATACTGTATTAGATAGCATAAGTACTCTAAAGATGAGTTAAAGCACACAGGAGAACGTGCCTGGGTTAGACGCAGACACTGCGCGCCCGTGCGTTTTGGTGTCTGCGGGAGCACTGGAACGAACCCCTCCATGGATGCCGAGCAACGGCTGCATTTTAAAAACAACCTCCTAGGGTCGCTGTATCAAAGTTATCAGATCTTTGCCCTCCTCCATTTTGTTTGAGAGGGTAGGGAGGGAGCGCGGGGGGCGCAGAGAGGGTAGAAGCTGGGGATGTGTGCTGTTCCATGTTGATGGAGCACATACTGTGTGCCATGCACTGCTTTAGGGGCTGCAGACACTGCAGCGCACACAACTGACAAAACTCCTGCACCACAGATAAGATCGCACATCCCAGTGGGACGGCAGGAAGACCAACACGTGCTCCAATCAGCAGGTGACCTACTGGCAGTGACTGGGGACCTTCCTCTCCCTCCTCCTCCTCCCTGCTCCACCCAGAATTCAGCATCTGTCACCAGGTCTCACCAGCCACGGCCTAGCACTCTGCCTGAAAGCTGGCAGGCCCTTGCTGACACCGCTGAATACAAAGTGAGAGAGTGAGTGTGTGAGAGAGTGAGTGACTGTGTGAATGAATGAGAGATGGTGTGACTGAGTGTGTGTGTATGAGTGTGTGACTGTGTGTGAGTGACTATGTGTGCAAGTGACTGTGTGTGTGTGCATGTGTGAGTGACTGTGTATGTGAGTGATTTGTGTGTGACTGTGTGTGTGAGTGACTGCGTGTGTGAGTGACTGTGTATGTGAGTGATTTGTGTGTGTGACTGTGTGTGTGAGTGACTGCGTGTGTGAGTGACTGTGTATGTGAGTGATTTGTGTGTGTGACTGTGTGTGTGAGTGACTGCGTGTGTGAGTGACTGTGTATGTGAGTGATTTGTGTGTGTGACTGTGTGTGTGAGTGACTGCGTGTGTGAGTGACTGTGTATGTGAGTGATTTGTGTGTGTGACTGTGTGTGTGAGTGACTGTCTGTGTGAGTACACAGGCTTCATCTCCATCTCACTGTCACACCCACTGGTGCCCGAGACCACCGTGGGGACACCTGCACCTCCACAATGTCCATCCAAAGCAGAGCCTAGTGATCCGGCAGAACGAGAAAGAATGGGGACCCAGCTTCCGTGGCCCTCGCCAGCCCCAGGGGCGAGCTCACCTTTATAGTAGAAGAGGCAGCGATCGACCAGGACGAACCAGCGCTTGTTCCACTGCTTGACTCCGGAGCTGGCCTACAGGGCACGTGGAGAGACAGACAGGAGGGGTGTGAGCTGGGGGGCCATCAGTGGAGGCAGCAGAAAGGGCCCGCACTAATTATAAGGACCTCCTAACGAGTGGCGGCAGCCCCCTTAAGACCTCAGACACAGGGACCTGACATTAGATTATTGCCTGTGACCTTCCCGTTCTGTCATTCTTGGGCCTCGGTGCCTCCCTGGGGGAAGATAAAAGGGACAAAAGATGAGTCTGAACGAGTGAGCAGAGGGCAGGCAGGGACAGTGGCAAGGTCAACCTGGGGAGATCTGGTAGACTCCTGGAACCCGCCTCCCCCCATGTTAGCAAGAGGCTGGATCCCGTTGGGTTGGTGATCTCGCATATTTCAAAGTCATTGCATCTGTCCATTAAGAGACCTGGCTGGGTTCCTAAATTTGACACTAAATTTCTGTGCAATTTTGGGAAGATACTCAATTTCTCTGAGCCTTTATAAAATTAGGAGATTCATTCACAGAGATATACCAAAAAAGGAGATACCAAAACACACAAGGGCTTTTATACCTCCAGAGGAATTACAGTGCTATGAGGAGAAAGCAGTGGTGATGGTGGGCAGAATGGCGGAGGAGGTCGCACCTGTTTGAAGAGCCAGCCTGCCTTGGTGACAGGGGCACCGGGGTTCCGCTTCATGGAGTGCGAGCGCTTGCCGAAGGCGACGGCCTTGCGCGATGCTCGGGTAGCCTAGGGAGGCAGAGAGAGAAGCTGGCCCAACTCCCCCTCTCCTCCTTTCCGCCCAATCCGCAGGGGAGCTGCACTGGGTGGGCGTTCTCTCCAGGGTTGCCCTCCGGTGCCCGCTCGCCGAGAGGCCCAGGGGTGAGTCTTGGGTCTGCTGCTAACTCCAGGGCACGACCTTTCAATTCTTTGGCTCTTTTTCTTACCTCTAAAATGGGGCTCAAAATAATAGTCCTCCTCGTCTCACAGTGGTGTGGGTTTTTTTGTGTTTTTTGAGGAGAAAATAAGATTTTTCATTTCACTCCTAGCCTATCCTTTTTCTACTGTCCTTGCTCCCTACCTCTTTCATAATGATTTCTGGAAGCCTTCAACTGCAAGTAAATTATTACCAACATCATCATCCTCTCAGTCCTGGTCATTCCTGACTGTCCAGCACACCACAGAGCAGGAAGGATGTACGATGCTCTCCCAGCTCCCACTGCCACGTGGACACTGTCATCCTCCCACATTCTGGCAACAATCTCTCTTTCTTGAAGCACCACCGATCTTCCACTGCTTAGCCCTTCTCATCACTATCAGCTTCTACGTCATTCTTTCAGAGTCTAAGGATTTTAATGTCAGTCATCCTCTTCAATCTAAGTCTTGCCATCACTGTGGCATGGTTCTTGAGGATGATCATCCAACGTCCTAACTTGATACTACTTGATGTCCTCAACTCCAAATCCCCCCCTTCACCCCAGCAACCCACTCCCACGGCCATACCTCAGACCTGGTCAGCACCTCAGTCCCTTTGCTGCCAACATCTTCAATTCTAACATTTCCGTTTTCTGACCACAACATTCCATCCTTTGGTCTTTGTCCCTCCGTTACTCAACTACACCAGCTTTTTATTCCACTGGGATCCCCAGCTTCTCAATCCTTCCCTTTTTTTCTGGATCCATCAGCCACCTCCTGGTTTTAGTTGTTTCCCTACAGAGCTTAGGTCCTTGGTGGAGTAGATCAACCGACTCTCAAACACCTCATCCTCTTTCTGCTTGATCTTCTCTAAAACTCGAAATCCCAGATTCATCAAACTATCCACCCTCCCGGCACTCACAGCCAGACCATGGTGCTGCTGGAGAAAAGCCACACTGTGGGACGGACGAGGCCAGCGCAGACCCACCGTCCGCACCCCAGCTGGGCTCAGCCCCAGATGCCAACTCAGCTGCGCACTCTGCCTGTTCCCCTCCGCCCTCCCCAGAGGGGACCTGGTCCCTCCTCCCTCCTCCACAGAGAGGACTGAGCTTATCGGACATGCCCTTCCCCAATCTCACATTCTTTCACTAAGAAAATTACTGCCTGTACCACTATCTCTGTCTCTTTCCCTCCAATTTCAAAAGAAGAGGTCTTGTCCTCCTCCCCAAGGCTGACCCGCCTGACCCGCCGTCTCTGAGCCTCGCTCCACCAACAGAGAATCCCCTCTTCACTCTCTCTTCAACTTTGCCTTCTCCACTCGTTTCTTCTCCTCAGCAAAATGCTCAGGTCACTCCATCTTAAAGCATCTGTCTGTCTGTCTGTCTGTCTTTCTGTCTCTGTCTCTGTCTCTCCCTCTCTCTCACGCACCCCCACACATACCTGAATGCCCCTTAACCCTACATCCACTGCCTGCTGCTGGGTAGCACCTTCCGCCCCATCCCTCTCTTTCTCTTCAGGGACAGGCTGCTGGGGACGGCCCCACTTCCTCTCCTCCTGTTCACTCCTGAGCCTCTTCCACCTCTTTTCTGAAATGGCTCTTGCAATGTCATTGAACTAAGGCTGTTTGGTCCTTGACCGTTCTAAAGCATTGGACAATATTAACCTTTCTGTCCTTCCTGAAACTTTTCTTGCGGTTTCTGTGACAGCATTCTTCCTTTTCAGGACCTCCATCTGTGGCCCCGCCTTCTCAGTCTCCACCTCTACTCTAAGTGTTGACGGACCTCAACCCAACTTTTTAAAATTCCTTTTTCTCGTTATCCATCGTGTCTGTGTACCTCATCTATACCCATTGCCTCAGTTACCAGCAATATGCCGAACATTCCCTAATCTCCGTGAAGACCTCCCTCCTAGCCCCCGTCCATTTTGTAACTGGTCTTCTGACCAGGATTAAATAAGTGCAAAGCCAAACTCATCCTCTTTCTAACCAAACCTGTTCTTCAGTATTTCTCATCTTGGTGAATGGTTCTACAATCCACCCAGGCGCCCAAGTCAGCACTCTGCCCGCCTCACGCTGCTCCCTCCTTCCTACGTTCCTTACACAATCATTCAGGCAGGGCTCACCACTCTGTCTTCCTAATAGTTCTTAAATCTGTTCTTCCCTCTCATGCTCCGCTGCTGTTGCCTCACAGGTCATCATCTCTTCTTGCTGTTCACCCTCTGCAATGAACTAATGTTATCTTCCTAAACACAATAGAATCATGTCCCTCTCCTGCTTAAAATCTCTTACCACCTCTCGTCAGTTAGAAGAGAATTCAAATTCCTCAGTACACACACAAGGACAGGTCCGTAAGATCTGGCCCTCTACCAGACGGGCTCCGCCCTGGTCATGCCAGACCCCTGGTGGTCCTCTCCCACCCCTAGGCCTCTGCCCAGCTTGCTCTCCCAGGGCCCTGGGGAAGCCCATCTCCCTTGTCCACAGACAAATCCCAACTCATCCTTTGAAGCCTAGCGCAGGGCTACCCGCCTCCACAAACCTCCCCATCCCCAGAGCTGTGAGCCTCTCCCTCCTCTCCGGGCATTTTTATACTCTAAAACTCATCACCACAATGGAATGTTGGCCTTCCGTCTCCTTCACTAGACTTGGAGCTCCTGACAGAGAGGGGCTTTTGTTTTCTTCATCTCTTCATCACCAATAAGCACTCAGTAAATACTGGGTAGAAGGAACGAGGAAATTGGGGTCTATTATAAAGTACCCCCAAAATTGGGAAATAAATCTTCTGAACTCTGCTGGTGAAAAGCCACATATAAGGGCTGAGATGAGTCATCTGAGGAAGTCATCCACCACCCTAAGAATATGCAAATCCCTAAATCTTCCCCTTTCCTTGCAGTCTATTATCTGTCAGAGTTCCATTTCGTCCCCGTACTTCACCCCTTCAGCCTTTCTCCTGCCAAACCCTCAATATCCCAGCCTCGTTTTCTTTCTGCCACAGCTTCCCAGCAACCTCACCCTTCAGGTCACTCCCCCACCTGCCTTTCCTGCTGTCACAGCCAGGCTAGGAGTACACCTGGGGACTGAAGCCGCACAGAGTCAGTCTATGGCCTCAGGTGGCCCTGCGACGTTGTCGGGAAGCATTTCCTATGTCCCTTGTTGACTGCTGTTGCTGCTCTCCTAGCCCCCAATGCCTCTCCACTCACCCCACTCCTCTCAGCAGAAAACTCTACCTCCTGCTTCCCTGCAAAAGCTGAGGATGTCAGGTAGGGATGTCTTCAACTTCCTGACCCCACCCCAGCTTCCCACCCCTCCCCTATGTGGCCTCAGGAAGAGCGCCCCTTCTCCACCTGGCCTCTGACTGCTCCTGTCGCACAGAGCGTGGCCCCTTGGCTACCCCTCTCTCCTGAACCTCTCTATCTCCTGGGTCATTCCCCTTCTGCCTCTAACACCTTGAAACAAAACAAAACAAAGAAAACCTCCCTCTATCTTGCATATCTTCTAGCTTCACGGCCCCCCATCCCCCTAAAAGTCAAGTTTCTTTAAAAATATTTTTTTTGAAACATTTCAGAAAAGCAGGGAATAAATCACCATTACATGTTGGTATGTTTCACTAATAAAACAAGATAAATAGAGCTGAAACACCCTGTGAGGCCCTCCCCAATCTCATTACCTTTTCTTCCTCCCCAGAGGCAACTGCTGACCCCAAATTAGTCAGCCTGCCCACGGTTATATGCTTGCACTGCAAATTTATCTAAACAAGTGTGCTGTTGCTTTTCATGTTTGTACATTTTACACCAATGATATATTCTTCATATTCTGCAACTTGCTTTTTACTCAACATTATGTTTTTAAGGTTTATCCTTGTTAATACATATAGCTCTGGTCCATTTTAATTTTTGAAGAGTCCTCCATTGTATGGCTAAGCCACCATTTATTGTCTACTTTCTCAGAAGAGCAGTTTCTCCTCTTCATTGTTTCTACATCTCCTGTCTCCTCTTTTGCCCCTAAGGGTTACTCTCTGCCCTCATCACACAGCTGGCACTGCCCCTGTCAGAGTCTCCAGTCACCACACGCTGCCAGGCCCCATGGACACATTCAGCCCTTATCTTATTGACCTCTTCGCAGCCTTCTTCTCTGGATTCCTTCTTCCTCCTGAGGCTCTCTTCCTCCCCCCTCCCTTTCTGAGCTCTCAATTGCCATGTCCTTCATGAGTTATTTTTCTTTTGCTGTCTCCCTAAATCAGTGGTTCTCAATGGGGGCGGGGCAATTTTGTCCCACGGGGGACATTTGACAATGTCTGGAGACATTTCTGGTGGTCAGAGGGTGGGTGCTACTGGCATCTAGCGGACTGCTAAACATTCTACAATGAAAGGATAGTCCCATCCCACAAAGAATTATCCAGCCCCAAATGTTAATAATGCCAAGGTTGAGAACCCCTGGTCTCAGTGTGGGTCTTCTACAAGGTTCTCATCTGAGCCCTCTTCCTTTCCCACTCTCCACTCCTCCTGTGTCACCTCACCTGCTCATTGGAGCCTGCAGAGACAGCTGGGCAGGCTAACATACATTTCCTAGGATTCCCGTCCAACAGCTGGCCTGGGGGCTGGACTCACCCGGACGCTGGGCCGCTCTGGAGGGACCTCGGACACCATGTTGTGGTTGGATCCGTCACTGCTGGTGGTAGCCGGGCGTCTCCCACCTGCTTTATTGGACATGTCCAAAGACGGTCTGATTTCAAGTTGACCAGAAGGGAAGAAAGGGACTAGTCAGAACAAGAAACAACAGAAGCTACCTCCCCCTTTTCTCCACCCTGCCCCACCATCCCAGTAGGGGCACACAATCGGATCCTCGAAACGCATCGAGACGCCATCTCAGTGGCTCCCTCAGCTCTTCTGAGGTTATATACTCGTACTCTTGGACATTTCCCTCTTTCTTTCCTGCAAATTTATTTTTAAAACTTAGACCCTAGGACTCTGGAACTCCTTTTCCTTCTAATATAAAAGACACAATGGCCCAGTGGACTATGAGATTCATTTAATTATCTTTTTTTCTTAATTCACCGAGCCAAGATGAAGAGAGGAACCAGCAGCTGGCTCTCATAGTTATATCAGACTCCCTCGGCATTCCCACGAAGGCTGCGGGGGGTATGCCAATATCAGACATGTCTACTCCTTTAGCTCAACCTGCGGGACGCACAAACCCGAGATCTGCTGGGTTCTGGGAAAAGTGGATGAGGTGGATGAGCTAATGGTTCTCAGAAGCTTCCAGTCCTCAGAACTGAGGTGAGGGACCCTAAATCCCTTCTGCTCTGCCCCCCGCCATTCTCCCCCTTCTTCCCAGCTACAAAGTGGCAGTGGGATAGTGGTGGTGAAGGTTGGAAAGGTCAAGCAGCAAGTGGTGGCAAACATACATTTTCAAGTCAAATTTTTTGTTTTCCTCTGGGACCTGGCCAGTCACTGGGTGTAGAAATGTATTCCGTCTTTCATTGTGGCTGTAGAGGCAAAAAAGAGAGAGAAGTTGTGGTAAAAATGAAGAAGGCAGAGACATAAACCAAAGGATTGACAGGCCTGCGGCAGTGACGGGTGACCATGGGGAGCTTGCCCATCTGTCCTCCAGTGGGACCCATGAAAGGCAGGGTGGAGGCCTGGGCTGTAGAAGCAGCAGCTGCAGGTGGCTGGGGGTGGGGAAGACACCTTTCACCAGCCAGTGTTACTACTTCCCAGAGATCCCCGAGGCTGGAAATAGCCAGACTCAACCCTCTTGGTGGTCACCCTGGGCGTGTGTGTGCGTGGGTAGGGAGGGGGCTCTACAGTCAAGATTTCATGTGTGGCAGGTTCTCTCCCAGGGACCACTGCCAGTGCTCCACATAAAAATTGCTCACTCATTATTTGCTGAAAGAATTCTCTTGTGACCTTGGAATTCTTCCTCTCCTGCTTTATGTTCCGTCTCTTTCTTTAAAGGAAATGAGAGATCCAGAAACCCCACTCTTGAGCTTGGGCTGGGCCCCGCCCACACTCTAAATCCAGGGTCTCCTGTCTAAGGGCCACGTGATGTAGCCAGACCTCAGGAGCTGTCAGGCATCGAGGTTAGTGCTGGCTCAACAGTCAGATCTATTAAGGGATGCTGTGGGTCGGGAGTGGGGTGGGGTGTCGCGAGGAGAGCCTGCTAGGAAGCAGTGGGGAGCGTGGACCAGGGCAGAGTCTGTGCAGACGCAGGTGGGCTCAGTACTGTGGAGGCTCCTTTGGGAGTCCTGCTGTGGTTCTTTGGGCTGACTGGATGTCAGGCTAGTGCCCTGGTGGCTCTCTGGGGAGATGGGGGAGGAAGAGCAGCAGATGGAGCTTGGAGAGGGGCTGGTGCAGTGGGTCTCAGCCACAAACAGCAGCCATTTGAGATGGATTCTGCAAGCAGGGGACCACCTGGCGAGGCTGTTGTAGGAGATTCAAGCATCTAGCCAATGAGAGGCTGGAATAGTTTTACGGTCCTCTTCACCCATCCCTCTTGGGAGATACTTCGAGAGCCCAGAGCAGGTTCAGTTGACCCCAATAAGCAGGTGCTTGGACAGAGCCTACTGAGGCTGCACCAAGCTTGGGGGTCCCATCACTGGGCCACACGTGCACTCCCACAGCAAAGGGCCAGCGCTCTGCTTGGCCAGCAGCAGACCAGGTAGCACCGGAGGAAAGAGGTCTCAGCTTCCTCCCTTCGGCTGCACCAGAGAAGGAAAATAGCTTTTTGGAGACCCCCTTTCAATAGCCCAGGACACAGCCAAGCCCTTGGTCTGTCTGCTGAAGCTGAAGATAATATTAAAGGGTATTTTTTCAGTTTCCAAACCAGTCAGGTTTAGACCGAATCCAAGGACAGGTAGGATAGAAGCACCGTGAGAGGAGCCACAGCCTATGTGGAAAGCTGGGTTTTGGAGCCCAGGCTTGCTGGCCGTGACCCTAAATCTGGCTGTGTCCAACACGCCTGGGTTCTGACTCTTAGCCTACTGACAACCCACTCCCCACTTCTCAAACGTTATTCCCTCCTCCCTCCTAGGTCCAACGAGGATGCTCTCTTCAACTTAACTGCAGGAGGTCTTTACAAGGAAGAGTAGCTGCTTCTATGCACCCTCATCCCCGGCCCGGCCCCGCCTAGGGGTCAGGCAGGCCATGAGAACCAAGGTTCTTGAGGCACTAAGTTCTCTGCTTTTTCCCAGTGGCACAGGGCACCTGCCCCCCACCCCCGAGTCCCCTTCTGTTCTGCATGCTCCCTGAGCTGACTCTGCAGGCACTGCTACAGACACACCCAGAAGCACACCTCTCCTGTCAGCTGGTGCAGGCCTTTCAGGGCACGGTGACTTTCTCTCTGCCCCAGGCTCTCCTACCCAGCGACCCCTACAAGGGACGTCCTCTCTCTATCCTGGCGCCACCAATTTCAAAATAGCCTCCCTTCATAAGCACTGCAATGCAGCAACCACTGACCTAAGTACTTTCCTTCTCGAGGTCACGTCGGGCAGGCCCCCACTCCGAAACCCCGGATCCAATGAGCTGCCAACTCAGCCCGCTCTCACTTAACCCGGTTCGCTGTCCACCGAGGAGATTCCTACCTGACCCGTCGATCAGCCCGAAACTTCAACATCTTTTGGGCAGCTC